AATCCTTATGTATTGTAAGATTATTAAGTTATAGACTTAATAACTACGCTCTATATTAGTACTAGGTACTATAATTTTTCTTATAATACCTTTTATACTTAAGAAATAGTTAAAGTAGTAGTAATTTAAGTAATTTAAGATATAATATATTAATAGTTAAGTAGATAAATTAGTAAGCTTTAGTACTAGAAACTAATAGCTATAGTTTCTAATCTCTTATTAGACTTTTTGAACTAGGCTAACAAGGCTATAGTTACTCTTTATATACTTTAGTAATAGGTTTAGCTTATCCCCTCCTTGCATTGCTTCCTCTACTAAGCATGTGTTATGTAAGGTATGTAGGGGTAGTTAAAGTCGACTTCTAGTACAGTGGCCAAAACTTGTTTCGTTAGTTGTGAGCCTCCCAGCTTTCTAAGGTACGCCACTCTACCTAAGTTATCAGTATCGCTATGAGGTGTGCTCGTTCCTACCACATCAGGACCGTGCCAGATTTGCGTGCTGTTTCCGCTGTCCCTCGTCAGGTGCACCGCTTATACTCCGTCTCGTACTCGACACCGAGGGGATCGGAAGCCATGGGGACCAGCGTGCAGGAGCGATCGTATGAGGTACCGTAACGACCTCACTCACTCACTCAGCCTCACGAAGTTACGGTACTGAAGTGTAGCAGCGCGCGATGGCTATCATGAGCAGCCGTCGTCGAAGGAGCCGGCCATGCAAGAGTGGCGGCAACGCGTCTACCAACCGCGGCACACCTAACAGGGTGGGAATGTATGAGTGGATGGAGATGCTGGGCCACACAGTACAGCACAGCACATGCCTTCGTGTTGTTCCGCGTCTGTCTAACACGGTACTAGACCGACAACGTAAACGCTCTCAACGTCATCCACGTTGCTGGCACAAAGGGGAAAGGTAGCACCTGCTCCTTCACGGAGTCCTTCTTGCGCGCACATTCCGCACGCACATCATGCCCGACGAAGACCGGACTATACACCTCACCACACTTGATCGATCCTGAGGAGAGGATCCGCATCAACTCCAAGCCTCTCTCGAAAGCAAGCCTTGCCAAATACTTCTTCGAAATCTACGACAGATTGCCGCAGTTGTTGACCGAATTCGATCCTTCCCAGGCACCTGTGCAGCGAGGCCCACGATACCTGCAGCTGTGGGCTCTGCTCGCATTCCACGTCTTCATTCGCGAGGGTGTCGACGCTGCCGTCATAGAGACCCATGCTGGTGGTGAATACGACGCTACAAACTTCGTCACAAGACCAGTCGTGGCCGCCGTCACCACGTTAGGTATGGACCATATAGATATGTTGGGCCCCGGATTGGACGACATTGCCTGGCACAAAGCTGGAATATACAAAGCGGGCACTGCTGCGTTGACCACGACGCAAGCATCTTCAGCACTGAGAGTGTTACAGCAGAGAGCACGACGAATTGGAGAGCATCTCAGAGTTGTCGAGGAAGATTCGCGGTTGAACCTCGACTTGCCGCAGCTTGCGATTCCTGTACAGCGCATGAACGCTTCTTTGGCTGCGGCCGCAACTGAGGAGTATCTTTCACGTACAGCTTCTACTCGACCAGTGCGACTAAGCGCAGAAGATGTGCTAGTCGGTGTGCAACAATGGAATTGGCCAGGCCGCTTCCAGATCTTGCCTCAGGGTCGGCAAACTTGGTTCCTGGATGCTGCTCACAATGACATGAGCGTCGCTCTTGCCGCTCAATGGTTCCAGCAAAGCAGCCTTGCACTCTCGCCCACGGCGCAGGACGTGATGCGTGTACTGATATTCAGCCACATCAATGAGCTACGAGACGCAGACATGCTACTTGACTCTTTGGTTCGTGCGTTAAAGGCTTGCAACGCTGATATCCATCACGCCATCTTTACTACCTACACTCCGTCCCGCACTACCTGTGTGCGAAAATCTCCGAAACCAAACGACTTCGAGCGCATCTGGGCGAGGAGCATGCCTGATTCACAAGTGTCTTTGACATCCACGATAGAAGAAGCCATCGGCATTGCAAGAGTGCTCTCCAAAGGAACCGACAACACGCATACACTAGTGACAGGCAGCCAATCTCTGGTCGGTCCCGCTCTCAATATGCTTCGCAAGGCGACCATGGACAAGTGACCAAGGTGGCCGTGGCGCCTACTCGGCCGTGATTTCAGATCAATGTCACCCTCTCAATGGCGGCGCAAGACGTTGCGAGCTCGCCGTTCATATATCCATGCACATACGCATCGCCCAGCACCGTGTGGTCTGAACCACTGGTACATTCTCTCAGGATGAACGGAACATGTGCCCCGAGGACAATCACAACTTTGTCATCAATACCGGCAAATTCAGGTCCACAACCGAGTTTACCAGTGTTGGTGAGAAACGGCCGGCGTCCGTTAGCCCAGCGCACCATACTCTCTGCATAGAGACCAAAACCCGCGTGCGTGAGGGTTTGTCCGTCTACTGTGCTCAGGCATCTCCCAGAAAGAGTTGCCACCAAATGTTCTACCAGTTCTGCAGACAGCCTGCTTGGGCTTTCGGCGTACAAGAGCTCATGCTCGGATACAGCTGTTCGCCAAATGGCTTGTTGTTTTTCATCCGCAAGCTTGAGAGTCGAAGCTTCACTGTTGGCGAGCGTCTGCAGATCGTACAACCATGCACTATGGCCGTCCGACTGCCAGGCTCTACCGACTTGCTTGATCGTGCAAGCTTCGATGACGCTCAGCTGTAAGGGAAGGCTCCATCCATCACGTTCAGGCAGCTCCATCGCTGGCTGTTGCAAGGAACCAGAGACTCGAAAGCCGGGGATATTGTAACCTCGTGGCAGCTTTGCACTCTTCCTTGACATACGCCGCTGAGCTGCATCTTTCCACACTATTCCCCTCTCCTGCATTGGCCAACGTGTGACAGGTCGTGACCAGTCTGGCACCCACGTTGGAACCTGGATTACGTTCTCATTTGAGTTGCTGCAGTGGCACAAGACGTCCATGTACCCATGCTTCAATAGTGCTCGGGTAGACTCTGTGTAGATCTGAGCACACGACTTGGAATAGTCAGGGGCGACCAGAAAGCGTTCGGAATCCCCAGCAATCCCAAGGAGCGCGAAGATTTGGTCACGAGGGTCTGTCGACTTGTAGTGCCTTGATCTGGTCAAGATGTAAACGAGCTCGCCTGCTGCACGAGTTACTTTGAAGAATTCGACTACCTCGGCAGCCGCGCTTGTCGCTCGAAAGAAGTCTGTAGCCTCGTTCGACTCCAGTAGTGGGACTTGCTGATAGCCCTGGGAGTCGCTCGCGTCAATCTCGCGGAGACTCTTGTCAATCTTGAACTCCCTCTTCATCATCAATTGCCACTTCCTGAAGTTCCGGAGGAGTCGTGCGCCCCTATGGACTGCTTCGGAACTGATGCTCCATGCGCCCAGTACGAAGCTGACGCTCGAGGCAGCTGATATCTCCTGGACGACCCATATACGTGACCAGTATGTTCGAGAAAGGAATTCCTGTAGTCCGACCAACAGTCGGCTATACTCGAGATTGTAGCTGGGATCCAGGCTGTGTCGCAAGTCGCAAATGAAGTCTGCAAGCTGAGCGGCGTCGTCGCCATCGACATTCTGGGCTAACACCGACTTTCTATCCCCTTGAGATAGTAGTCGCCACAGCTGCCGAGCGCGAGAATTGCCAATACCCAATGTTACTGCTCGCAAGCCGAAGTCCATGAGCCAGGCAATGGAACACCCAAGGTCTGGGCCGTCGACATCGGGTCCTAACCATGCCAGCACTCTGGTCGCGTTTGTATAGACGTCTCGCATACGGGCGACCTGAGATGACTTCTCGGCCTCATTCTCTTGGTCAATACAAAGTGCATCAATCCAAAGAGCCTCATTGTCCTCGATCTTGTCCTGCAAATGCTCAAGCGCAGTTGCTAAATTTGCCGTCACATTCACTGCGGCTCCATCTACCTCCACCACTTCGGTAATGCCCGGATCGCCCCAGGCGTAGGACAAGGCCACGTAAGACGGCGCACTTTGAAGTTCTGTTCGTTCTGTCGAGAGCCGAACGATATGCTTAGGGAAGCGAATTGCTTCAGCCTTGTGTCGTGGCCCGTATTGTTCCTCCGGTTCGACTGGTACGGGTCGATAGCGAAGAAGGACAATCTGATGCTTTCCCGCTGCTATTGCGGTCAAATCTGCCATTGCAATCGATCACGCCGAATAAGATTTGCTAGGACACTATGTCTCTGTGTATATACCTTACCGTACCTTGCTAACTTCAGATCATAGTGCGAGTCGCAGCCTTGTGAGGCTGTCCAGACAAGCAGCTGAGCCTCTACCCCGCCACCACATGCCGGGCAGTGTAATAAGACAGATACGTCTCCGGTGTATATCTTCGCCTATCAGGCTGGCTACTAGCGCTCTCGCAGAGCTTGGTCTTGGTTTGCAGCCGTCGCCATGAACCAGTGGAAGGACGACCAGCTTGTCCATGCACCGAGCGTACGCTCCTTCGAAAGAGCAGGAAGCCTGTCGACGGCAATCGGCACATGGAGCGTATGTCTACGCCTTTGTCTGTCTGCACATGGCACGACATTACTCTAGACTAAGGCCATCGAACACGCAACCGAGATGCAAGTCTCTGCGGCTCAGTCATGGATTTCCAGACGACGTCCCGAGGGTCGATGGATGGCACACCGATACTACGCGATCTCTATGCTCAGCCGAAGTCCGTCCGAATTGCTCCATTTGAGGACCTGGCCGACAGCGTTCGGAAGGACGGAGCTCCGGATCTACATAAGTGACAAACACTCAGGATTTCAGGATTCTAGGATTCTAGGATTTCAGGATTTGCTAGGCATCTTTCTAACTAAATCTTGATTAGGGCTTAATAAAACTTAATATACTATATATTAAATTTTACTTAGGAATAACCCTATCTTTTTTTCGTAGGCCTGTTCTCGCTTTAAAAAGATAGATACTATTCTTAAGTAGCGTACGGAGAGAAGAGGTCTATAAAGGGAAGAGGCCTATAGTATAGGGAGAGATCTATAGAGAGAGGCCTATAGAGAGAAGAGGCCTATAAGAAGAAGAGTCCTACGAAGAGAAGAGACTTATAATAAAGAGAAGAGATCTACGGAGAGAAAAGGCCTATAAAGAGAAGAGGGCTACGAAGAGAAGAGGGCTACGAAGAGAAGAGGCCTCCGGTAAAGAGAAGAGAAGAGACGCCGAGAGCCGTGCTATATATTACTATAAGCTATACTAGAATATACGCGGGATTCGAAGCGGAAATCTTAAATTACGAAATCCTAGAATCCTAGAATCCCGAAATCCTGAAGTTTTGTCACTTATATAGATCCGGAGCTCCCTAGGAACAAACCCCTGCAGCATCGGCACCAGGACCGATTCCTTAGTTAACCGGGTCAAGCGGGAGCAAGAAAGCAGTCTTCTCTGCTAGATTTTTGTCTTCCTCTAGCGCATACTTCACATGCCCACATTCGAAGCGCCATAAGGAGAGAACATCGGTCACTTGCTGAATCACGCTACACGGGTGCACGGCACGCCAACCTGACAGTAGCACATTAATAACGGGATTGCATATCAAAAAAGGCATTGACGCCTATGTAACGTATATGGACGCCCTTTACGCCTGTCTTCACCCTGAACTGCAGATACCTACTACGCAGATTCTTAGGCGTACTAGCTATGACCTCTGCGTGGCTGCGATATCGGCCACGTCCTCTGCCCCAAGTCGTTCTTGTAGAGTGGTTTCCTTTGGCTCTGCGGCGAGGGAAGCCATTCTGCATTAGGGACATCGCCGTCGTCGCCGGTTGTACGCATGGTTTGGGGAACAGACTAACAAGCTAGTGGCCTCTACAGGCAACACAAAGCACGTCGAACTTAGATGGCACTACATTCGACAGGAAGTCCAGAATGACTATTCCAACCTACATTGGTTTGACACCTGTACGGAGATAGGAAGGTAGGCCATAATCAGAGGTATGCTGTAGAAGTTGGAGACATAGAGAATTTCTCGCATGCGGCATTGCTCCGTCGGCACTGTTGTAGCATACTCTCTAACTCTCATTCCTTTGCGACCGATCTTAAGAAGCAAAGAGAACTACTCTTAATCAGCGCACGGACACCCTGTATACTTCCCATGCTGACAGATATTATTCTTCCCGTCGCAACCGCTGTCCGTACAATACCCATTGTCGCCGCCATGATTTCCTCCACACTTTCTACAGCTACAGCCTTTGTATTCTCCTCCTCGGCAGACGCCGATGGTTTCGAATGGGCCGCTGAATCCCCCATCGCAGCCTTTGGATTCATACACGTTAGCTTGGGAAGGATTACAGGCGTGGAGCATTACCGTTGCTGGAGTAGCACCACCCCAAGGGAGTACCGCAATTGTCATTTCGTTTTTCCTTTATCGTCCGATCTGGCTGGAGGACTGAGCCATCAATGTCTGCTCCGGGAGCGGCGCAGGTAAAGTACGGGAGGGTGAAGGCAGTAAGGAACAGCAGAAGGCTTTGAGAATGCATGTCTGAATAGGGAGATTCCTGTCTAGGATTCGCTGGATGGTTGGTTATATTGTGAAGATGAAGAAGAAACTGAGAGGCAGATGCCACCTTATGTGCTGCTTCTTAAGTATGTCTTGCGGCTGTCTGTTCAGCCTCGAGGTCTATTCATAGCTGGAGGCGTTCTACCTTTACCGTACATTTCGAATCACAAGCCGCGGTATGTGGGTCGCAGTCACACTGGCTCATAATGGCGATCTCAGGAGAAGCTGGGCTGAGAGTTGCTCGACGCGACACTGTTTTGTGCTCTCTTCTAAACAAAGTCTCTGATCGTGGCGTGCATTAATGAGAACACATGTCCAGCTCTCGGTCTTGAGAGACGTAAGTACAGCTCTACCAAGACAGGGACTGAGCCGACGGCATACAGCACACCAAAAAGCGTAGTACAAATGAGCTCGTTTCGAATGAGTGATGCCCAAAGTTATACAATATTAGGACTGGTTTCTGCTCGCTCTTCTACAATAGGATAGAAACATCTTAAGGTCGAGCATTGGAGAGAGTTGCCTTGCGAATCAGGGTCTGCTGCAATCCAAAGCAACGCAACAACGTGAACGTCGTCGTCACCGCCGCAAAGCCAGTCTTAGCTTTGCATGAAGTCATCACTCTATCGCAAACCGCTACTTCGTACAGTGAAGACTTGGCTGGAGGCTTGCTTAACAAATTGGAATAGACGATAAAGGACCATGGTAAGACAGAGTTGGGTGCAGCTAACGGTGACGACTTGCAGCACGTACCGTGTTAGGTCTCGCTAGTCTACTTCTTAATGAACGAGTAGGTTGCATTTTTCGAGCCCTGTGTCGCGACTGAAAGTGCTGATCGTTGTACGTGGCCGTTGTAACGAAAAATAGTTCCGCACCGGTCAGAGCCTACCGATTAAGCGACACCCAAGTCAATATTCTCCGTGTAGCACGACGTCGTAGGGCAGCCAACGAAAGCTCAAGCGGCTCGCCAAGTCGCACATGCCAGATTGCGTACGGGATTGCCGATAGCTAATAGATCTATCTCGCCCACCCACGGCAGCCAGCCTCTCAGTCGCGCCATTGAAAGACAAGAGCCTCGCCTTCTGACTCACCTCTGCCCGCACTTTGCATCTGCAGCTAAGTCCTCTCTACACATCCAGTATTAGCACTACAGCATGTCCTTCAAGGTCTCTCGGCTTTCACGCCAGCAGGCCACCATGTGGATGAGCCTCGAGGTTGGACTGGACGTCGAATGTCATCTTGATAGACACCTAGTCCAGGCTTCCGCTTTTGTAGGTCAGGTGGTTTTTCTGGGCATGTGAAGTGAAACCCTATTCGCATTGATTGAGAGGTTGCTTATGGTCCAGTCAATCGCAAATTGCACAAACAAGGCTCCTGTTGTTCTTGCGTTTGTCTAGCAGTACGGATGCGTGTCTGGTCACTAGCGTTTCTAGAGGGAAGAGAAGAGACCGGTGTACAAGCTTGATATTTTAGACGCGATCTTTAGGCGATTTTGAGAGATGAGAGCATATGACGTGAAGCGTCCACAGCAAATCAAGGACTTGTTAGAATCATCTTCGTTGAGCGGCGTTTCCGGAAGGAAGACACGAAGCGCGTCTGAAAAGGAGGTAGGCCTAAGGTGTTCTAGGGAAGTTTTGATCAGCATGACGGTAGCTCTGTTTCGCAGAATTCAGTTCGTGTCCGACGATGCTTGCGGAGCTGTCGAGATATCGGTAGAGCTCCACGCGCCGTTTGTCTCATCACAACTTTGTGCTTTAGGTCGTGTCTGGCCGAGTAGGATTATCCTTCTCCATCGGACGACTCCCCAGCATCGCAATTCGAGCGACAAGCTCATCCTACGATCTCAGCATCGATCAGATTTGGCATGCGAAGTATGGATGCTTATCGTATCGGCGTATGAAGCGGCAATGACAAGTGCGGTGGTCGTCGCTCGTGTCGTAGTGACACCCCAGAATTGCTGGAAGGATTTAGTTTTCGCCCGTGCAGTACACCAGTGTGGTGGTTGCAGAACAGCAGTGTAGAATCAACCTCGGACTTCGTGCCGGTAGCTGCGGCCTCGAGTAGAGTATCGTGAGGTGGAATAGACTATAGTATAGGATGCGCATGTGCGCGCGTCGGCAGTTTGCAAGATTCGCGAGGTGAAGTCGAAGAGATGCTGTAAGTTTTCGGCTAGGGTAACAGAGTGCGCTTGCAATCAGGATATCACCGCAGAAAGCCTCTTCGCGGGACCTTGAAGCATTAGACCGACTACTCAATAATAACCTATACTGCGAAGTAGCCGCAGGGCAAACGCGGAAACGACGCGCACGTCTACACCGTGCGCTCCAATATTTCCGCGTAATCTGAGGAATGTTCTTCTTCTCCAGGCTCTCGCGCACAGCGAGCATACTGATGAAAAAGATGGTGTTCGCGTCAGCTCGAGGCAGTGCAATACGAGCGACACGGTGCCACCAGACATAGGCAAGCCCAGCGGCCTGGCGACCGGTTTCAAAAATAGGAATAATATTGAATTGGTCCGTAGACCAGTTTCAGATATTAAACTGAAAAGAACAGATACTACACTTGATCTGTTGAAGGCGTTAGCATATGTCGCGATGCTGTGTTGGTGTGTACGTACCTAAGCCAAAAGGCAAAGAGAGCTAAAGAAGAAAGAAAAAGGAAAGGAAGAAGTTCTGCCGGCTTCGAGTTTTGATCTTGAGAATGGCCTGTGCGCTTGCCGACTGCGGCTTGGCCCGGGGAAAACACGTGACTCATGACTCAGGTGCGGACAAGCATCTGCAGAATGTTTAGCCTGGAATCCACTTCACGTTCAGCAGAGACGTCTTCGGACGCAGCACGCAGGCGCCGTGGTCCATGGCCATCTCTTTTCCATATACGCGCTACGCGTGTCCCTGCAGCGAAACCTCCCCGCCGGCGTCAATCCCTGGAAAGCGATCCTCACAGCTGGCCGATGATAGCGACCTAGAATATGAAGACACCTTCAACTCGCACGATCCGCGCGCCAACTTCTCTCTCTACCCACTCGAGAATCTTCTCTTCTGCGATGAATGCAATGCGATCCGATGTCCCAAATGCTGGCAGGAGGAGCTGATGTATTGGTACTGCCCAAATTGTCTGTTTGAGGTACCAAGCAGCGGAGTTAGAAGTGATGGCAATAGGTAAGGTGAGATGCCATTCAGGTTTGGGATATGGAGAGAGACAACATCTGACCAGAATACGGCAGGTGTGTGAGACATTGTTATAACTGTCCTCAATGCGCTGCCAATCTTTCGATTACTACGCTGCCCGCTCAAGCGAGCAAAGGAACTCACCTCACGCCGGGGAGCGCATCGAGATCCGAGAGCTACATCTTGAGTTGCCATTTCTGCGAGTGGAGTTCTCTCGACGTAGGGCTGAAGTTTGACAAGGCAACCAAAATCACTGAACAGCTGCACAAAAGATTGGACGAGAGGAAGAACAAGAAGAGACGGTCGGATAACAAGCAAGGGCAAGATGACAACAAGGAACGATCCGAGGAGCACGATGACGCAAGCTCAGAGGAGCAGGAGCAAGGGAGGGTTAAGGCGGATCACGACGACGCCTTCAAGAAGTTGCAAAGATTTTACAACCAGCAGTTGAGCGAGACTACGGATCAGTCGAGCACGTATTCGAACAGCCCGTACTCTTCGCCAAACAATTTAGCTCGAATCATGAGCCTTTATGGAGGGCTCTCCTACAGCGCGCTGAAGAAGACTAGAGAAAAACCTCAGCCGATGCGAGAAGCTGAGGGACCTCGGGACGGCATGGCCACCTTCACAGCTGAAGACGGAACAACCGATGACGAAGAGCTGCTTGAAAGGCTGAAGCTACTTGGACTGGCGGGAACGACATCGCAGGCGCAGCGTCTCGCATCGCCTCCCAATTACAGCGCTCGAACCACCGAGCAGTTACTACCGACCGCGACCCAGTTAGTTGTACGACGAGGCAAGCGATGCAGAACATGCCGTATCTATCTTGCACGGCCCGATCAGAGATCTGGCGGATTCCGGTACAAGATTCGTCTACTATCGCTCAACTACATACCCAGGCTGGTGCTCCGACCCCTGAATGTACAAGTACCCCCACCGTCGATGTCGTTCCAAATCAGGCCCGGTCCAGTCGAGGAGGTCAAGCTACAGCCTCATCATACACAGCAATACATTCTCACTGTTCGGAACCCAATATTCGAGCCTGTTCAGGTCACGCTTGCAACGCGTGCTACAACGCCTGGCGAAGTGGCTTCTCGTGTTACCATCCTCTGCCCATCGTTCACCGTCGGACCCGCCAGCGACAGATTTGAGGATGTACTGGCAGACTCCGGTGTCAACAGTGATGGCAGCCGTAAAGGTGCTCTCGCATCGCTGACCGGCTCGACGGACCCCGATCGCCAACCGGAAGCGGGCAAAATATGGGAGCGGAGCCGTAACTCCACGTCGGTGATACTGGAAGTGGTACCTGGTGCCTTGAAGCGCCGATCAAGCATTGTCTCAACTTCTGAGTCGGAGTTGACAGAGAAGGAACTGGCAGAGGACGATGACATTCTTGAGATTCCAATTTACGTGCGTGTAGAGTGGGAGGCAGTACCGCATGCTGCCGAGGTTAGCGCCAGTCGAGAGAGAAGGCCTCACGAGCTTGCATATTGGTGCGTTCTTGGGGTTGGACGCATCGCAGAAGGATGAGACAAGAGTTCGGAATGGTAGGCGAGCGACAGCAGCTAGCTCCACGACGAACAAAGCTGTGGTCTACAAGCTTCTGGACAATCTCCAAAGCTTTACAACAGTACCCGGGACAGCGGAGGCTGGGAGAGAGCCTATGATGATCAGAGCAGCGTACAGAGTCTCAGTCTCCGCAATCACCAACTGCTCTTGGAGCGTCCGGTCGTTATGCGCATCTGACCGGTCGTAGGCTTATGACCTCTGCGTAACCACACTACGAGATCGAACACTCCCAATGCATTTGTAGGCCAGGGATGACAGGAGGATTAGTATTGCGGACAATACGTCCGCGAGATCGGTCAGATTGGCGGCCATTGAGCCTGATTTAAGTAACTCCCACTGACGATTCGGCGCTTCAAACTGCACGGATGCTTTGTAGATCCAATTTAAGCTACGTCATCACGTGAAGCGCGTCACCCCATGCATGTGAATAATCACCTTCCCCCTCCCAAGCTCTGGTTGGCTGGTGAACGGCGTTTCCTCTTTTCAGTTGATGCGAGCTTGTCATCGTGTCTTGTTCTTTCCAGTCTTCTTCACCTCCGGCATACACACTTAAAGGCTTCCTTCGAAACTTCCAATTCGACCATCTGTCTTTGCAAGGACCGGAGGTTGAGCGCACAGCCATTTCCGACCGACTTTGCTCTCGAATCCGGTTCCCTGCTCAAGTCGCGTCCGTGCTCCTCCGCGTCGACTCGCGCTAATTCGCGCTACGTCAGACTTGCAGCACTTTTCGTCAAACACCAGCCACAACAACCTCCTTTGATACATCATCACTTTTGATTCTACTCTCCTTCCCTCTTGTACGCTTTCCGCTGTATTGCTCTTCCGCATCTTGACCTTTTTGGAAAAAAGAGTAACACTCTCCTGTGGTCGCATCTCAGCCAAGCCATGCCGCCCAAGAAGACGCGAGCTCAAGCTGAGGCGGGCTCCAGTCAACCTGCTGCATCGCGGCCGCGCGAAACTCGCTCAGCATCACGCGAGCCAGCGCCTGCACCAGAGACTCGACAGACCCGCGCTGGACGAAAGCGCCGCCTTAGCGATGCATCAAATGCTTCGAGCGTCGCTACCCCAGGCACCACCCCTTCGAAGCGCCGCAAGCGCGTGAAGGTTCCGGCAGAGAAGGACCACGACATGCTGGAAGAAGTGCCTGAAGTCATGGAAGAAGAAGACGAGCTTGCCATAGACACCGAAGCCGGCGCCGAGATCGACCCTCCGGACACCGTTGAAAAGAGCGTGCGCTTCAGCGAAGCACTGGACGAAGACATCGAAGAGATGCATGAGGGGGATACCAGCATCCACGTCAACTTCGACGAAAAGTTCACCGCCACACACATGACTCCGCATCCGCATAGAGCGACTATAATCAAGCGCCGAATCACGGCGTCTTCCTTGATCGGTGGCAGCCAGGAGAGCGAGAGCAAGCGCAGCAAGCATACCTCGACTCGGCACTCCCTGCCATCTGTACTGTCCCAACAGCTTGGTGACTCCTATACCTATGTCGAGGAGCACGAGTTCGCTCCCTTGAGCGAAATCTTGAAGGAACGGATTCAGAAGCGAACCCGCATCTATCAACTGTATGAATTGCTGTCCGCTCAAAAGAAGCAAGGCAATGAGGAGAAGGTCCAGACAATCCAAACAGAGCTTGCAGGCCTGATACAAAGCTACCGACAGACGTCCGCCGGCGAGGGCGCTGAAGAGGTCGACATGTTTCTCGATGAGGACATGCCAGTCCTCGCTTCCCAGCGTGAAGTTGCCTATCCAGAGCTACCAGTAGAGTCACAAGCATTGGAGTTGGCGGCATCTCCTGGTACCAGTCTGGCTGTCAGCGGGCGTCTTTCGCTAAGTCAAAGCCAGTTTCGATCAAAGGAAGAACAGTGGGATGAGGAGCGCAAGCGATTCGCAGATCATATCGAAAGCCTCAGTAACCAGGCAACCAAGGCTACATCGAAGTTGAAAGTACTGGAGTGCGAAGTGAGCGGCTTGGGCTTTGGTCTGGAGGGTGTGGACACCTTGACTGTTCTCGCAAGCATTCGCCAATCTTTCAACGAGATCCGCGAACGCATGCAGATCGTGCTTCCTGACTCACTTCCTGACAACGCGTCCAATGAGGACATTCTCGAGGTGACGGTGGCCAACGTCGAGGAGTTTGCAAAGCGTCTTCGAGTCGCAGATCGAGAACTGCAGGAGAAGATCAACTTCGCTGCAGAGCTAAGCAATCAAGTGCAGGGACTGGTTGACCATCTCGCTGACGCGCAAATACGCTACAATAACCTTCACGAGAAGTGGGGAGAGTTGGACAGAGCAAACGAAGATAAGGAACGCGAGAATGAAGATATCCTGGAATCCTTGCAGCAGGCAGAAGAAGACCGCGACACCACTCGCGCCGAACTGGAGGCGAAGCAGGAGGAATTCGACGTACTCAAAAACGAGAATGTGGATTTCGCCAATAGCGTCGATCGGTTGACTGCTTCGCTTCAGCACTATCGCAATGAGGAGACTCGCCTTCAGAATCTGGTTTCCAAGATGGAAGAGGAGCATAAGGCAACCGTTGCGAATATGAACAAGGAGCGGGAAGAAACTGTACGTGATCTTGAAGATCGGTTGGATACCCAATATCAGTCTCGCAAAAAAGCAGAAGAGATGGTTCAGGAGCGTCAGCGCATCATCGATGGACTCGAAATTCGCGTGGACGATCTTGAATCTGAGAGAGACCAGCTTCGTCAGCAATTGCTTGCAATGACAGATGAACGTGACGAGCAGCGGGATGCTTGCGAGGCTGCTGAAGCAGATTTGCAGCAGAAAGACGACCACATTCAGGATCTCGAGACACGCGTGAATCGTCTGGAAAAGGAGCTTAGTGAGCTCCACGGGCAGATAGAAGAGCTCCGCGGATTTAACGAGACTGAGCGCAGCGAGCGTCAAGCACTCGAGACCGAGTTGGACGAACGCTGTGCCGAGCTAGAGGAGACGAATGAGAAGCTTCGCGAGAAGGGCACCGAGGCAAATGAATTGCGCCAGAAGCTTTTCGAGATCCAGCAGCGGAAGGAAAAAGAGATCAAGGAGTTGGAGGAGAAGGCTTCTGAACGAGATGAGCAGTATCAGCAGGATATTGCCGAGGAGGTGGAGCGACGTGAAGAGGCCGAAGAGCGTTCTCAGCAACATACTCGCACTATCGATGAGTTGGAGGCGCGCCTAGAAGAAGTAGAAGATGACATGCGCACTCAGCTGGCAGAGCGGGATCAGCGCATCTCAGACCTCGAGGACACACTGGCTGAGAAGAATTCTGAACTCGAGGAACTGCGCGACAACCTCGAGGCTGCTCAGGCTGAGAGTGATGAGCACGCTGCTCAAAAAGCCCAGCAGAAAGAGGAGGCCGAGGCTCGTATACACGAGCTGGAAGCCTCGATTGCGGAGCGTGAGAGTGAGATTCGCAACATGCAGACCGAAGCCGAAGATGCAGCGTCGCTTCACGACTCAGAGATCGAAGATCGAGACCGTCGCATCGCCGAATTCAACCACGACGTTACTCGACTGCAAGATGAGGTTGCCCAGCTTCAGAAACACAAAGCCAGCCTTGAACAACGTGTGACCGAGGAAGCGGAGCAATTCCTGGGCTTCCAGGGCGAGAAGTTCGCGGAGATCGAATCTCTCAAAGCCGCTCTCGAGGAGAAGCAGCATAAGATCGAAGTCGTCGTTGAAAAGAACGAGACGGCCGAGCGAGTATGGCAAGAGAACTTGGAGGCCAAGGACGAGGAGATTACGTCTCTGCATCGGGAGGTGGACGAGAATTACAGCACCATTTCGTCACTGCGAACCAATATGGCGTCGATCAAGCATCTCTTCGAGGCCTTCGTTGAGAAAGCCAATGCCAAGATGGCGGAGATACACGAGGAGCGTCGTGCTGAGTTGCAAAAGATTCACGTGGATTCTCAGGAGCTTCAGACGGACGGCTTTGATGCGTTGCGGCAATTGGATGATCTGGCAGCGTGGGAGGGCGAACTGCAGACCGAGCATACCGCCATTACAACTACCAAGCTCGAGAAGTCACAGGCGATTGCATCGCAGTCACGGCGTAAGACGCGAGGTCGGAAGAAGCGCGTGATGGATTCCGGCGTGGGCATGGACGAGACGATGATAAGTGACTCCATGCTTCAGGAGTAGGGGTAAGAATCGGGAAATTCTTGTCTTCCAGCACAGGAATGGCAGGATGTGGAATTACTTGGGACCAAATTGTCTTCACGAAAAACATTGCTTGAGCGGGCAAGCCATTTTTCTTGTGTTTCTGGGGTGAGTGTGGATGGGTACAGCACAGCAAAGCATTCAACGAGCATCGAATTACGAAGTACTCTTAATGTAATACATCTTCCAGGTCAACCTAGGGTATATAATATATTTGGTATGCCCTGCAACTCTCTCATTTGCTCACCACGGGGCCCGTTGCCTTCGTCAGAATCCCAGAACTGAATGCACTTGATCTTCCGCGTCTGCCCAAAGACCGATTTGTGTTGAGCTAGTAGATACGCTACGCCCCTGCCGTTTGACATGCCAATGCATGCCTTTGCGTCCGCTGAGTTGGGCACACCCTGGATGGTGTCGCCCGGGAACGGTACTCGATAGTCCTTGAGATCCTCAACTCCAAGGATATGCGAGAGAGTAGAGAGAGTGTCGGGACTGATGACGTTGAGTTGGAGGATGTATCTTAAGGGTGGAGGACGGATCGCTTTGTCGTCGTTGGGCCGCCGCTTTCTTCTCCAGATTTGCATATACGTAAGGAAGGTGATGTCGGACCAGGCATGGAGAGGGGCGAGCGGAGAGAGCGTCGATACGGATTGAGCGTTGAGTGCTATGATTATGCCGTGTCCCGGGTTGTACAGGGCTCGATGATAGGCTCGAGTGCCCTGATGAATGCAAGTCATCAGTTAAAGTTGTTGCAGGGTTGGGAAAGGCGAAGGATAGTAGATAGTAGGCGCGTCTGGACTCACACTCACCTTGACGGGCTTTTTGTGAATCCAATGTACCAATTTCCAAGACTTGTCCGTGAGATCAGGCATTCCCAGAGCTTCCAGCACACGTTTCGTGTGTGCCATCTCATCGCTGTTGACGTTTCTGTCTTCTCTCCTGGACGACTTTTTCCAGCCATACTTTTTCAAGTCCCCATACTTCGTCCATTGCGATTTTTCGTGCGTCGTCAATTGACTCTCAGGCTTCGACATGAGCTCAATGAGCCGTCCACCTCGCCTAACATTGCTGTCCCAATCGTCGTTCCGAACGAAAAGTCGCAGCGAGGTGGACGTTGAGCTTGTGCTTGATAGACTCCATTGCTAAGAATCAGAAAGAATATAAGTATTACCAGGATACAGCACGCAGACCTTTCCAGAGTTTAAATATCTCTTCGTTTCCGTACTTGCATTTCAGTTGATGACGACGACCGTAATTGCGCTTACGAGCAACAGCGCTGGCGCCATGCGCAGTACGAGCCGTGCTGGACGCTTGTTTCTGTTGAAAACACTGGCGACCTGGGCGACTCAGCATTTAGTAAATTCGGGAACAGCATTTTGCACCGCCGGTATTCAGATGCGATTGATTCTCACCGACACCCTCGTTTGCTACATTGACATGTCGGCCACAGAATGATGGGTTTCGAGCCCATTGTATTGACGTCGTTAAAGAGCTTCGCTATCTGCGGGTTCGGAGGAAGCTAGTTGCCACTGACCTTGTGATGTGATGCGCCTCGTGTTGTCGACGTAGTCGAGGAGTGTGGCCCTGTTCCTGGCAGCCAAAACATCGGCATATTATTATATCGCCTTCCACCCCGTGAGCGCCGAAGCGTACCACGTGGCTGCATGCACATCAATGCAGCACTCGTGGTGCGCACTCCCATGTATTGCCTGATATTCTGAACAATGTTGCATGCTCCCAGCGCGCGCTTCGAAGTCGAGGAATGTCAAGGTATCAACCACGCATGAACATCTTATACGTCTCATTCTCCGTCTCTTCTGTGTGGCCATACCCAATATCTTTCAGGAATTGCTCGAGACCGGCCTCCTCATCTGGCGGGCATTGAATGCCAGCCAGAATCTTTCCAATATCCCCTCCGTAGTTCCGATAGTGGAAGAGTGAGATGTTGAAGCCGGGCTGCAAGGTCGTGAGGAACTTGTGCAGTGCACCTTGACGCTCAGGAAATTCGAACGCGAAAAGTCTCTCATTCTCAGCATTGCTTCGACCTCCGACCAGGTACCGAATATGCGTCTTCGCCAGTTCGTCTCCGGAGACGTCGCGAGCGGCCATGCCTTCTTGCTCCAAGCGTTGCAAAAGGTCCGTGACATCGCGACCTCGAGTGGTAGCTGATACCTGAATTCCAATGATGACACTGGCAGCGGTAGATGTAGCGTAGCGGTAACAGAATTCGGTGACGACCAGTGGGTTGACGGCCGCTATCAGCTTGGCGAAAGCACCAGGCTGTTCCGGAATGGTCACTGCCAACAGGGCCTCCTTCTTCTCACCAATAGCTGCGCGTTCAGCAACGAATCTGAGACGATCGAAGTTCATGTTAGCTCCACTGGCAATGGCGACCAATTGCCGCCTTGTGTCTTGTGATGGATTTGCGGCAACGTATTTCTTCAGACCTGCCAGTGAAAGCGCTCCTGCGGGCTCCAAGATAGATCTCGTGTCTTCAAAAACATCCTTAATGGCAGCACAGATGTCATCTGTGTCGACCTGAATGACCTCATCTACGACTTCCGAGCAGATGCGGAAAGTCTCCTCGCCCACGGTCTTGACAGCAGCTCCATCTGCAAACAGTCCGACTTCAGGCAAAGTGACCCGTTTGCCTAGTTTCAACGACTGGATCAGCGCATTCGCGTCGTATGTTTCCACGCCAATGATCTTCACATGGGGTGCAAAACGCTTCAGGTAAACTCCAGTGCCGGCAATGAGGCCACCTCCACCCACGCAGCAGAAGATGGCTTCCAGCTTGCTCAGGTCTGCTTGCCGAAGAATCTCAGCTCCAATAGTGCCTTGACCAGCAATGACATACGGATCGTCGAAAGGAGGGATGATGGTGAGGCCATTTGCTTCAGACCTCCGACTACATTCTGCTTTGGCCTCGTCAAAGTCGGCCCCATGAAGTACAACATTGCCACCCAGCCTTGACACGTTCTGGTGTTTTATGGCCGGTGTACCAGTTGGCATGCAGATGGTCGCAGGCATGCGCAATTTCCGAGCAGAGAATGCTACCCCTTGAGCGTGGTTGCCAGCTGAACACGCAATGACACCTTTCCACCTCTCCTCAGGGCTGAGATGGGCCATCTTGTTGTATGCACCGCGAAGCTTGAAGGAAAACACAGGCAAGAGATCCTCCCGCTTGAGGTAGACGGCGCTCTCTAATCGATTGCTGATGTTGACAGCATGTGTAAGGGGGGTCTGCTCCACGACATCGTAGACTTTTGCGGTTGTGATCAGGCGTATGTACTAGAGAACTGTCAGCTAATCGTTCCCAATTGAGCACAAACTCGTTGCAGCGGAGTCGGTTGTCCACTCCCCTGTTGGGTTTGTCCTGTGCGAAGTTCCAATGCAGCAATGTATTACGGCAATCTTTTGTTACGGTATTGCAATACTTACGTCGGGGTGTCCATTGGGAAGCAGAAGGTGCTCAGGAACTGCAGGATGCCGCGGCTGTTCCAGTGGAGTCTGAGAGGGCGGAGAAGGGTTCGCCGTATATTCGGTCAATGCCAGACTCGTGTGCTTTGGCTTCGGAGTAGTTGGCGTATGCTCGTTAGTGCCATTTGGCACTCCATTCTCTTGTTCGGCCATGCTCGACCTACGAAACGGCGCGATAGTTGGCGTATCGAGTGATCAATTGAAATTGAAGATGGCTTGTAGCCAGTCAAGTCCGAGGTCAAGGTCGATATGTTGATGTCGAAGTCAAGTTGTTGTTCTTGTTGCTCACAAAGGCGGTGGTGGGACAACTTTTCTCCCCAATCACGGGCGGGCTGCACGGGCCGACGCATGAAGTTGCGTTAGGGCCGTCTTCAATGCATGTGACGACACCATTTGCAGCTTTGAGCACACTCGTTAGAGAACTCACTTTCCTCTTCAAAGCAGCCAGCCGACAGTGCTGTGGTCTTTCAGCGTGTTGAACAAGAGCGCAAGTGCCATTGACGGATATATTGGATCCCTCAGTCACTTGGGACCAGCTGAGAACGATACTCTACATCCGTCTTCCCTTGGTGCAGTAGGCACGCGACCCTCTTCACAATGTCTGTACCGGGCAACATCAACACCGCACCTCCGCCTTCATCTTTCGACGACGAGGCCGACTTCTACGAGGAATCAAGATGGGCTAAGCTTAAGAGGAGACTCGTGGAAGAGCCCTTAATCCCACTCGGATGCGCCTTGACATGTTGGGCACTATATGAAGCGTAAGGTTTCCACCGTGACGTGCTTCTTGTTGATACTGATGAGAAAAATGTCAGCACACGGTCCATGAAATCCGGCGACAAATATCGAACAAATCGCATGTTCCGCCGACGTATCTACGCGCAAGGTTTTACCATTCTGGCCATGGTCATGGGATCTGCGTATTGGGAGGGCGACCGCGCAAAGCGTAAGCAATTCAATGAGCTGAGCGAGGAGAAGCGCAAGAAAGAGAAGCATGAGTCTTGGTTGAGGGAGCTGGAGATTCGGGAAGAGGAAGAACAGGAACTGAGGCAGATGCGGGACCGTCTGATCAAGGCGCGGACAGCGGAGAAGCAGGATTTCTCTGAGAAGGAGAAAAGAGCGGTCGAAGCGAAGGAGAAGAAGGACATGGGTCAACCGAAGGGTGGATTCGGTGAGGTTAAGAGCGTGTTAGAGGACAGTGAGAAGAAGTCAGGGAGTATACTTGAAGCGGCGAGAAGTCTTTGGCAGGGCAAACGGTAGAGCGTTGGAAAGGCATTCCCTATCGAAAACAGCGGTAGGGATTGCAGAGAGGCACCACAAATTGTACAGATATCTACACGCGGAACATGGTTCGCAACGCTTCCCATCACGCTCATGCGATCTTCTTCTGCTGCGCTTGTCTCAACTTCCACAATTTGAACATCCTCGCCATCGCTATGTCCATGACACTCCTGGGCAAAAATGTGCTAACAAACCACACCAACCACGCCTTTCCACCCTCCCAGATTCTATCCTTTGGCCGCTTCGCGAGAACCTGCTTCACTACTCTCCTCGCATAGTCCTCGTTGGGTACAGCCATAGCCTGGCTATGCACCAATCGCTCCTCATACTCCTCCTTGAGCGGCAAATAAATTGAATCAGCCTTGAGATCCCGATGCGTCCTCGCGATACTACTCTTCACCCCCCCGGTGACCACGGTAACCACACGCACGTCGAAAGGCGCCAGTTCCACCCGCAGCGTATCGCTGTAGCTGTGCAGCGCGCCTTTGGAAGCGTTATAGACCGCACCAAAGACATACGGCATAATCCCAGCCAGCGAGCCGATCTGAACGATGGTACCTTTCGCTTCGATGAGAAGCGGAGCAAAAGACTGACACATTCTCATGACGCCGAAGAGATTCGCCTCGAAAGTCTGTCGGATTTCGTCGATTTCGACGTCGAGTGCTGGGACGGTGTAATTTCTTCCGGCATTGTTCACCAGCAGGTCCAGTGTACCACCAGTACGCGAGGCGATTTCTTCTTTGAGTGTCTGGATGCTGGCTCCATCTGTGACTTCCAATGCAAGTGTTTCGATACCCTGCTCGGCCAGGTCGCGGATGGAATCTGTTTTGCGAGCGGTAGCGAAGACGCGGAGTCCTTTGGAGTGGAATTCGCGGGCCAGAGCGTGTCCGATTCCACTGCTGGTCCCTGTGATGAGGACGGTCTTCCTGTTATTTGCCATGGTTGTTGTTTGCCTTTGGAAATGACTGTGGACCATGTGGAGGTAATGAGTGAAGGTTCAAGCGAAAGGCGATCTAAACACAACACCTCCGCGGTTGGCCTCGGCCAGCTGCTTTCTGTTCTCGTCGAACAATGATCCTATATCACCACTACCGCTCATCGCTAATGGCAAATTGGATGTCTCATCATATAACACAATACTTTGCTTCTATTGAGACTCTCATCGGCCAATCACCCTTCACTAAGTCACTGTAGGCACCCGGCACATGGAGCTTTTGGAGTACTGGCAAATGGTATACACTCGTCTAAACCTCAGGTATAGTCGCGGGTTCGACGCAGATATCCTCATTGACAGACTGACAGCACACAATACACCAATCGTACATTCTCCTATGCAGACGTAGAGCCATCCAACTTCGCTCGATTTTTAGTTGTTATTACCAATCCTTCTCCAGACCTCCCGCTCAGTCTCAGCAAGCGTCTCACCCGCCTTGCCCACCCACCCTTTCACCGCAGTCCACATATCTCCCGCTCCATCACCGCCACCCAGACCACCTCCTCCACTGCTACTGCCGCCTCCAAAGTTGCCTCCAAATCCTCCCATCCCATCCTTTCGCTCCTGCGCATCCAAACTCGCCCTCGCAGCGCTGCTCATCTCCTGCGCGTTCGTATCTTGCTGGTATCCGGGAGGATGTGAAGCCGCTGCTGGTATTGGTTGAGGTGCTGCCCCAAAATTCACGGTCGTTGGACCTCCTGCTCTTTCAGGTGGACTGTATGCCGATGTTCCTCTTACATTCGCTTGCTGCGTTGGCGGAGGAACTCCCATCTGCGCCGGCATCGTCGTGGTAGGTGGTGGTCGCTCTCCAGCTTTGGGAGGTGAAGGAAGATTCGAAGGTGGTGCAGTCATGGGTATTTGCTGTTGTTGCTGCGAGGCTGGGGCAACAGGGACAGCGCCAGGTTGTGGAGGCGGAGGCCCATGGTTCGATGTCGCGGGCGTCGTTCGTGTCGGCTGCGGTTGTGATTGTGGGTTTGGAACGTAAGGAGTTGGAGCAGGGACAGCAGGTGCGCCAGGCCGTGCTGCTGGATAGGGCGATTGTTGCACGGGTGCTGATATCAGACAGTCAGATGTCTCTTTAAAAGATCGATTGCCCATTGAGGCTCTCTTTATGGCTTCTGCAACATACCTTCCGCTTCTTTCTTTGGGGTTATCGGATCGTCAATGTGAACCTGGATTGGCGGCATGATGTGTCGAACCCGCTTTCACGTCAAGCCTGTATAGTAGTAGTGTGCCTGTGGGTTTTACGAGGTCAGAAGCATTCCAGGTTGTCCCTGCGATCGCTCCCTCAGTTTGTTTAAAGCTGCTTTACTGACACGTTTGCTGTTTGCTGCAATGAGGTGAGCTGTCAAACTTCCAGGTGGCTCCTTGCTTCATTGTGCCTAGCAATGACGTACCAGCAAGCCTCGAAGTCGGTCACGTGCAGCGAACACCGACGGCAAGAGCAAAACAAGCAGCATTATAGAGTGAGTCCGACAAAAGGAGATTCTCTATACGCCTTTAGTTAAGGAGCAACCAATGATACAGGGAAAAGTGTTGCCCAGGCCGCAGTAAAGTACATGTGCGAGTACGCTTCGTCTGGAACCGTTTATCGCATCTTCACCATGCCCAAACCACTCTTCATGCAACCCAGAGCACCGCAGTGCCAATCGTCTGTCTTTTGTAGGTCTGGTTTCCGCAGTCTTCACGGGTATGCGAAACGACCCCTTGTCGATCTCAAGTGTTCGCCGTAGAACGAACTGAAGCGACTGGGAGGGCGAGTCGCTTACTTGAACTTCTTGCCGAACATGAGGAGCTGGACCTGGTCGTAGATGGAGAGCACACCAGCACCAGCGACACCACGAAGGATGTTGGCGCCGGCACCCTTGAAGAGCGAGCGGACACCCTCCTTGGCGACGATCTGGCTGGCGGCATCGAACGAGGACTTGTACTTGACGGCCTATAAATGTTTTAGCAGAGCTTCAAACCTATCCAGGAATCCAGTATCTTGTACATACCTCACCAGAAGTCATCATCATACGACGGCGGATAGTGTCGAGAGGGTAGGAAGCGATACCGGCACCGGTGGTGACACCCCATCCGAGCAAGAAGGAGGCCAAGAAGTTGCCCTCAAGAGATCCGACGAGAACGACAGGCTTGAGCGAGTCGTACATACCGAAGTAGAGACCACGGTAGACGACGATACCGGCGACAGAAGGACCGAAACCACGGTAGAGACCGAGGATACCGTCAGAGGCGAGGGTCTTCTTGTAAACATCAACGAGACCGTTGAACTGACGGTCACCGCCACCCTTCGCGTTCTTGGCGTCGTTGGCGAGACGGGTACGGGCGTAGTCGAGGGAGTAGACGAAGAGGAGGGAGGTGGCACCAGCCAGCTGGAGAAATGGTCAGCAGATGCTCGAAGATATCTGGCGACTCTTTTCCATGTAAAACTTACACCACCGGAGGCAAGGTTACCGGCCATCCACCACCAGTATCCATCACGTTCCTTCTTGTAGCCGAACATCGACTTGAAGGTGTCACGGAAGGCGAAGTTCAGGGCCTGGGTTGGGAAGTAACGGAGGACGTTGGCAGTGTTACCACGCCAGAGAGAGATGACACCCTCTTCCTTGGCGGTACGGCTGAAGCATTCAATGATACCGTCGTACTTGCGGGCGAGACGGCCAGCGCGCATCATTTCGTCCTGGAGAAGGCATACAAGTCAGCTTCACGAAATCTTTGGCCCACGAGGGCTCCACGCGGTGTACCGGAATCGGCATATGGATTCGGCCATTGTTGCGTACGAACCTGGTTCTGGATGAGGAGCTTGACACGCTCAATTGGCGCGGCGGCAGTCTTCGAGACGGCGGCGGAGACACCACCCACTGTAAGACTCTGTCAGCCTTCTGCCAATGCTTCTGAAGCTAGCTCCATGCTCTTATCGCCAGCTGTTGCAGAGCTGCGGCCATCACCACATAGCGTGATTTTCATCGACGGCGCGTGCGTAGGGGTTGAACGTACTCAAGAAGTCGACGAGAAAGCCGGGCATGCCCATGCTAGGTGCGGTGTCAGCCATATCGGTCCCTCGGGACAGGATTGCGCCCATTGTCCTTTCAGCGTGCCGGCCATCACCTCGAGGCTCGAAAAAGCTCGCGATGCCTGAAAGCATGACCGGCGACTGGGTCGGCACGGACGGCATATTGATACGTACAAGGACTTCTCTCCTTGCTGCAGCAGAAGATAGGTCAGCCTCGTGTGCCATTGATGCGAGAAGTTTTGGGGAGCTGCGCGGCGCGCGGGCGATACTTACGTCCACATCTCCCTTGGCCATCGTGACGGTATTTGTATGTGACTGAAGTAACCGGAGAGGAGTGTCTGAGGTAGAGTGGAGTGGTTGGTGATGGACGGTGGATGGAACTTGGTGTTGGTGGAATTGTTGGAGAAGGGAGGTGCTGGAGCAGTTTTTGCTTCTCAGGGGGGCCCGTGCGCTCCGGTACCCTCCGTTCACAGACCCGATATCCGCGGCTCTCTCAACACATTCACCTTTTGCCACCGACTTCTACAGTCGCAACCACAGACACATTTTTGACATTCTACGAGTTGCTCGAATTGCAGTATGCAATAGTATGGCATCGCCATCAAACAAGTCCCACGGCGCAGTAAGCCCATAGTCAAGGTCTTAACTCACAACTTTCTCACTTCGAAGCGATACCAACACCTCTTGGCCGGCTGCTAGGCGATAGCGACCATCGGCATTCCTATTTCCGGCGGTCTTCGTCCACCAATGTCCACGGCGCCTAGCATATGATTGCTGCCGAACCGGTCAGGGAGCAGACGGCTTTCGTAATTCTCACATGCAAAGCCTTCACATACTGACCTTGAAGCATGTGACTGTGTATCTATGTGCTTGACGTTGGATGTGGTGTTGGTATGGATTCTCCAGCTGTTCTTCTTCTCTCTATAGCTACACACAGGTCTCTCCTGAAGCGACCTGATCTTGGGAATATGCTACAAACCTCAGGGTTGCTCTACCACAGGAACTCCTATCTCCGACCTGCTAATGTCTTAATCGACGAGCAAGCTCTGAAGTCGTGCTTCCGCTGCGATGACCTGTATGCAAATCGTTAGCACATGTTGCATGTTCAGTTGAGAAAATACTACTCACGTCGACAGCTTGTCTAACCTCCAGGACTCGTCTGCACTCCTGCACCCAATCCTTAGAAAGAACACCAGCCCAACCCTTCAAGCTGTTCATCTCTCGCGCTGCGGCGTCTAAGTCGCCCTCTTCCAGCAAGACCTCTGTGCGGCCAAGAGTAGCTTCGACATCCTCGCCCTCTGGCAGGCCTCGGTCACTCTTCTTCTGGAACATAAAGCGCGAGAGAACCGCGCTGGCGGCGTGGCTGGCAACACCAGCATCTTCAGGAAGTAATGACGCTTTTCGCACTTCCGTTGCAACTCGTCGGAAGCGATCAATCAAGTGCGCGGCCGAAGGTACGCCGCGTTGATAGGCAACTGGGTGGATAGAAGCAATAGCGGCGTTGACCACGGTGTTGTTCTTGCTGACTTCCTTTAGCGCGACGAGCTCGTTGATGAAAGGAGTGGGGTGGTCGGATTCTTGTAGCTTTGCTCTCACCGCCTCGAGCGCAACTTGCAAGTGCTGGGTCTGCAGGGTAGCGTCGACGACTTCATTCCACTCTCCCGTCAGTTTCTCCAGCTCTTGAACGCTGCTCGACAATTCATCCAATTTCGCGAGGCGGCCGCTGCGCTCTTCCTCAATCTTGGCCTTCACATCATCCATGAACTTCTTTTGCAGCTTCACCTCCTGCTCAAGGAGGGCGTTCTGGTTCTTCTGCTCCAAAACCTTCTTCGCAGCATCGAGCTCGGCGGAAAGTTTCTGCTGATAGCTGGTGCTCAGCTTCTCTCGTTCTTGCTCATATTCCTCGCGCCATCTGGTCTCCTGCTCGCGCATCTCCGCCTCCAGGCGGCGCACAAGCTCTTTGGCAGCATTGTCAAATTCTGTATGTGCGCTCTTGATCTTGTTGTCGGCATCTTGAGCAGTCTGGTCTTTCATGGACTTGATTTCGCTGATAACCTTGTCCAAGTCACCCTTGGCTGTTTGTACAGTCGAAGCGTACTTGGCAGCTTCTGGCGACACATTGATCGCAGTAATGATGTTGTTCACCAGCTTGACAAGCTCTTGTACAGCACGCTCTTGGCCCTCAGCGACTTGCAGGTTGTCCACAAGCGACACAGCCGGCGCCGAAGACTTTGGCTCTGAAGTGCTTTGCGTGGTCTTCTCGTTCTTCTTTGCTGTAGTTCCCGAAGACATATCCGTCTTTTGAAGCTTTTCAGAAGACACCGAGGGGGTCTCCGGCTTTGTCGGCGCAGGCCTAGACGTATTCTCGGCCATTGCGCTGGAATGTCTGCCTCGTTGTCCCAAATCTGAGCCACCTTCGCTCTCCGCTACGCGAGGAGTAACACCGCTCTGACGACCGACGGTAACCTTATTCTCGCCGCGGGTCTGGGGCCAATGTCTGCTGCCAAGATCTCTACCTGGGAAGCGCTTTCGGAATTCGCGATCTTCAAAGTAGGCCACGGCATCCTCTCCGTAAGGGACGTATTCGGTAAAGAAATCATGGAAGTTGTCGTTTACCAGCGAGTAGTACACTCCACCAGCGTATCCAAACGTTGAGAGGAGGAATAGGGTAAGAACGAAGTTGCGGAATCGGTGTCGTTTTTTAGGTGGAGGTGGAGGAGGGGCGGATGATGGACCGGTCTTTGCGGAGCCAGTGCCTGTCGGAGGAAGGTTGCCTGTGTTGGTCGAAGGCGGAGGCGGTGTTGATCCCACATCAGCAGGCGCAGGAGGCTCTGGGGGGATCGCGCTGGGCGGGATGTCGTCTTTGGTGGGAGTAGCAGCATCCAGGATGGGTGTCTGAGGGACGCCAGCAGTGGTGCCGCTCTGAGAGCCTGGCAAGACAATCTTATCGGGCGATCGGGCGTCGGCGTATGTCCTCTGCATAGGGCGTCAGTGAGGTGGAGCGATTGTCATGTTCTCGTAGGGACATACTGCCAGAGGCTGCCATGAGCGCTGCTGGAGCCCTTGGCGCCTCAGTTGAAGCCGGGCGCCCTGCTCGAGGCTTCTACTGCTCCGAGCAACGGCTGATCGCAGCATGGTGCGCCGCGGTGGGAGGGAACGATGAAGCAGAGCAGAGCTGTGTTGCGTGAAACACAGCAGGCAGTTCATCGATGCAACAAAAAGCTGCGAGCTCTCCTACCGACGTCGGGTAGCGGGCTAGCTAGGGAGTCGGAGCCGGTCGGGCCGTTGGTGCCTGAATTGATGCCTCACCAAGCTAAGACACCTCGGGCTCTCGTAAGACCTCTGGCTGCTCCCGTCTCGTACCAGAGACGCCTCGGAAGCGCATCGACTTGGAGTCTTGGACCTGGTGGCAGATCCGTAGCGCCCGGCGCGTGTCTCAGGTAGAAGTACTGCACTGCCGGTGACGTGTGCGCAGAAGGGAGTACATGTACACAAACACGAGTCTCCTACACGCTTCAGCACTGAGCATGTGAGCAGGCCTCATCCTACTCACGGCGTGACAGACAACAGCATGGCGGAAGACGCAGCGCAACCGACTGTCGAGCCCGTCAGGAAACCACTGAACCTCATTCCCGTGGGCCTGAAAGAAGCCGCACTCGACTCGCCGACATTCCGAGCGACTGCCTTGCATTTCGCTGACAACATCGAGGCCGTGGAGCGATGGCTGGACGGATACGTGAAAGCTGCTTCGAAGCTGGTCGCCGAAGTCTCCTCACTCGAGACAGCGGTGAACTCCCTTCTGGGACAGTCCATTCCTCCGGGGCAGATCAGTGAGGCAGTCCTGGACCATGACTATACCCTGCTTGCTTTGCGGAGGTACGGAGAGGGGGCAAGGGAGTTCTGGCAGAGCACCCTACGAAACATGAAGAGATATGACACCACCGTGGTGGATCCGATCAAGGCCTTCTTGAACAATGACCTGCGGAGCTTCAAAGAGGCGCGGAGGACCATGGACACTGCGCAGAAGAGTTTCGATAGTGTCATCAGCCGCTATTCGTCCCAGAGCAAGACCAAAGAAGCTTCATCTTTGCGGGAAGATGCCTTCCAACTGCATGAGACGAGGAAGGCATATCTCAAAGCGAGCATGGACTTCTGCGTGCAAGCTCCTCAGCTGCGTGCCTCGTTGGACAAGCTCATCGTGAGGATCTTTGCCGAACAGTGGAAGGAGATGCGCGCCGCGAGAGATTCGTCTACCGCTAATTTCGTTAAATGGGGCGGCGAGATGGATCGCGTGCGAGGTTGGAGCAGGGAAATGGAGAATTCGGAGCGTGCATTCAAGAGGGAACTGCTCACAGCGAGGCGCCAGATCGAGGACAGTGCTCAAAATATGACAAGACCATCCCGCGAGCTGGAGGACTACTCAACCTCCACTGTGCCGTTCCTGGGAGGCGGCACGGCTGCGAAGGAAGGTCAAGAGAAGGCGGAGAAGCAGGGATGGCTGTTCCTCCGAAGCGTCACGGGAAAACCTGCCAGGACAGTCTGGTCGAGGAGGTGGTTTTTTGTGAAGAACGGTATTTTTGGCTGGCTTGTGCAAGGAGCTCGGTCTGGGGGCGTGGAAGAGAGTGAAAAGATTGGTGTTCTCCTCTGCAGTGTCCGACCTGCCTTTCAGGAAGAGCGCAGGTTCTGTTTCGAGGTCAAGACCAAGGACCAGAATATCATTCTGCAGGGCGAGACGCAGCAAGAGCTTACAGAATGGATAAGTGCCTTCGAGGTCGCCAAGCGAAAAGCGCTGGAAGATCCGGCAAGCACGGAAACGTCCTCCCAAGCGCCAGGAATCGATCCTGCTTTTGCCATTAGTCCGCCCGTGGCTCCAGAATTTGCAGCAAAGATTACGGAGGGACACGTCCCGCAAGGAAGCGAAGGCGATGGCGGTCTCAACCTTCCCGATCGCGAGGGAACGGGTCTTGCAAACCGCGCCAGTCTCGATGTGAACCAAGGCCGTCGCGTCATGAGCCTGGAGAGAGATGCCGATGGCGCTCGTGAGGGAACGCGAGATCGCATTATGCAAAAGCTCGATCTTCACAAGCGCTCGAATGCCCCCACGCAGAGCAGTCAAGCGCCAGCAGGCGGCATCGCGAGTCTGATATCGGCTAGTCATAACATCTTGCCGGTTGGGCCCGGTTCACCTCCGCCGCTCGCTCCAGATGGGCCCAGGCGGAACTTGAGTATGCCTGTTAGTACTTTAGCGCCTTCCACACTGGCCGCACCACCTGCTGCAACGAACTTGAGCCACATCGCCGTTGTCATTAGCGGCGAGCGTGGTATAGCTCTAGGTCGAGCAGATGGCTCAAGCGTGCCATCTGGAATCCTCGGAAATATCTGGGGAAGCAGTAACTGGGGATATGTCAATCGTCTTGGCGAGGTGCCACAGCCTCAGAAGCCCACTCGGCCTTCCCGGCCCTCTTCGCAGCAGAGCAGCGGTCCAGCAGTGCGCTCGGTGTCGATCTCACAAGACGATTCCATCATTATGGACGGTATGAACGAGCCGCCGAAAGAAGTTCTTGCGTCACAGCTCAGTACTTCTCCAAGTCATCGTAAGAACATGAGCATTGGCGCGGACAAGCCACTGTCAGCACTGCAGCCATCTATTGTTGACGAGTATCCCAATTACTACCCCTTGCCTTTGAAGGCGCAAAATGCGCAGTTCCGAATGCTGTTTCCGAGTGTTCCCAAAGACGAGAAAGTGGTGCTAGTATTCCGCGCGACCTGGAACCCGAACGAGCAACAGGAGTTCCCTGGTCGAGTATACGTTACTACAAGAGAGATATACTTCTTCTCTAACCATCTCGGTCTGGTATTGATTACAGGCGTCAGTCTCAGTTCTATCAGCGAAGTGACAGCTGCGCCTGGTCGAGATTGCGACTTCCTCTACCTGCATCTAAAGGAGTCTCTCAGTCAGAGTGACCCGCGAAGGATCACCGTCAAGGTCTTTTTGGAGCCACTACGGCTATTACAAAGGCGACTCAACTTCCTGGTCTCTAACGCAGACACCGACGCGCCTGCGGGTCTTGAAGAGACGTTGAAAACTCTGATCAAGATGGAAGTCGAAGAGCCCAAACGTAGTTCCAGCGTCGAGAGCTGGGAGGATATCGCCTACGATGCCGATGAAGCCCGTGATCAAGGGACGCCGGAGAAACAGCGAGGACGGAATATCAAAGCGAGCTTGCGAATCGATGGTAACCTCTACGGCGAGACCATCAAAACTGGGAGAGAAATACAGAAGTTCAAACTTCCCGCGCAGCCCATTGTCTATGCGCCACAAGGCATGCAAGCGAGTGTCTCGCGAGAGTTCAACGTCAGCGCCAAGGCATTGTTCCATGTCATGTTCGGTGACAAGAGCGCAGTGTTTCAATTGCTCTATGCCAACCGATGGGCAGACAAGATTGTCCAGACACCATGGACGAAATCGGACACGGGCCACTGGGCAAGGAAATTCACTAGCCGAAATGAGCAGACGCCCATGGCCGACACACAAACCATCGACATTTTCAACGACCACCTCTGCTATGTTGTTACGAATGGGAAATATCCTTGGAGATTGCCATACAGCAATTCCTTTTCCTTAACAACCAAATTCGTCATCACCCACTCAGCCAAGTCCCGATGCAAGCTTGCAATCTTTCAGAGCTTAAGTTGGACTAAAACGCCACCATTCGCGTACGTTCAACGCCTGATTGAGAAGCAAGCCTTCAATTCTCTAGAGGCGGACGCTCTTGATCTGACTACCGTTGCTATGGACCAAGTGGCCAAGCTCGGGAACCATAGCAAAACGAACAAAGCCGTTGATATCTTTGGAAGTATCGGACAACAAACGCAAGCTGCGCAGATAGACAGCAGTCAGGTTCCGAGCGACTCGATGCCCAGCATCGCCCAACCTCATCAGAGCATACCGTTGAGCATTTGGCGTCTGGTCGTCAATGATCTCTTCGCACGACTCTTGGGATCACTTGGAATGACATTCGATGTCTTAGTTGCCGTTGGTAAGGGCATTGTTGGAGTTTGCACGGCTCATACTTTCCTAGTCGCCATCTTAGCCATTTCGGCGCTCTACAACGCTTGGCATGGGTACAGAGATGGTGTGGTCTGGTATCATGATCGCTCTGCGGCCAAGTTCATGAAGAGAATCGGTGTCAATCCCGAGCCCAGGCTCAGCAAAGCTGTCTACTTGAGTGATATCAACGACTTGGTCACGCCCTTCAACGAGACGAACATGGTAGCGCCGTCGGAACGAACCGGGAAGACATGTAGAACGACCTTTTCGGAGCAACTACTTTCTTCATCGACTTCAGTCGCAGCTCCTATTGGTCTCGGGACTCGTCTCCATCGCTCGCGCGATGCCTTGGCGCGCTATCGGTACGATCTCTTAGTCGCCCTCCGTGTGGTGAATCGCGTCGAAAAGGACGTGGTCCTGGCGGAATGGGAAGAATGGACATATGCTGAGGAGAAGAGATGTGCACGTATTGAAAGCATGCTTAGACAACGCACGCAGAAAAGCGGCGGAAGTAGCAAGACGGAGGCGGAGCTTGATGCAGAACTTGGCGCTGACTTTGCGGATTATTGCGCAAGTTGCAGGACGGAAAGGGAGGCGATCGGGAATGGGCCGGTGATGAATCTGATATGATGTAATATGAGACAGACTGAAGCTTTCTTGCTGCGGTGGAAGATACCCGACTGCTGTTGTGGTGAATGGTTTTGCGGAAAAGGTTCTGTAGCACCAACGGAACGATCATGACATGTTGATCAATCCGGGACTCTCGGAGTCTCCACCAACATTCTGAGGACACCACGAGGGGCTCTCCGGAGTCAACTCGCTCACGATAGTGAAGACAGCATGCTGCCGCTCTTGTCGAAGTCTTGCGAGCGCGGCCAAACCCATAATCCCCAAAATCTGGCCAAATATCGAACCATCGGTCTTAAGATGGGAAGTACCAGCAAGCACCACAATCATGTTGGCACAGCATCCTCCTCCGGGGATCCCATACAGACATTCAACCCCAGTCTTTGCCTTCTAGAAATGGCAGCATGCCATACCTTTCAGCCGTGGATGGCACATTCTCAATCTCATCCTCGCACTTTACACGGAGGTTTCCAAGGGGTGCTGTCCTGTCCGAGTCAATTTCCGGACCTGCCGTTTCACAAGATACTCCGGAAGACAAGTGATCCGTCGACGCCCCCCGAGCCGCTGTAGCCAGCCACTCAGGCCGTATTCCAGCATTTCCTGCAGCCTTGTGCGATCTTGATGTCAGTCACAACCTCCTCCGCTACTGGCACCGCGTCCCAATGGAGAGAGTCTACTTGCTCGCCTAAGAGAGAGAGAGAGAGAGAGAGAGAGAGAGAGAGAGAGAGAGAGAGAGAGAGAGAGAGAGAGAGAGAGAGAGAGAGAGAGAGAGAGAGAGAGAGAGAGAGAGAGAGAGAGAGAGAGAGAGAGAGAGAGAGAGAGAGAGAGAGAGAGAGAGAGTCTCCGTACGTTCCCCAATAAGGGTAGAAAGCGAGCCAGCCTTAGGGGCGCTTGTCATGTGGGACGGGATAGACATCTCCGTTGTCCCACCGGGTGGTCGGGAGGGCCTCGCACTCGTCGGACATTGACATGACTTCGAGGGCTGTGACGACGCGACTAAGGACAGGCATTGCTCATGTGGCATGAAAGGTAAAGGGTCAAATCAGACGTTCCAAAGCTCTCACCAACGTGCTCTCGAATTCACTCTTGCGGTTCAGAAACTCGAGCAGGAGAGGATGCTGGCTGGCTACGGTTTGAGCAATGTCCTGCGGATTGCGGGCATTTTTCTCCATGCGATATGCTAACGGCGCCTCATGCGAATTCGGCCGAGGTCATCACGGCAGTACAAGCGGCCAGACGGCTTCTACTATCGACGACGAGAGCCGCAGACTTGTAGCCGGGGCGACGAGGTCGATATCCTACTCATTATAAACCAATGGCAGAGAAGTTCTACTCATGACCAAAGCTGCAGCTCTTTTACACGCGGACGCGGCTTGTCGGTGAAGAAGCTTTCGCTTGGTCAACATGTCAAAGAAAGTCTTCGGCGTGTCGAGACACTTTATCCGAAAGTTGCCCGCCGACATTGGGCATCTTGTACGGCCGCGCGCAGAGGCACATGGTACTGATGGACGCGTTGATGTAGGATACGGCAAACGATGGCTGCGATCTACCAAGTAAGGACGTTTGCAGAGCAGCAGAGCAATCTGGCGTCCACCTGAAGCCGAACGCCAACTCTGGCAATCCCATGGAATCGGGCATTGGAACAGTCTGTCTGGATCCACGATGGTCAGAGGACTACTGTATCGGATGCGTACTTAGAGCATCGCTTTGCAAACCTGGCTGTTCGCATGAATCATTTGGTCCGCAGAGTTCTTTTCGCCGACAGAAGGGCGACTGGGCTCGAGACAGTCGATGGCTTGAGCATGAGAGCCTGCCGAGTATTCATCACCAGGCCACGGTTGCTCATATTGTCTGGTATTGGAGCCCCAGACCACCTAGGAGATCATGGCCTTGGATGTTCTGCATGAATTACCTCAAGTGGGCCGAAACCTATAGGACCATTGCTTCTCGCATGCTGGCGTCGTCCTGCAGAGGAAGTCCGATTCTTCAGAAGAGAGGCCGGTCCCAACGCCAATAGGGTGGTTCAAACTCGACGCCGTGGAAAGAACTACTGAGCTTCAAGCTCTTCCGCCCACGCTAAAGGCGTATTCAAGAAACCCGACGGTACTGGATTGGAGGTTGGCAACACACATCCCTTGCTTTGATGGAGAACGTGTGGAAGCAGACGGAGAGATACCTTCTGCGATTTGTCTGGTCATGAACCCACAATCAAGGGGCACGGTGACACTGACATCGACAGCTCCCCGTGAAGCACCTCGAATCGATCCAGCCTTCTTGTCACACCCATTTGACAGAAGGGTCATGGTGGAAGCGATGCGGGGGATGTTGACATTCTTTGAAAGGGCGCCTGTGTTCGCCAGCCGAACGATACGGAAGCTTGTATGGCCTGATTCTGATTCCGATGAAGCGATCATGGCAAGCCATCAGCCACCTTTTCACTCAATCTATACATTTCATTTTAGATAGGAGCTGGATGAAAGACGTCCATGTCAATTCGCGCCGTCTCGTGGTCGGTCAGTTTTCGCTCGATGAAACTCGTCCTTCGGTCTCTCCTCCCTTCTATGCCGTCGCAAACTTAGCCTTGCGACGGTCGGCAGCATCCTTATCAGCCTGGGTCATCCAGCTCGGATAGCCACCATTGCTGTTGCTCTCCTTCTCGGGCTTCCTGCCACCGGCACCGCTACCGCCCTGTTCCCTGCCTGGTCGACCACGGCTTCTCTTCCTGTCTCCGTGGTTGCCGCCATCATTCTTCGCGCCTCCGTCTCGGCCACGCTTCCTGCCCGGCTTCGCGTCCGACAGAGCCTTGTTCAAGCCTCCAAGACTCTCGCTGCTCCCAAACTTCTGTGCGCGCTCCAGCTTCTTCCACTCTTCATCGTCCTCCGGCACTCCAAACTTGCGCAGTCGTGCTCTGCGCTTCTCAATCTCTTCCTCGAGCGTGCGCTCCGCAAGACCCGTGCTGAAGTCCTTCTCCTCTTTCTTCTCCTCGGCCGCGGCGGGCTCGGGTGCTGCTGGAGGCGCAACGTCAAGCTCGTCGGTCTTGGCTGGGTCGATTGCGGCTTCTTGATTGGGTACAGCTTGAGGGTTCGGCACCTGACCTTGACCACCAGCAGCTATGGCATTCGCGGCCGCCTCGTTCGTCGCGGCCTCGGCGGTCTCTGTTGCTGGCTCATCATCCCAATCGATCTCGTCCTCGTTCGCGGCGGGCTTTGCTGTAGCGGCGCTGGCTGCGATTTTCGTGTCATATTCTTCCAAGCGCTTCACTAGATCGGCCTTCTTGCCAGTGTGAGGGAGACCGCGATCTTTGCAGAGAGTCGCGAGCTCGTCGTTCTTCTTCTTCGCGTAGTCGGCCATGGTCGCACCCACTGATCGATCGAGGGACGCGCCTGTGAAGTCGGGGTAAGGTCAGGAAAGAAGGCTGGGAGATTAAACTCAGGGAACTCGAATGAAGCGGCGGCGCGAAGATGAACGTGATTACGGTCGTAGACGACGAGGGAAGTAATGAAAGGGTAAGGACAAGTGACGGCAACAGCGATGTTTCGCGGCGCAACAATCGCGCTGGAATGCATAGCTCCGGATGCATGCATCAATGCCTGAGGCAAGCGAGCGCACGGGCTTTGCAACCTCACTCTATATACACATCAGGCCTCTGTCCCCTCCAACATGCCGCTGAGAGATCCATACTCAGCGCCCTATCCTACGGCGTTGATAACCAATCAGATACCAGGGAACTCGAGTGCCAGCTTGGACGGCAAACTTCCCCCCATGTCCGCGACCAATTTCTCCCTCTTCTTCTTATAGTGCGAGTTGGCGCGCGCAAGCTTCGCATCGCCTTCCTTCTTCCACTGTGCATATCCAGGGTTCGACGGATGCATCGCCGGCTCGAAGTGGTCCAGGGCATTCTGCCTAAGTCTTCTCGCCGCTTTCATATTCTCGAGAGCCTCAGACTCAGCATCAACGGCAGCTCCTTGAGACGCATCAGCCTTGGTGGACTCTGCACCGTCCGTAGCAAGCTTCTCTGCAGCTCTCCTCTTCTTCAAATCACTCAACTCCACTTTGGTCACTGGACTGTGCTTTGGCTTCATGCAATCGGCCTCGCGAAAGGATGGATAGAACTTGGCATCGTCATCCTCGAGTTGATGATTCTTCGAAACTTCCATGAGGGCATTTCGCTTCCCCATGTATCGTCTCGTGGCCTCAACCAACTCTTGTGCATCCTCGTATGACCATCCGTCAACCACGCGGGAGCGTGCTAATTCTCTGTCGCACCAAGCCTCCTTGAGGGCTTCGCGCGCGGTACCGCGCGCAGCTTTCTTCTCTCGTCTGGTACCTTGCTGTGGTGGAGTCTGTGTGGCAGCTTCTTCGTCCTGGACTTCTGACGCCGGTGGTGTAAGACCCTGGTTGGCGACATCAGATTCGGCGACTTCAGTCTCTGAAGGCGGGCTGGTCTCTTGCTCGCCACGTCGGTGCTTGACAGTATCAGACTCCGCAACAGACGCTGCAGTTGCCTCTCCCGCGAGTAGAAGATCAAACTCACCCTGGCGGTCTGATTGTGCGGCGCCTAGTCCGGGAGGGGCTCGTGCCTCCTTGCCCTTAGTGGTCTTCGCTGAAAAGGCCTCACTGGTCTTGCCTGTAATGACCTGCTTCGCATGCTCGATCTTGGGCATGGCAGACGCACAATGCATGCAGAGTCCGTATTGGCCCATGCGTGAGGGCTGGGCGGTCCACCTATCACACTGCGAGCACAGGACGGTTTGAGCGTTTGAAGGCGTCTGGACAGTGTCTAGGGATATTAGCTCTTCCGCAGTAGACAGGCGCACTGGAGCGGTGTTGGGCGAAAGACTGGATGGCGCTTTCGGAGCAGTGTCGGCACCTAAAAGATCGCCGTCAGCCTGCTCAAGGTCCATAGCTGGAAGAGCGAGAGCGAGTGGTAGGGTATCTTGGGTCTCTTTCTCAGCAGCAGGCAAGCTCTTTGCCGTGATACCAGTCGTGGGGCCACGTGCGGCATGATGGGTCGCCTGCAATGCGTTCGTGTCCGGCTTCGAGAATGCTTCTGGGCGGTGGAATACGGTGCGTGCGTGCAGCTTCGGCGCTTGATTCTCATCGGCATACAAAGGATCCGGCCCATTCACAGCCGTCGCTGCGTTACCAACACGACCAGAAAGGTCGTGTGAAGTAGCTCGAGCTTCACGGCCGGAGCCGGCGGTGGGAAAGTCGACTTGCTTTGCCTGGGCTGCTTGGAGTTTGCGCAAATGAGGCGGAACTGCAGCGTCGGGGTTTGGCGGGAGCATGGGAGCGCGATTCGTTGTCGTCGCGCTGGCCTGTGGACGGGAGGGCCGATCTACTGGATGCTGCAACGCCTGTCGGCCACTGGGGCCACGAGCCTGGGCTGGCTGGTAGCGTCTTGGTGGCTGGGTTGATCTCCCGGCCTTCGCTTTTGGTTGCGGTGGTGTAGCTTCTGCCATGAAATTCCTCGCAGCCTCGAGTTGCTCAGCGCTGAAACGAGACGGCGGCTGGGTATTGGGAGCACGCTCATTCGAGACCTTATCGGCAGACTGCAACTGCTCGCTCAAGACTTGAGACTCGTCTCTTCCTGTAATTCCTTCTGGGCCTGACGAGAGCGGCTCTGCCATCCATTCAGCCTGGTCGCGCTTTGCTTGTGGCTGCTCCTGCACTGCCGGAGCCTCAGGAGATGGCCACTGATCGCCAGAGGATTCCATGATGGCATGGCTCTCGTGATTTGGCAGGTTCACTTCGCTTGCATCGTCATCATTGACTCTTTCCTGGCTATCGACTCCTTCATCCGGAGCCTGCTGTGCCAAGTTCTCCTGGTCGAAGAGCTCTACATCGTGCTCGGAAGTCTCATCCTGGTCGTTACTGTACTGCTGCGGGTCTGTGCCTTCGGAGGCGGTTTGATATTCGGAGTCCGTGCCTTCGGATGCGGTTTGATATTCAGAGTCCGTGTCGTCTGGAGCTTGCGTCTGGCTCCCGCAGCTCGTGACAGGCTCCTGCATGCAAGCCTGCAGCGCGAAGGAGGCGCCAAGCAGCAAGCGAGCCTGGAGCCAAAACAGGCAAAGCCAGCAGAGCACGAAGATGAAGAGAAGCACGCACAGCAAGACCGCCACAATCAGAACTGCGACGTTGAGGACGAGCATGATGAGCGTGCCTACGTCGATAGCCTAGCGAGTGTTAGTGCTGAGTGGAAACTGGGGGACATAGGAAATCATACCAAGGGCTCGAGCTCGTGATGGAGCTGGTTCAGAGTCTTTGCGGCGGGCGTCACCGCGGTCGACGACTCATACCCACCTGGTGGGTCGTAGGAGGCGGCGCCGTCCATCTTCGCGGCGGGCGGCGCGAGGGCGCGCAGCTTTCCTGCACTTCGAGTCCAGGTCAGCCTCGACGGTCTCGTGCAATCAAGTCACGGTCTTCTATCAGCGCTGGCGGCGCACGACAGAGGCAACTGGCAGTTAGTGGTTGGCGGGTGGACTTTGGCGGTCGGCAATTGGCAATTGGCAGTTTTTCTTTGTCACTGTCACCCTTGGTCAGCAGTCCTCGAATGTTGTGTGCGGCCTCGTTACCTGTGCAGAGGGTATTCGGGTAATTGAAGAAAAGGAGTCGACTTGCAACGGAGAAGGAGTGGTGGCCAGATGGCACCAATGGATGGATGCGGTACAGCTGTGGTGTTGTTCGATGCGGTGCGATAGGATGCGGTGCGGTGTGATGCGTATGTGTGGTTGTGTGGTTGTAAGGTGAGAAGTTGGAAGCAAAGCAGAAGCCGAACGGTGAAATTCTGCCTAGCCAACCCGTTCCAAGAAAGGAAGGCACGCGGACCACGGACAAGCAGACAAACGGAGGAAGGTGCGAGTCGGCCTTGTTCAAATATCGAATAACAAGCGTTGAGTACATCCATCGCACTCATCATCATCATCAATCAATCCAATCAATCAATCAATCGATCCAGTCAATCAATTCAGTCAATCCATTGCGGTGTTGCACGGCATCTCACACGCTCGCTCACGACTTGGACTGCCTCTTCCTCATCCCGACTTTCAAGCCCAGTGGCTTCCTGAGGAATCCTTCACGCGTCTCCAACTTGTCCTGATACAGCTCGAATTCGTAACGGCGGAAAACAGTCGACACAATGAGAGCAAGTTCCATCTCAGCCTACGCAACAGGTCAGTCTGGTAACGCACACACACATACACACCAAAGTCAGGGGCGAGGCCTCTACTCACCACGTTCCTCCCGACACAGGCCCTAGGTCCGTAGGAGAACGGAATGAAGCTCTGCTTCTGCCTCTCCGAAACCTTCTCCCACCTCTCTGGCCTGAACTCTTCCGCATCGGGCCCCCAGATCTCCTTGCTATGGTGGATCGTATACGCCGGTACACTCAACACGACCCCCTGAGGAAAGAATCGTCCACAGACTTCGTAGCCTCCTACTGGTACCATGCGAGGCAGTCCAATGCTGGAAGTACTATGGATGCGAAGCGTCTCTTTGATAACGCAGTCCAGATATGGCAAATCCTTAACCTGCTCAAAATTCGGCACGCTCTCGTCGTTCGGAATTGCCTGGTCCAGCTCAGCTTGGAGCTTCTTGATAACGTTCGGCTTCGTCAGGCAATGATAAAGCAGAGCACAAGAAGTATTCGACGTCGTATCCGAGCCGGCGATCAGTTGCGTGAGCGCCTCAGCCGTCAACTCAGCGCGTCCCAACTTCTCCCCCTTTTCATCCTTCCCCTCCATCAATCTCGCCAACAGATCCGTCCTGTGGATTTCTCCCCTCTCAGCCGCTTCCAGTCTCTGGTTCACCCGCGCAACCGCAATCCCAGAAAGCTGCTGGATAGCTGCCATGCCCTTGGAAAAGAACGGATCCGGGAAGTACTTCGCATAAGGCTTCACCTGCGGCAGACAGCCCACCGCATTGCTCACTTCTCCCCTCCGATTCAGCACCTCGATCGCAGGTGCGTACGTCGGCGGGGAATCCGGCGAAGCTCTCACCTCAGCAATATCCGCACCCTTCTCCAGCATCCCAAACGGCGCCCCGAAAGCCAGATCCCCAATGATATCAAAAGCCACATAGTTGAACCAATGCAGGGCGTCAAAGGTAGTATACTTCCCAGCACCGGTATTCTTGGAAATCTCATCCCATCTCTGGGTCAACATTTCCAAATTGTGATGGATATACTGCTCAAACTGTCCCACGCTCTTCGCGCTGAACGTATGGCTCACCGTCTTCCTCTTCCTGGTATGTTCCGCCCGATCCCTCGTATTGAACAGACCCCTCTGGATCGCAACAAAGGCGTCATAGTATTCACTCTTCAAGAACCCCGTTCCGTGCCCGTAGATGATGGGAATCGCATCCGGGTCCGCGATGGAGATATGGTGCGGCTGGACGCGTACGAACCTGCCATACTTCTTGTGCAGTCCCTGGACGGTCAGGTATCGTCGACACTTCCGACATTCGTACATGTACCAGAGGTTCGTGAACTTGGCCAGGAACGGGCCCGGGATATCTTGAATCGACCAGTTTCGGATGTACGGGAGGAGGTAGTACAGGACGGGCAGCAGGAGCAAGGTCCATGGCGTGAAGAGGAAGGAGAGGAACATGCTTGCTGGCTGCTTTCCAAGAAGCTACGGTATGCAGTGAGGTCGCGTCGCCGAGGGGAGGAGAGGAGATGGCAAGCGGTGACATGTACTTATACCAGAGGCGCCCATCTACCCTCCACGCACGCCATATACCTCATCTGGAACCCGTGTGCCCTCTCCGGGAGCATTCACGTCCCACATCGCGCGCTGGTCCGGGACGGGGGCTTGGGGGGGGAGCTCAGAGACGCAACGGGAAGTACCCTATCAAGCCCGCGCCATTAGTCTCGGCGGTCACGGGATGCGGGGAGAACATGGTGGAGGCTGGTGGAGTTTCGGCGTTCAATCGGGCTTGCTGGCACGGAAGACAGATACGGGAGCGAATCTCATTCGGAACCTGTACCCGGGAGTAGTTTCGGGAGCACTATAAGGCTATGCAGGTCTCAGAAGCTGCATGTGCGTCGCTCTTCGGAATCTGCGATGAGAGCGAACTTTTGTGCATAGTGGCACGTCCTATTCAACTTGGCATATCATAGCCTACTTTTGATCTACACATTGCTACAAGACTGTAGTAGATATCAAACCTAGGGCAACAGCTACATCACGGCATCTTTCCCTTTTCCTTTTCCAAATATGACCTTGGACACTTCTGACGTGAGAAGAGCACAGTAAGCCAACAGCCTGTCAACTCAACCCTGTCTTTCTCTTCTGGCAATCCACCGTCAAAATCGATAGATCCGGAGTTGGCCTAAAGAGGGCCTCAATCGTACAGATCCTTGTCCGCTGCATGGTTGTTCATTCCATCCGGGAGAATTGCCTGCTCAGGCACCTCACGGCTCTTACCCTTCCCCTTCCCTTTACTAGGACTTAACCGCGCGGTCCCATCAGTCAATGACATCCGGTCAGTCCGGATGACATAGTCGTCATCGTCGTCGTTGGCGTTGGCGTTGCCATCATGAGCGCCAGGCGTCATTACTGGTCTGTGGACGTGGACAGCATGACCGGGCCCGCCGTTCGTGGTAGGTAGCTTGTTCTTGCTGGCACGTCTCATAGCTTCAGTCGCCCTACTACGAGCGTTGCTGGGACCGTTTTGGCTCGAGCGACCGGCGTCATCCACACTGTCGATGTCCTGGGAATTTTCGCTGGTCGTTGCCGCGCCCTCGAAAGTGCTGCGAACTCGTTCATAGTGACCAAGCTCGTCCACGCTGACACTAGGGACCAATTCTGACTTGGCACGAATGAAATCGTCCTCGGTGACGAGAACTTGAGTGTCCGCCTCCGTGCTGTAGTGATCGAAATAGTAGGCCACCGAGATCTTGCTCTGCCCACGAATGGCGCGCTCCGAATTGATGGCCGCAACACGCTGGTCTACCGAACGTGCAGACCGTGTGACAGCCTTGAGCATGGCATCAGAGCACAGAGCATACAGATCGGCACCTGTAAAGGTGAATGGAAGCGTCTCGGAGACGCGAGCAAGCGATACCGATGGATCGAGTGTGAATCTATTGAAGAGTCAGCCATTGCCATTCGGATCAAGTCTTCGTTATACTCACTTCCTTGTCAGTGCTTGGAGAATAGTAGCTTGCTTCTCGTGAGTATCGCTGATGCCGAGGTAGAGCATCTTATCGAACCTGCCAGGTCGCAGCAGAGCCTGATCGAGCAGGTCCGGTCGATTCGTAGCTCCGATGACGAAAACACCGCCGCCACTCTCCTCTCCATCACTCATACCGTCCAGTTCAGCGAGCAATTGAGATACGATTCGGTCCATGACACCGCCGCTGTCGCCTTGGTTGCCACGCTTGGGCGCAACCGAATCCAGTTCATCGAAGAAGACGACGCAAGGCCGAGCGTCTCGAGCACGCTGGAATACTCGTCGAACATTAGCTTCAGACTCACCAATATACATGTTAAGGAGCTCGGGCCCTTTGACTGAGAAGAAATTGAGGCTGAACTCCGTCGCGATCGCCTTTGCCAACAGAGTTTTACCAGTACCCGGAGGTCCGTAGAAGAGGATTCCACTTCGTTTCTTCAAGCCTTTGGCAAAGAGCTCCGGCCGAGAGAGGGGCAGTTGGATGGTTTCGATGACTGCGTCTTTCACGTTTGTCAGGCCTCCTACGTCCGACCATTGCACATTGGGGATCTTTGGCGCGCCAATGGCATCTGCAAAGTTCTTGCGAGCGAGGTCGACAGCAGAGTCGAAATCAAGTGGAATGACTGATGTTGCAGCAGCACCGCCGGAGAGCTGGATGTCCTTGATGTTGATCGCTCTTTTGGCAATTTCCGCTTTGGAGCGAGCTAGTGTTTCCAGGCGCTCAGCTTTGGCTACGATGGCACGATCAACCACATCAACGAGGTCACCTGCAACAAGTGCAGCAGTCTTGACTGCGATTGAGGCCAGATCCACGTCGACCGACAGTGGTGTTCCGGACCCGGTGACCACATCGCGAAGGATACCTTCTCTCTCGCCTTCGTCAGGTGCTGTCATCTCGAGTTCATGAGTGAAAAGCCCACGAACAGTGTCGGAGACTTTGTCAATGTCTGTGGTTGTTGCAATGAGCACTCTCGCGGTTTCCAAGACGTCCTTCAAAGACGAGGCTGCTCGATCTTCGCCCAAGACTTCGAGGTGCTTGATGCATATCACTGTGTTCTCAGCCCCGCAATCCAATGCTCGCTCACAGCGCGCTTCGAGGAGACCTTGCGCCTGCACATCGACGCCCGCCCCGCCTTCAGATGATATGTCGTGGGCGTCAATGGGGAAGAAATGGACACCAAGATCAGCGCAAGCTCGATGGATTGTTCGTGCCTTGCCGATGTTACGCTGGGTCGAGTGAACGAGGACGGTCAACGGTGGCATTCCGAGATGGACTGCCCTCGGGCTAACGGACACAGATATCAATTCCCTCAACCTACGCTGCAATGGCGAGACATATGGCGGAACAGCTCCTGGCACTCCCGCAGTGCCTTGACCTGCACCTGCCTTTGGCTGCATCTTCGAGACGCCCAAATAGTACTGCCAAGTGTTGGTAGTGGCGGAGGGGAGCTTACGCCTGTCATCTCCTGACTGGCGCATTTGGATTTTGCTTGGATCTATGCACGCGACATCTCCCCAGAGCTCAGCATCTGCTCCGTTGAGATCCTCGGGTGCCGGTACATTTATATCCTCAATCGAGAACCATGCAACGTTCCTGTTCGTATGATCATCGTTTCCGTCCGAGTTGTCAAAGTTGTGGCATAGCAAAGCCGAGGCGCTGCTGCCGTCTTGTTCAGCTTCGCCCTCGTATATTGATCGACCAAGAGACTCGTCGACTTGCACCGCGATGAGATCACCAGGCTTCAGGATTCGTTGCTTCTCCTCAAAGTATTGTTTGAGTTTTGCGAAGAGCGTATTGTTGAGGGATCGCTCCGTCGAGATTGGGGTGACAACCTTCCTCAACGTGACCTCGGAGGCTGTCGGAGGCAGGCATGCTACGGATGCAGGTCTTGGCGTCAGAGGGCGCTTCAAGTTCGCCCGTTTCTGTGACGGTATGCAGGACATGCTGATGTTAGTAGGCTCTTGAAGGTTCGCATGCAGGATCGGCGAAAGGTACATCGTGGCCGTCGCGCTCGAGTTGGTGACCAGGGAAGATATGCTGTCTCGTCGGCCATGTCTGTTGTTGAATTGGTAGCGCTGTGGACGCTTCGACATGCTCTCTGGGAGTGTGTAGACCTTCACGGGGCGCCACTGCTGAGCAAACGATGCATCGAGAGCACTGAATGCGCTTAATTGCGGTAAGAAATGGCTCTCGGCAGCTTCGATCCTGACCCAGTCGCCCGAAAAGCAGCCAAGACGCGCCAAAGCCTGTGGATCGACGTACACTCTGGCCTCTTCATCTTCGTACGGTGGAGGCTTTGGATGCAGAAGCTCTGATGAAATGCGCTCGACGAGACCCTGAGCACGGAAGACCTTGCTGCGTGTGGCTTGACCACCACGGATTGTGGTTGAAGTGACATTGGAGAAGACAGATCCTGGCGTACTCACACCTTGGGTGCGGCTTCCAAATGGCCGGGGTGTGGCCGAAGTGAGGGCAGAGCCCAATCCAGAGGGAGCATCGGCAAGCCCAGGCTTCGCGAGAGATATCATGTCGTCCGAGTCGTCAGAAAGGTTGCTCTCCTCGGCACTCGAATCGAACAGATCATCAGAATTGGACATGTCGGTAGCGGACTTGGAGACCACGATGGGTTGAGCGGGTGAGTTCTCCTCCGTTGCCGAGTAGAAAACCTCATTTGCTGTGTCCTCCTCTCCCGACTCCTCCTCCAGCCGCGGAGACAGGAGACCCCTATTCCCATGGGCATGAGATCGCTTCTCTGATGAAGGGACGATGACAATATTCGTGGTTGGAGCAATGCTTCCCTGCGATACGGGTTCACAGGCCAGGATGCGAGCGGGTGGTGCTGGTGTATGCGTCACGGGATGTGCAATTGGCAGCGGCAAGAAGTCCTCGGTATGCACCACGTGGATGTTGCTCAAGGCCTCTTTGACCAATGCCTTGGTCTTTCCGTCTCCATCACCCAGCCCAGCTCCCTCCTCTTGATTGTCTGTGACGGCGACGGCCCTCTTCACGCCCCTCGGAGCTATCTGGGCTGAAGATCCTCCGAAGCCACCGCCGTACCTCTTGTGCACATCGTCCAGCTTTTGCAGAGCCTCTGTATCGACTGATACGAAGACGGTGTCCAAAGGCAAGGGAATGACATCGCTGATGCGGATCTCCACAGAAGTGTTTTGTCGAAGAGTCTTGGTGGGCGACAGAGCTTGCACAATCCTCACGAAGCTCTGCGTACCTAACGCTGAGGCAGGAAATCGAATGGTGGACGCAGGTAGAGGCTTCTCGTTGGCGAGTTGGCCGCGGAAAGGCAGGACAGCCCAGGTTGACTCAGTGGCAGAGGGATGGGGAGTCCAGGGTGTCACAGCGGCGTGCAAAGTTCTCCCCTCCCCGTCTTCGGCGACGAGATCTTCTCCCGGAAACAGATCGCTGAGCAGGTCACTCGACAAGACACCCAGCTCGCCCCTCAGACTGCTGTCGAGGAAGAGTCGCGCCGAGATGGCCGGCTTGTCCTCCCTCCTTCTCCTCTTGCGTTTCAGCGAGCCGGCTTGGGGCACGTCGTAAGCCATTGCTGCCACGTACGGCACCGTTCAGTCCTCAGTCCTCCAGCTGTTCCTCTCCTCCTACTCCGATACACGCATGTCCCCGACGACGGCGCAAAGAGACCTGCAATGCAATCAGACCACGCGCCTTGCAGTGGCCTGGCGGAGTGTTAATCACGAGCTCCAGAGGTCCGCAGCGTCTCAAGTTGCCGAGGTCCGAATGCTGGCTGAGGCATCGAATGCTCGTGTCAAGATGCGAGAGTACAAGATGTGATGGAGAGCACGAGGCTGCGCACATGCGCGTGCTGACGAGGCTACGCGTGCTGCCTCGGAGGAGTAATAATCATCTCATCCCTTCTCGGCGAGGCACACAGGTACGGTACAGCAGCCGCCTGCCCTCTCGGCTTTTAAGCTAATTTAGAGAGGAAAGCTTCCGGGGAGGCACGAGACGAAGCGGTGCAATCACATGACTCGATCGATACTGGACACCTCAGGCAGAACTTCACAATAATCTTCAGTTCCCGCCTTACACACGTGCACGCACACACGCATTGCGCTGATCGGCGGCATCGGCCCGCGCGCGCGTCACCAGGAGTCTACATGTATCTGAGTTAAGGTTGATAGAAGCCCGCGAGGTTTTTCGTTCATCAACTGGTTCTTCCAACAAGAGTGATGCATGTAACGCCCACCGACACAACAACGCCTCTGCCAACCAGCCCATTTTCTACACGGCCATGCCCTCTTCTGCCCGTCTGCATAGAACAACGATACACTTTTCCTCGCCGATCCTGCCCGCCCCTCGACGCTGCCCGGTTCGCGACTACACGCGCGTTCCGTAGCGCCCTGCCCGCGTCCTCCGCGCGTCCTACCAGATCCGCCGTCTCTCCGACTGCTTGAAACCGCTTATGTCGAGAACTAGTTCGACATGACACAAGATGCTCCCCGCTCTACCGGTAGATCTCCCGTTGATGGCTCGCATACGTACGAGAAGCACGACCTCGCGATCGAGTTCACCCACCAAGCCGAGCGATTAGCCCAGCTCACGCCCCAGCAAGAAGATGAGACGACTGGCTCAACACAGGCAGCGGAAGCAAAATGGGTCACTCCTCTAGACCCAGTAGTAGAGACGGTCGATGGAGCCCGATTGCCAGCTATCCCAGTTGCAGAGGCGATCAAACTCAATCACCTGAAAGATGAGATGGAGCATAAACAACCACGAAATCCTCCACGAAGTGCTTTGAGACACGGCAAGGATGGCACCGCACATGGCTCCTTCACACCAAGTACCGATGGGTCAACTAGGCAGAGCGAAAAGCTGGATGCACCTCTGGGCGAAGCAGTCCCTCCTTCACGGACAAATCCTCTGTTCCCCCCTCTACCTATGTACGGACCCCCGTCTGTACTACGGACATTGCAATGTTGGTTCTTTCGAGTATCATCTGCCATACTGTCATTCGGCTTCCTCCTCGCCATTGTAGCGGGTGCAATTGTGGAGGCATTTCCGCGTATGTTCAAGAGCGCGAGGGCTTTGGCCAAGCTGCAAAATCCAAAGAGGCTGCGACCTTTCTACGATGAGGAAGCGAGAAGGAAGCATGAAAGGAGAGCAGCAGAAAAAGCTTGGGTGCAGCAGCAACGCAAGGGTACACAAACACCATCTGGAGAAAAGGGTCCGAATGGCGAGCAGCAACTTCCCCAAGACGGTCAATTCATTCCTACCGAAGGCGGTCCAGATCCACTCTGCATAGACGTCGGTTACTATGCAAGACGTGTTGGTTTGGATGCAGAGACCTTTGACGTGCAGACCGAGGATGGGTTCATTATTGAGCTTTGGCACATCTTCAATCCTCGCGAGTATACGAGGCCTTCCAAAGAAGCCTACCGCGCTCAGCCTCCAGACCTCTTCCGCACCAAGCCCTCCGATCCAAGTTACGGTGAAGCCCAGAGGGCCTTTCGCGAGGGCAGAAAGAAGTATCCTGTGCTCATGATGCACGGCTTGCTGCAGTCCGCGGGCGCTTTCTGTTGTAACGACGATGACTCCCTGGCTTTTTACCTGGCAAAATCTGGATACGACGTCTGGCTGGGGAACAACCGCTGCGGCTTCAATCCCAAACACACCTCCCTCGACTATGGAGATCCGAGAATGTGGGCCTGGAACATCCGCCAGATGGGCGTGATGGATCTCGCCGCACTCACAAGCCGGGTGTTGGCACAGACGGGCTTTCCGAAGCTTGCTCTCATCGCACACAGTCAAGGAACCACTCAAACTTTCGTAGCGCTCGCGAAAGAGCAGAGACCAGAGATTGGCGAGAAGATATCTGTCTTCTGTGCTCTGGCACCAGCGGCCTATGCCGGTCCTCTTATTGGCAAGATCTATTTCAAGGTCATGCGGTTGGTCACGCCCTCGATTTTCAGGCTGATCTTCGGCATACATTCGTTCATCCCACTCATGATGTTCGCACACAAGGTGTTGCCCGCCAGACCGTACTCGTGGATGGGATACCACGTCTTCTCCTTCCTCTTCAGTTGGAGCGACAGCAGATGGGAAGGCGGTCTCCGGGATCGCATGTTCCAATGGGCGCCTGTCTATGTCAGTGCCGAGAGTATGCGCTGGTGGCTAGGCAGAGAATGCTTTGCGAAGCATCGATGCATCCTGGCGACTAAAGAAGAAGGCCAGCTGGAGGATCTGGAGGATGAAGAAGACGACGAAGTCATCCGACGATTTTACGTCGATCGGGAACCACACGTCCCGTCGCGGAGGAAATTGCAGCGTAATTTGACCAGTTTCCACTGCCAGACCCTCACGCATCAACACAATGATTCTAAGAGGGGGAAACTCTCGTGGTACGACGATCAGTTTCCTCCTCTCGCGCTCTGGGTCTGTGGCGCCGACGACTTGGTTGATGGAAGAAGGCTTCTCCGGCGTTTCGATCGCGGTAGGGAACCGCACGTGAGGGTGGTACACAAGAGAATCATCGAAGGATATGAACATCTGGATGTGATATGGGCCATGGATGCGATTGAGAAGGTGGGCAAGGAGGTGCGTGAGGTCATCTGGCGGACCGCAGAAGCGGAATCGCAAGCGAGATGTCGTGTTCCGGTCGGCTGTACAGCACGCGGTGGTGAAGTAGAAGAAAAGGAGACTTCGGACGTGCCCATGATGTATAGCGGTGGAAGGAGAAGGATGGCTTCGATCAGTCAAGGCGTGTCCACTCTCCGAACCTCAGTAAACGAAGACGCCGAGGGCCGAACGCAGGTTGATTTCTCGAAAGATTCGAGCGAAGACCAGGAGAGATACGAAGAACGGAGATCCGAAGTGGCTGATTCTGCGCATTCATGGGAAGATGGGGAGAAGTTTGACGAGAAGAATGAAGGGATTGATGATGCAGTCTTCAACCGGCGGCTTTCGGATGCACATTTTGAGGATGTGCAGGAGAAGGGCAATCCGCTGGAACACTTCATCTGAGTGCTGTGACGGAATGACTTGATATGACGGGAGTCCTTTAATTTGCCATATACCATGTGTGGGTTCATGAAGTTATCGATTAATGTGTACAGAACCCGATGAAGGGGATGGAAGAAGGAATCGAGGGCACTTTCTCATTGAATTTGACAGAATAGAGAGGGGAGAGAAGAAGAACACAATGGAGACATGAATGCTCTTGAGCATAAGAATGGATTGCAAACAGACTCCACGAACACGTGCCGGCACGCTCGAAGCCAACCTGACCAACGCCATACACTTCTTTTGAGATGATGATGATGACCACATCCATCCATAGGTACCCATATCCTCCCCCTTTCCTCTCTCTCAACGCCAACCAAACCTACCCACGCACGGCACAGCCCATTCAATAGTGATGCTCCTCACAACCCCTCCAGCCCTCCTCCCCCAACCCCACACACTTCCAACAACTCTTCGTCTCACTGCTCCGGCGTCCCATCGCGGTCGCGGGAGGCGAGGCAGGCGGCGTCAACAGAGCTTTCAGATGCGAAACTTCGGCCTGTAACCTGCAGATTTCGGCGAGATCTTGGGGACTGTGGATTTCCGTTGTTGTTGAATTTGAATTATTGAGCTGCAGAGGGAGAAGAAGTGTTAGAAGGTTGGTACAGGTGGAGAGTGGAGAGTCGGCAGGGAGAGCGTACGCATTTCGGGATGAGAGAGGATTGTTGGACGACGGCGGGACCGTCGAGGCCGATGCAGAAGTGTTGCATGGTGGAATCGAGGGTGTAGATGCGTTGGCCGCAGATTTGGCAGATGGAGACTGAGGAAAGGTCTGGCATTGTTGGGGGAGTGGTCTTATTGGTGAAGTCGAACGTCTCTGATCAAGGTGGTGGAGTTTGATTGTGAATAATAGTGCAAAGGAAAATCGGAGATACAGTGGGAAAGGAGCGGAATATATAGATCTATACACACATGCCCCGTCGCTCTGGGAGATGGTGCTGAGATCGGTGCTGGCCGTTACATATCACGAGATCTCTCACGGCATGCACCACACCGCTGGCTGGATCGCGAGACATGTAGCATTACCTGTCACTCACGACTTTCCTTATCGTCGTCGGTGGCTGGCGGTCGATAGCCCAAGATTCTAGAGACGGCCGCAAAGAATGTCGCTTTATATGATGGATTGAATGTCGTTGGAGAGTTACTAGTGATGAGGTGAAGAAGAGATGCGGTTGGCGCGCGAAGATGAAGGCAAGCGATTGGCTGGCGGCAAGAACAGGCCCGAATAGACTTCCGCCTTCGCAGTGCACAAGTCGGCTGCTCCGTCATCGCGGACCGGGATACAACAACATTAACATTCCCATTGAACAGCACTGGACAGGCAAGCTTTTCTCTTGTCTCTTCTTTACCTGTCTATCTTACCTTTTACACAGCTTCTCTCTCTCCACCCGAGCTCATGTACCAGCTCCCACACCGACGACAACGTCGCATCAACAGCCCCAGCTCGTCATGTCCTCCAAGGCAACCGACGGCCGCACGCGAGGCTCCCTCGTCCATCGCACATCCTCCTCATACCACTACCAGACCTTTCCTACCGCACCGCCCAGGAACGCTGGCCGCCCGCCGCCCAAGAGGGATCTGTCCAAGAGCAATGGAGCACCGCCCTCACCGCCCTCACCACACCTCAGTCGGACTGACTCGCACGACGACTCACAGCACCACCACGAGACCCCCTTACCGAAGGCACAGCTCGCGATACTGGCCATCATAGCCCTGGCGGAGCAGACGGCGCTGAACAGCATCTCGCCGTATCTTCCCGACATGGCAAGCTCATTTCCCGAGGTCGACGAGGGTGAGGTGGGCTTATACGTTGGCCTGATAGCCTCTTCATTCGCCATGGCTCAGTTTGCAACAAACTTTCTGTGGGGATGGTTATCGGACAGAATAGGCAGGAAACCGATTGTTCTGACTGGAACAATCCTGACGGCCGCCTGCTTCATCGCGTTTGGCTTCTGTAGGACATTGTGGCAGGCCATCCTGGTACAGGCGCTCATGGGTCTGGTGAATGGCAACCAGGGCGTTATCAGCACCTGTCTGGGCGAGATCACGGACCGTTCCAACCAAAGTCGAGCCTTCACTTACCTGCCAGTGCTCTATGGCGTTGGAGGCATAACGGGACCGCTGGTGGGAGGACTGCTGGTGCTGAGAAACAACCCTTTCAAACCCAGCCAACCCAACCCGTATCCATACCTGCTGCCGAACTTGTTCTCCGCCGCAGTGCTCGTGATTGACTTTATCCTGACCGCCGTCTTTCTGGAAGAAAGCCTGGACTGCTCGGAGGACCTGCCGCCGCTTCGGAGGAGGGTGGAGAGCTTGTTCTCCTGGCTGTGGCAGTTCACGAGCTCATACACTCCCACGTATGTCCGGAGGGCTGGCAAGAGCTCAAACCACTCATACGGGACGATCGATCAGGAGGATATGGACGACGATGACAACGATGAAGATGACGATGACGATGATGATGATCACCACATGAGCAACTCGGTACCGTCTTTCATGGCCACGAATCACGAGACGCTAGACAAGAGTGAGGTCTTCAGCCGCGATACAATCCTACTCCTGGTTTCCTACCTCATCTTCCAGCTTAGTAACATTAGCTACAACTCCCTATATCCGATCTTTAGCGAAGCTCGACCGCCTACAGGACGAGGCCTCAGTCCCGAGGAAATCGGAACCAGCCTGGCATTCGCGGGTCTAGTGACCATCGTCTTTCAGGTCGGCATCTTCGGCAAGCTGCGTGAGAAGATTGGGAACAAAATCACCTACCGCGTTGGACTGGCTGGCTTTGTCATCGCTTTCTTGCTGATGCCCTGGGTCGGGTACAAGGACAATGCCGACGGAATGGGAGAGGGTACCGAGATGGGTAAAGTCTTGCTCTGGATCGAATTGGGCGGCGTGCTTATCATCAAGACCGTCGCATCGGTCGGCGGTCTCACTTCTGCGCTGCTGCTCATCACCAACAGTGCTCCTTCCCATGCTGTGCTGGGTACGCTCAATGGACTAGCTCAGACTCTCTCAGCCGCTGGTAGGGCCGTCGGACCCTTTGTCTCTGGTGCTCTCTTCACCGCGGCTACACACGTCGAGCCGAAAGGCGAAGCTCTCGCTTTCGGTATCTTTGGCGGGATCAGCTTTATTGGCTTCCTCATGTCCTTTGGCATCCGAAATCCAGACCTGGAAAGCGATGCTTGGGATGACGATGATGATGACGACGAAGAGGCCATCGATAGTGCCAGCGACACGGAATCACTTGAGCGAAGACGACGATGACCACCTGATGTCTGATGATTTCAATTAGCGAGGCGTTTTGCTCTTTTTCCCAGCATGAAAGCATGAGCGGGTTTATTGTACAGAAGCAAGGGAATAGAGGACATGTATATCATGAACGACATGGGTCATGTACAGAGTCAGAGATGTATAGAAGAACCAGCAGAAAACTCATTTTTTTTTTGAACCTTCACGAGACCCCGCTGTGCTCGTAGTTCCGCCATCTAGCATCCGAGACGCACGATGCAAATGGAAATGATGGCGTTCCCCTCGGTGTGAGAGAGGTCGACGAGTCGGCCGCGGAAGATAAGATACCGACCTGTATGGCGGGCGAATTTCAGCATGTGAATAGCGCAAGGAAAATGTGGATCTACGGAAGCGGTGAAAACAAACGGGCTTGGGTTGGGTTACAAACAAGCAAGCAAGATGGGGGAGAGTTGAGAGTCGAGACTTTAAAGATTCCATGCATGTGTGCATGGGAAGGTGGGAAAAAAAAAAGTTGGATTTTTGGGTGTGGTGTGGTGATTGATAGAGCCGAGGATGCCGCCGCAGGCTATGTTTGGGTCTGTCTGAGAGGGCCGCAGAATGAGAAAAGGAGTGGGACCTTAAAAAAATGTTCCTCGAGAGTGGAGTATGTAAGGTATTTATCGCAAGTGGACCTCAGCTATAGAATAGAACTCGGCATAGATACTCGCTTTCGAGAGGTGTAGTAGTTGTGAAAGAACTGAATAATGCGCACGCGCGCGGACCTAATAATCAGGTGAAAGTGAGCTTAGTAACTAACTAACGCGAGCACGTTTCCATGCTTCGGACCTCTGCTTTAAGATTCCATAGACTCGCGTCATTTTCGATCCCTTCTTGTTCTATAATACACTTATCAGTATGATACAACGTAACACACTACGCTTGACTCGCATTTCCCGCTATAATTTCCTGTAATACCAAAACTCCTCCGCAAACCCACGTGTCGCATTGTCGCTCCAAATGCGCCGGCAAAGTGCAGTGCTGTTGCTCCCCTCTTACCGACATCTCGTTGAAGCGAAAATCCGAACGCAACGGCGACGCCCTTGAAGTCTCTCTTCTTCCACGACGATTCTAGCCTCAGCACCTGGCGAACAATCGATTCGGTCTCCTCATTGTTTGTTACGAAGAGACGGTGGCTCCCTGCGGTATACTAAAGCCCCAAACCATACGGGTTAAACTTGACCTTCTGCACCAATTTTCGGGAGCTGAAACCAAGCGCAACAGTGAAGTCTCCCTTGGGCATGACCCAGTTCTGGCGCTTGACGTCCCAGTAGCTGAGGTCTCGTCTCGTCAACTCAAACGACACTTCTTTCCTCTGTTCCTGGTTCGAAGTACCAGCTTTGATCTTCTCAAATCCTCGCAGGACTCGGACAGGCATATCAACGACATCCCCATCCGCGTTCTTGACATGCTCGGGGTACGAGACGTACATCTGAACCACGCACTGTCCAGTCACATTTCCCATGTTTGTGAGGGAAGCTTTGACGGAGATCACTGGCGTGAAGAGATCCGGGTTTCCGCCCTCGCCGCCACCAGCAGGTGAGAGCGAGTGCGGTTTCTCTGGGTCGTATGGAAACTGCGGCTGTCTCTGCGGCTTTCCGTCAGAGGCCGAATCGATGTATGGGTAGATGTATTTCTTCAGCTTTCGAAATCCAGGTGGCCACACAGCCTCGGATGCATCGGGAATCTCAGTGTCCAGAGATGGAGGCTCAATACCGGTAGGTCTCGAGTCGGGAACATCTCTCATCCCTTTGCCACCCAAGTTCTTGACTAGCAAGGACGACAGATGAAACTCGGTGTAGGACAGGCCATGGCCGAATTCGTATCGCGGTGTGATGTTATGCTTATCGAAATAGCGGTAGTCGATGTAGAGCCCTTCAGTAAAGTTCTGCTGCGGCACAACATGATTGGGTATAGTAAGAATCTTGCTCGTTGGACCGTAGTCTTCTTTCTCTTTGGCAATGGTGTATGGCAGACGACCAGAGGGGTTGACCCTGCCAAAGATGACGTCGGCGAGCGCGTTGCCGGACTCTTGCCCAGGAAGGTGAGCAACCAATACTGTCTTCACGCCCGGAAGATCAATCCAGTGCTCCATTATGACAGGCCCTACTGTATGAAGGACGACAATGGTGTTGGCGCCAAGGCCGCGAGATTGATATTGGTTTCCACACTTCTTCGCAACTTCCGCGATTAACGTGTCACCCTGCTTCTGCGTCTTCAGGTCAGGCCGATCACCCTTCACAGGACCCCAGCTGAGGAAGCCTTCACCAGCATCTGAGTTCGCAAAGACAATGCACAAGTCTTGGCTCACAGCAAGAACACCAGCAGGCTTTGCCGCCTGCCTCTTATGCGCAGTGATCTCAACAGCAGAATGGTTGAAGGTCGAATTCAGAGCATCGAACGGCGCGATGAGATGTGGGAAATCCGCCGCGCCAGAACCCCACCCACTGCCCAGAGTATATTCGTTGCAACCACGATCAGCACAGGCATTGGGGCCGCGCGGATTAGCGAAAGCGTCTTCGCCAAAAATGCCAATCTTGAATTTGTCGCCAAACTTCCTGCCAGCGCGAGAGGATTGAATACCAGAGCCGTCAGGTGTAATTGGCAAGACATTATTGTCATTCTTCACCATGACAATGCCTTCGGCTGCGATCTTTCGCGCCAGGTCGTCGTGATCGCCGCCTTCTTCGGTCTGCCGAACGGGAACGTACTCGTTGACCTTGCCAGTCTCCTCACTGCCGGGCGAGCCGGGATGGAGCTTGTATTCCTCTTCCTCGGTCCAGCTGCTAAACGTCGCAGAGCTGCTGAGCGTCTTTCTCGGCCAAGAACTGTTGTCATCTTGTCCTAGTTGATACCACGCAGCTACGATGCGAAGAACAGCGTCGTTCAAGCGTTCCATTGGCACTGAGCCATTCAGAGCAGCTTTTGTGAGCTCACTGCCCCATAATGTCTTGCCATCCTGCCAACCCAGGCCATCACCAGGCATAGTCATGTCCAGGCCTGCTAAAGCACTCGCGACGCCCGATCGTTGGGCCAGCCAATCGCTTTGGACGAAACCTTGGAAGCCCATTTCATCCTTGAGGATGCCATTGAGGAGCTTGCTGTTCTGACAAGCATACGAGTTGTTTAGCTGATTGTATGAACACATCACGCTTGCCACGCCCGCTCGCACAGAGTCTGCGAATGGCCAAGCGTAGATCTCGTGCAGAGTACGGTCATCGATGTTGGAAGATATTGCGTTAGGAGTTCCCCATTCCCATGCTTGCCGGAAGTGCTCTTGCTCGTTGCCAACCAAATGCTTGGCCGTGGCCATGACTCCATTTTCTTGAATGCCTTTGATCGTCTGCGCTGAAGCAATGCCCTGCAGGACCGGATCTGGTCCGAATCCCTCCCAGTTGCGTCCGCCCGCAGGTAGCCGTCCAAGAGCTCCCATTGAAGGTCCAAGGAGAACATTGATGCCTTTACGTTTGGCCTCAAATCCATGTGCCTTGCCGCGCCGGTACATCAAGTCCTTGTTCCAGGTCGCGCCTACCGTGACACCAGCTGGCCACGCAGTGCCGTTGTCCACAAATCGCATACCCAAAGGTCCGTCTTGCAAGCACAGACTGGGAAAGTCTAGTCGGTCCACTGGTCCGGTGTTGCCCACACATGGGCCCATCTGCCAACCTGTTCCAGTGGTGATGTTTACTTTTTCTACCAGTGTCATCTGATTCACCAAGTCTGCAGCTTTTCGGTAGCTCTCTTTCCATGTGTCCAGCGATCCTCCCAAAGGTGAGGGATACCAAGCATCTGACTCTCCATCTTCAGGAACACCTGCCGTCTTGTAAACCCAGATGCCTCCAGCGCTTAGCAGCAGCACCAGCGTCGCGACAAAGAGTAGCGCCAGTCCGCAACAAAACTTGCTTGGTACTAGCCAAGCGGCCAGACCTCGTCGTCTTCTTTCTCCCAACCAAGCAAGTGGTCGGTCCGCAAAGCTTATGTCCTTATCCGAGTCGAAGACACTCCGTAATGGCTGAGACGCGTCGTCTGTGTATCTTCTCCTGCCGCTGCTCTTCAGAGGATCAAACTCATCGATATCGCTCAGGTTGTCGTCATCGTCTGAGAGGGATTTGCGCTCAATCAATGGTGAATCGGAACGGTCGAGCTCATAGCTCTCCGGCGGTTTCAGCGGCATTGCGGCGTCGGGGTTTGGGATTCGACCATGTAGCACTTTCTAGAGCTGCAGAAGCGCTTCGATTTCGCCCTCTTGGACCCCGGCCTTTCCCGCTAGAGGTCGAGGAGCGGGGATATGCTGATGAAGTAATGTTGCCGGTGCCTCGGAGATTATGTATTAAGTCGATGCTGTGCGCTTGCTCCTTCTCACGAAGCGCATTGTTTGCTGGTCGAGTCGGTGAAGAAATGACGTTGCCCTCGTGACTGTCGACGAGGACAGCGCATTTTGCGGGACTCTGTTCGTGCTGCAAGCACGTTCAGGAGTTCCTTCCAACGGCTGTGACGATGCATGTGAAACTCTGCGGGTAGGATCAGGGGCTATCCCTGCACGGAAGGCAAGGGCCGTTCCGCGTTTGGCGGGGCTAAGTGAATGGTCGGCTCTCTCCAGTTCTCTTGACTTCAACATCGACGCGTTGATAGTAATGCTTTCAACACTTCCTAGTACGCTCAAGTATGATGAACCTCCGTCGCTCTGTAAACGCGGAAATCTGGAGACTCCATGACCTTTCCAATACCGGCTGCTCAGACCCTCGCGATAAAATCTTCCCAACGTTAGGACACGCTTTGTGGAGAGAAAAAGATCGTGACTATGTCAAACGCCCAGATTAATCTTTGGACCTCGCCGAGGTGTTAATAATCGTCGCAATGGCGTGGTTCGATCGCTCCTTTCGCATGGGATCATCGTCGTGGTCAGCTCCGCGTCTACTAACCGCGGTCGAGCATTTCGACATACATTTCTCGCACATTACGAAAAACGGTCCGCCAATATGATACTCAACGGCGCTCGAAGGTTCCGAGAAGTGGGTGTATTCGCGCAAAGGCTGGAATGGCTCTCGTCTGCCTCACAGGCTATCTCTCCGGGACGGAACTGAAGTCGATTGTGAGGGCCCGGTGCTTAGTTACCTTACCTTCTCCGAGACCCGGGTTTTCCCTGGGGATTGAGCATGTACTTGACTGGACTTCTACTACTACTGGCCTCGTCCAGTCTTTCACTAAGCCTTCTTACCTTTCTCGCTCTATTCCTAACCATCGGCCTGATCATCTACATAGAGCCGCAACAGTCGCAATTGCAGTACGGCCTCACATCCATCATTGTCTCGTGAAAAGACTCAAAACCCAACCGGGGCCATCTCACGCCTTCGCAGCGCGGAAATGAGAATGACTCTGTGTATGCTTGCCCATCGGACTTCGACACAGAGCTCTTGCCAAATCTTCTTCAGGGGTCGAAATGGCTGTACCGAAAGTGCTTTTCGCTAGCCTCTGAACGTTGCCTTCTTACAGCGAACTCGCACTTCCTCTCACCAAGTAGAAGTAGAAGAAGAGGGGAGAAGTGATGCGAGCATCTACAAAGCATTCGTTAGGTAGTCTCGACTTCGCTTGAAAAAGAAGAGGAAGACTGAGATACAAGATACCTATCCCCACAATCGGCGTATACAAACGGTCTTAGAACCCGCTTTTGCCCGTAGCTGAAAGTCCGAGTCCTGGAAACAGGCGCGTTCCAGCCCTAGCTGGCTGGCTTAGCGTGGAAATGGGAGAACATTTCTGATACCTCGGTGTTCGTTCGCGTCGTCCGGGGGTCGAGTTGCGCCGCCGGAGTGGTGATATCTGTTGCTGGCAGCGCCGCGTATCACCCGTCTGTAGACCAAGCAGCAAGGAAAGCTCGAACAGATTAATTTTGGAAGGAAATAACAGAGAAAGGTGAGATCTTTTCAAAGATCAGTCTTGATGCTATTCACGAGAGGAATGTCCTCCGCTGCTTGCCTGTGGAAAACCACTCTTTCTGCCTAATACCTCTCACGGATTTCGAGACTGATGGATCATTCGCAGAAAGACTAAGCGATGAGGCAAGGAGAATCTGTGATCATGAATGAAAATCTGGTATCATTTCCCCGGTAATAAAGTAGCTCTAGTCATACTCACTGACGCCGGAGATGCCCCCGAGCACTCCTTACGCGCCATCTATGGTCTCGTCGTGTTGCATGAACTCCATAATGTGCTCGTCCCGCTCGCTTGACCTGTCGAGTGACCTACGTCTATACTCTAACAGTCGCTCTGGCCGGTGGTTCCAGATATGCAGAGAACACAGCGCGGAGCGCTGGTGGCTCCGTCTTCGGCATTGCACCGGCCAGCACCGGCGTTCCGGGACTGCTGCAGCACCTGCTCTCAGAGCACGCCGCCTTCACATGTGTCAGTTTCCGGTGCGCATGCCCAAAGAATCTCTGGGGGTAATGCCACATACCTAAGCGTTCTGATCCAGACCGAGATCATCCTCAGCTGGCACCACACGCAGGGTATTGGTGTGGCCCATGCCACCTCTCCATCCCTGAACGCAAATAACTGCGTCGCCCTTCTTGAGCACACCCAGGAGAATGGCGTTCTTGATGCCCCACTTGAGACGGTTATCAACATCCTCCTGCCATGGAGTGGTCTTGAAGTCGGGCTTGGCGACGTCGTAGTGGAATGGGTATACGCCACGGTAGAGGTGAGAATATCTCGAGGCGCGGCCGTTACGGGTGACCATGATGATAGGGCAGACAGGGCGGTACTTGGAGATCAGGCGGGCGGTGTGGCCTCTGTGTAATCGACTGTTAGCTCATTGAACTTGGAATTTGAACGGATGCACTTACGACGTGGTCAAGCACAGGATGGCACCTGCGTTCTGCTCAAGAGAAGCAGAGACAGCCGCCATGGCGCAGCTCTCCGAGGTGGGCACTGGCCGTGGTGCGAGACGCTTGAGCTCATCAAAAGCATTGAGATATGGAATGGCGACCTCGGCCAACAAGCAAGTGTCGTGCATCATCGTCACGGACTCCTTGGGGTAGTTGCCCTTGGCCGTCTCACCAGAAAGCATAACGCAATCGGCACCGTCCAGGACAGCGTTACCCACATCGCTGACTTCGGCACGGGTGGGGCGAGGGTTGTAAGTCATGCTCTCGAGCATCTGGGTAGCGCAGATGACTGGCTTTCCAGCGATGTTGCACTTGGTGATCATCATCTTCTGAGCAATGAAGACCTGAGCTGGTGGAATCTCAATACCCAAATCACCACGGGCAACCATGACACCGTCGGTAACCTTGAGGATCTCGTCGAAGTTGTTCACACCCTGCTGGTTCTCAATCTTGGCAATGATCTGGATGTCCTTGCCATCTTCGCCGAGCACCTCTCGAATGGCGGTGATGTCCTCAGCACGACGGATGAACGAGGCAAAGACCATGTCCACGTTGTTCTTGACACCAAATCTCAAGTCTGCCTTGTCCTTCTCCGAGAGAGCAGGAAGATCGACATCAGTCTTGGGCAAGTTGACACCCTTCTTGCTGCTGATCTTGCCGTTGTTGATAGCCTTGCACTTGATGTTCTTGTCATCTGTGACCTCGACCACCTCAAAGGCCAGCACACCATCATCGACGTAGATGGTGCGTCCCGCCTCAATGACCTTTGTGATGTTCTTGTAGTCGACGTACATGTTCTTGTTGTCACTGGCGGTGGCATACTTGTCGTCGGTGGTGATGTTGATCTCCGAGCCGGCGGAGATGGGAATGTCCTCGTCGCCAGGGGTGTTACCCGTTCGGATCTCAGGGCCCTTGGTATCGAGAGCAATGGCAACTGGGCGGCCTGGCTGTGTCGCTTCGGCCTTGCGTGCGTTGTCGATTACGGACTGGTGGTACTCGTAGCTACCGTGGGAGAAGTTCATGCGGACGACATTGAGACCGGCACTTCTCAACATGTTGATCTTCTCCGCCGAGTTGGTCTTGGGGCCTGCGTTGAGTACTGTCAGCTCTGTTCCCGCATTGCGTTGATTCCCGACCGCTCCAACATACCGATTGTGCAGATGATGCTCGTGCGGCGGAACTGGGTCGGTGGCTTGTACTCGGTGTCGAGCGAGGCCAGCCATTGCGCCCTGGTCTTTCCGTATTCCTGGTGCAGCATAGAGTCGCCCATCTTGCCTGTCTGTTCAGTAGCTGTTGGTGTGGTTTGGGAGAGGTGACGGCGTCGGAGTTGGGAGCTGTGCGTGCTGTACTTTTTTCTCAGCCCGGAGCAGTAGTAAGCTGGTGGGGCGGAGCTGCGACGAGTAGATAGGCCGGAAGGTGCGGACGACTGGCACCTGACTTCTTAACGGAACTGTGGCTTTGAGAGGAGCTGCTGCTGTCGATGGAGGAGGGAACAGCTGTAGAAGATTATAAGGGAGAGCGGTGCCTTGGGGCCTGGGCGGTGAAATTAATCATTATTTTTGGGAGGTCCTCAACATGCAAACGCCCCTCCAACAACAACAGCTCAGCACGAAAGCCGGATGGCAAGCCCCGAGCCGCAGCCATCGCATCGCCATTCTCCGAAGCCTGAGACTCCGTCTCGTCTGCGTGCGCCGTCCATTGGCGTATCACGATCCTGCTCCCTGTTCTTATTACACGTTGCAATCCGTCACACAACTCATCAGCAGTCTGCGACCCGCCCACGCCCTGCCAACAACAACACTCTGCAGTCGCAACAAGACGGCGACGTTCCACGATAAGCGGGCAAAAGAAGAAATTGAGTTTCTGCGGCTGCGTGGGAGCACAGAGCGCGTTGTGCGTGTGCGCCGCTAATGGCGGGACCCTTGCAATGCACGGCCGGGGAGCTCCCTTGAATTCATTGATTATTAGGCGAGGCTGGCGAGCTCTCCCCATCAAACTTTGATTCAGGCTTACTAAGTCTCTGCGGCCCGAGAGCGTCGCATCGCCGGATCACGTGACGATCCTCCGAAAGAGCTGTGGATAGACGCCGTGCTTGGCATGACATCTTCTTTCCTCAACACGGCCGAAAGCAACCTGAAAGTTACATGTACCTTTACGTGCTGTGGAGTGAGGCAAGAGGTAATCCTCTTTACGCAACCCCATCCGACCAAACGACGCGATGCAAATTCGCAAGGACGGTGCCACCGAGAACGTCTGGGGCGTAACTTACCGTTCGTACAAAAAGTTGTTCCTCCAGTCCTCAGCACTTTTCCTTTCCTCGCCATCTATCATCTCGCGTTAGAAATTTCGTTCGGAATATCACACCTCCTCACTGGCTTGGCTGGAATCACTCGGTTGAGACAGCTTGCTCGCGAACAGAGCAGCGCTTGTACTAGCAGTACTTTCCCCATTCTGAATACCAAATCCTCATCGCTGCTCTACAATCGCGTTCAGCCCTCCGACTGGACAACACGCTCACACGTTACACGACCTCCTATAGCTGATACTTCTGGATTGATGCCATCTGGATTCCATCTGCCCAAAGCGCATGCCCTCCTCGTGACCTACCACTGAAGATCGAAATCGACAAACACCCCCAAAAGCGCCCCGACAAACGCCCAAAAGCGCCCCGGACACGTGCCGATTGCAGCAACCATGCCTTCCATGCTGAAGTTCATCAATCCTTTCGCCGAGCACGATGTCTCGGAGTTTCCAGATGTCCTGGTCCCGCTCGAACAGGCTCGCGGGCATCATTCGGTCACTTCAGCCTCGATAGGCGGTGCAAGGAGATCTAGCGTTGACGACAGCAATGTGGACAAGGAGAAAGCTGACCATTCATCTGCTTGGGACAGAGAGACTCTTGCCCCCGATGACCAGCCATCACTTACCCTGGAGAGCCTCAGAGCAGAGGTGGAACTCGATCTCGCCGCTGGCGGACACGATTCGTGAGTCCCGCCTTAGTATCAGCAGTGTATAGAGGTAGCAACGGCTAACATGAGATTCTGCTCTAGGTCTTATGACAGTATGTTTCCACGTAGCCTGCGGGTTGATGATCGCTTACATGCATGTGATAGGGAAATCCAAAGTTATCAACAAAGCCATTCAGGACATAGGCATGGGCAGGTATCAATGGCAACTGTTCATATTAGCAGGCTTCGGGTGGTTCGCAGACAACCTATGGCTACAGGGCGTTGCTTCGACATTACCTTCCTTGAGCGAGGAGTTCGGCGTCTCGTCGACACAAGTGAGGTACACCACCCTCAGTCTCTTCCTCGGTCTCTGCATCGGTGCTAGCTTCTGGGGAATCGCTTCGGACATCGTTGGTCGCCGACTGGCGTTCAATACTACACTCTTCTTGGCTGGCGTTTTCGGCCTTGCAGCTGGAGGTGGTCCCAACTGGATTGGCACATGCGCGCTCTATGCTTGTGTTGGACTTGGTGTTGGAGGAAACCTGCCAGTGGATGGCGCTCTCTTTTTGGAGTTCTTGCCCTTCAGCAGTGGGAATCTATTGACGCTCCTGTCCATCTGGTGGCCTGTCGGGCAACTTGTCTCATCACTGATCGCGTGGGGCTTCATTCCGAACTACTCAACCTATTGGGGATGGAGGTACTTCGTCCTGACCCTGGGAGCCATCACCTTCGCCATGTTTATCTGCCGATTCTTCCTGTTCCATATGTTCGAGTCGCCCAAGTTTCTTCTCTCCCAAGGCAGACAAGCCGAAGCTGTCGCGGTTGTGCACGGTATCGCATACTTCAACGGCAGCAAGACTTGGTTGACAGAGGACGTTCTGAACGCTATTGGTGGCCATCCGGACGACGTTGTGGACGACAAGCTCACAACTGCTGAGGTCATCGGGAGACAATTGAACAAGTTCAGTGGCGAACGTATTGGACCGCTCTTCAATGGATGGAAGCTTGGACTTACTACCGGCTGCCTTTGGTTCATCTGGACTTGCATCGGTAGATCTCCTCTCAGACCTGGCACTTCGCTGTGAACGCTGACACCTTTTAGGAATGGGGTACCCTCTCTTCAACGCTTTCTTGCCACAGTATCTGTCCCAAGTTGGCGGCCAAAGCGTTCCTCAAAGCGTCACATACCGCGACTATGCCATCACCTCCGTCGTCGGCGTTCCTGGCTCGGCACTTGCGTGCTACACTGTGAACATCAAGTATTTCGGCCGCAAGGGAACGATGGCTTCCGCTACGCTGCTCAGTGGTATCTTCCTGATTCTGTTTACCCGCGGGCAGACCGAAGGGTACCAATTAGCGATGAGCAGGTATGTCAATGCCCAGGCCGTTCCAAACTGTGATTTACTGACCGATCTCGCTAGCATGGAAGCCTTCTTCCAGAACATCATGTACGGTAAGCAAAGCGCATGCCAGTCTGTGTCGTAGAGATAATCACTGATGCGCGTCGTTCCAGGCGTCCTCTACGCTTACACTCCAGAAGTGTTCCCAGCACCGAACAGAGGTACCGGCACGGGTATCAGTTCCTTCCTCAACCGTCTGGCGGGTCTCTGCGCTCCCATCGTGGCCGTGAATGCCGGTCAAGCTGATCCAAAAGCGCCAATCTACGCATCGGCTGGTCTCTTCTTCGCCGCTTTCGTTGCGATGGTTTTGTTGCCGATCGAGACTCGTGGAAGGCAGAGTTTGTAAATGAGGGATATCCACAGGTAGCGGTTGATATACATAGATATAGAAGCATGACCAGGATATATGTTACTATGGTGTTGTTAAACTCTCGTAACTCGACCAGTGTTTTAGTATGGTACCGTGGTGAGAAGGGTGAAGGGTGAGGTCTCATCTCTCCAGCCATGTTCAAAAGGGAAAGTGGAGAAGATAGAATGCCCGCCCAGGCCTCGCCGGGCAACACGGCTGCTGGAGATCAGTTCTCCAGTTCTCATCTCGCCATCTCAGGGAAGTAGTAGTAGGACATCACCTCTGCAGAAGCTGTTTCCCATAACGAGAACCTCAAGACTACCTTGATGCTTTGGTGCTGGTGAGACGGACCGGGAACGCAGCGCCAAGGAACTCCCGAAAAGCACCGACCACACTTCGCACCTCGTCTTCCCGCTGTGAAATGGCTTCTCTTCCTCTCTTCTTCCTCTCCAAGGCCATCAAAGGTCCTCGTTGTCCATCATTTCGAACGCTTCCAGCGAGTCGCGTCTCGCCTCGCGCTCACCGACAATGGACGCGGCGGTCCTTTGCTTCCTCAACTCGCCGCGGCATCGCGGTAGCGGAAATGACTGAGCGCGATTTTTCTTCCCTGAGGATCGACCGGGATCGATTGATGCAGGATATTCATTCGACTAGTGAATGGGGGAAAGGGGAGAGATGGGGCGAGTAAGTTACATCAATCATTTACATGTCATCCGGGTGAGGAATTCTGTTACGAGGATGAAAACACACAAGATGCACCTTTTATTCTATCGAACCCTTGCTTCGTTTGGGGTCTTGATGAGCGAACAGCCAATTGAGAAATGTAACGGCACTTCGAGTCAGAATCGCGAGAGATTGATGGTTTGAATCTCCCGGCTGATGAAGACGTTTGAAATCTAGTGGTCCTACAGAGATTGGCATGCGTCGCCTTTCGCTGTCAGATTCGGATAAGCAGGCTCGCGACTGGTTCGCTGAGACGACTCGATCGCTTGGTTGCGAGGTCACGGTCGATGCTATGGGAAACCAATTCGCCGTCCGGCCTGGCTTGAGCGAGGGTGCGCCGACTTATGCTGGATCTCATTTGGACACGCAACCTACTGGTGGCCGTTATGATGGTATACTTGGTGTCTGCGCTGGCGTTGAAATGCTGAAAGTGCTCAACGACAATTGGATCGAGACGACGTTCCCCGTCGGGGTGGTAAACTGGACCAACGAAGAAGGTGCCCGCTTCCCTATGAGTATGGTCTCTTCTGGCGTGTGGGCCGAATCCATTCCTCTCGAAAAAGCACATAATCTCAAGTCTGTCATTCCCTCCAATGATACCGCCTCCATGAAATCCGAGCTCGAACGGATAGGCTATCTTGGCTCAGTACCAGCGAGCTTCAAGAGCACTCCGATGGCCGCGCACTTCGAACTGCACATTGAGCAAGGCCCTATTTTGGAAGCCGAAAGCCGCCGGATAGGTATCGTACAAGGCGTCCAATCTTACAAATGGTTCACCCTTACACTCAAAGGCCGAGAAAGCCATACTGGTGCCACGCAATTCCGACACCGTGCAGATGCCCTTCTGACTGCCTCCAAGATGATCCTTGCAAGCCATAAGATCGCTCACAGGCATGGTGCTTTGGCTAGTACCGGAATCCTCAATTTACATCCTGGATCGACGAATACCGTGCCTGGATGGGTGCAGTTTAGTCTGGACATTCGAGCTCCGCTGGATGAGACTGTCAATGCTGTTGAAGAAGAATGCAGGTCCGCCTTTTCTCAGATCCTCTCTGGCGCGGAAGATGTCTACGGCGTCAACGCCGGCTGCTCCCCAAGCTCAAAACAATGCTCCCTCGAATGGCGCACAGACTTCGTTTCTCCAGCGACACATTTCCACAAAGACTGCATTCGGTGCGTACAAGACGCCTCGATCGACCTCTGCGGAAATGGGCAAGTCGAAGGGCTGAATGTCGGCGATTTTGGCAAGTTGATGACGAGCGGTGCTGGGCACGATAGTGTCTATACGAATCAGCATTGTCCCACCTCGATGATCTTTGTGCCTTGTCGGGACGGGGTTAGTCATAACCCGGCGGAATATTCGAGTCCGGAGGCTTGTGGGGACGGGGCGAATGTTTTGCTCGGCGCGGTCGTGCGGTATGATAAATTGAGGGCCGAGAAGGAAAGTTCGTAATAATATTCAATGAAGTGCTCCAAACAGCTGAACAATCACGTCGCGAGAAGACGGTGAGACATGGCGGAGTAGTGTTGGATTGAGACTGAGAGTGTCATATCATGTCATGAAACAAATCCGACTACGTTGAACTCCAGCTCGTCCATGGTTTTTCTGACTTACTCGCTCAAGGAAGCCAGGACAGCTTTATGCTATGTAAACGCGCAGGAATATCCGCCTTTTTCGTGGCCGCGATGCAAGCCGAGAAGACAATGTCGGTGAGCCGGTGTAGTAGGCATCTACCAAGCTCCTCCACCGAAGCTGGTGGTTTGGGGCTCGTCATCAGCTCCTCCATCGTTCCAACCGCCCGTCTGCTCCTGGTTGCCCTCGTTACCCTCCCAACCGCTGTCTTCCTAAGACGCCGCTGGTGGGGCGCCGCCGCGACCACGACCGAAACCACCACGGAACTCAGGGTTGAAGCTACCGGGGGCACCACCCTCCTTGTTCTCGCCGAACTCGCGACGGCGATATCCTCCCTCGCGATCTCCACGGTCACCGCGTGGACCGCCACGGCCTCCACCACGGCGCTCACGGTCGTCGCCGCCCATCATACCGCGTGGGGGAGCGTGCGAGCGCTGCTGCTTGACGTGCGTCTGAGGAACGATCTCGGCTGGGAGGTGGAGCCACTCGCGCAGGTAGTCGAGACCCTCGGGGGTGAGGGTGTAGTAGTACCATTGCCAGGAGAACTGGGTCTTGAGGTAGCCGCGGGAGGTGAGGGACTGGCAAGCCTTGATGACCTATTACAAGTAGGGACTGTTAGGAGGAAGGTACTCGGGGAAAATTGCAGATGTTGGTGGAAAGCATACGTAAAGGTTCTTGGTGTCAATCTCGCCGTGCTTTGGCTGGTTGAAGTCCTTCTTCGCGACGAGGACGCCCTCGCGGAAGAGGTACTCGTGGATCTTCTTGCGGTCGTCCTTGGGAATCAACCTGCAATGCCAGTTAGCGCTGTTCCTCTTCGATCTTCAGGATACGTGTATCGCTTACATCTTGGCGGTGTTGAGTTGATGTTGGCGGTGGTTGTTGCTCGGCTACCCGTTCCTTCTCAAGGCCTGAGCTCGCAGTCAAGCGAATTGAAGTTCAAGTTGTGTGCCCACTAGCGCGGCTCAGCTGCCAAGCCGGCCGTTGCCGAATCATGCCTCAGGTTTACCTCTGCCGTCGTCTCCACATCACACATGTTCCTTACGCTGTCACCATTCTAAACCCGACATCAACACCACGCCCCAGCAAGATGGAAGATTCATGCAGAATGGAGCCCACGATCAACGTTCTTCTCGCGACCTTCGCCGGCCTGGGGCTCCCACGCACACTATCACTACCCACGAAAACGACGTCTTCCGTTGGAGATGTATACAACTCAATACTGGACCGACTACCACCTTTGAACGATGCTCTGATCATCACTACCGTCTCAAACAAGCAACTGTTACCCTCAAGTCATCAGCCGATCACATCTCTCCTCGATTCGCCAACCGACAGACTCCTTTCCCTCCGCCTCAGCCGGAGACTATGCGGAGGCAAGGGAGGCTTCGGCTCCCAGCTACGAGCGGCCGGAGGGCGCATGAGCAGTCGCAAGAACCGCCAGAACCAGAACGTGAACGGCTCAAACCGCAATCTCGATGGCAGGAGACTGCGAACCGTGGACGAAGCGAAGCGGCTGGCAGAGTACTTGGCTATCAAGCCGGAAATGGAAAAGAAGGAGCGAGAGGAGAAGAAAAAGCGATGGGAAGCTGTGGTGGAAGCTGCCGAGAAGCGCGAAGCGGAAATCAAGAGTGGCGAGGTGGGTGCGAACAGGGGAAGACTGAATGCGGAGTATGTTGAGAGCAAAGAATTGGCGGAGGAGAAGACCCGAGAGGCGGTGCTCAAGGCTATGAGGGAAGGCATGCTGGAGGAGAGAACCGGTAGTGAGAGTTCTTTGGACGCTGAAGCGGAAGATGAGAGCGGAGATGATGGAGGCGAGGAGAGCTCTGGGTCGAGTGAGGACACCAAGGGCAAGAGTTCTGCGTCGCGCAGCTTCTTCGGATGGGATGAAGACGAAGACGACGAGTCGGACGAAGAGGAAGAGGATGCACCGGCGCCCGCTGTCCCAACAGAGGCTCCCGTATACGAGGGCAAAGGAAAGGCACGAGCGACATGATCGTGCGACGATATGCAGATATCTCAAGACCTACGAAATATTCCTCAACCTCGAGGAGGCCACCATACATCCACTAAAGCATTTTACATCTCCCATTTCTCTCCATGGCCCACCTCCCAGACCTCATGCCCCAGAGACTCCCGAACCCCACGTATCAGCCCCCAACAACAGCCCCGGCCTCTCCCTCTTCCTCTCCACGACCTTCCCACCAGAGAACCAGAAGCGCCAACTCAACCCACAACCCCATCCTCCAAAAAGATCCGACCCCAAAAACTCTGCTTCTGCTTCTTCTTCTTCTCCTTCCTCCCAATACCCATGATGGTATCATTCAACCTTCCAAACAAAAGCGCCCTTGCATACTTCCCCAACGCCTTCCAAACAAACCATGCTACCCCCCCCTAATCCTTCCAATACTCCTCGATTTTTCAATCCAGCTTTCGACCCGCCGCTGTACATTCCGGTCCCGTCGGCCGGATTTCTTCTGGAAGAAGAAGGAAAACCAAATGAGTTGCCGCGGGAACTTTTCTCTGAATGCATTCATTCATTCTTTGGAACCCTGGGGGATTTTGCGGGGATTTTTTTTTCATGGACTTGACAGACAGAGAGAGAGAGAGAGAGAGAAAGAGAGAGAGAGAGAGTTTTGCTTGATTGCTTTGGCGGATTTTTTACGGTTAGGGGGCCGGGACATGGTTTCTCTCGAGAGACTGGGTGTTGCAGCTGCTTGGTAACACGGGAGGAGATCTTTGCGGGTCGCGTGTAGTGGGAAGAAGGAGTGGCGGGTAGATGTTCGTCGCATGCATCGGACATTGGCATGCACTGGGGCACGAAGATGGAAAGATTGTGAACGGGTTGGGTTATACAGCATCTACTTGCTTGCGAAAGATGAAAGTTGGCTGCTGTAGGGGTCACTGTGGAAGCTGGAGTGTGGATATCATCAAGTTCGTCATTCATTGAGCCATCATTACTACGGACACCATGAGAAATAGCTAATCATATGACATGTCTTCTAGCAATGCGCCCTCGAACACAACCTTGACGCCGAAGTGTCCTCCCCCAACAACGCCATGCTAGATTGATGACACCTGATGATACAAGCGCAGCACAGCTTGTTCGAACGTGAACAAAGAAGGCGAACAGTTGGCCTTCCTACGATATCTTGAACTCGTCGCTGTCGAGATCCAACTCCCCTCGGAGAATGCTCTGCGTCAGTAATGACCTCTCATACACGCGGTCGTTTGAGCCGAGTCGCTTGACGAGCTCGGTGCCCTCGTCATCTCCCTTTTCGGCTAGGAAAATAACTCGATTCTTCGGCGTCAGAGAAGTTCCCTTGGAAAGCGTTCCGGTCTCGATTCTAGTAACACCAGCATCTGTGATGAGGGTCTTGATGCCTTCGAATCCACTCAAAGAAGCCTGTTCGAGTCAGAAACGGATTCATCTCACGTCCAGGGAAACGGCGCGAATACCTTTTCGGTGAAGAACATTGTCAATCCGGAGAAGAGCGAGCTGCGATTGCGGTCTCTGCCATTGGCTACCATGTAATCGCTCGGGTCTTGTAGCTCGTTCTGCTTCTTCGAATCGGAGATCCAAGCCTCGCTCACAATCAACTTCTTCGCATTCAGCGCACTCAATACCTTGATCGTGGTTGGAAGCTTCTCTGGCTCTTGGCGCTTATCCTCTCGGACGACGCAGAGAAAGCTTGCGCGTTTGCCGGGTATCTGTTTCCCTTCGATGGTGACTCCCTGCTTCTGAAGCCACTTGGCCCTGGCTCTGTCCAGCTCAAAGCCGGAGATCAGCACAGTAGGCTTCTTAGCATTTAGAAAAGCAGCGCCCTGAGATCGAGCTGAGGTTGGAGTGCTCCGCGGTGTTGGGGGTTTCCGGTGTTGGGGCGATGAGGACCAAGGCTTCACATTCCGCTGTGCGACAACGATCTCGTCCTCGGATACTCCAGGCTCGTCGTCTGCTACGAAGTCGGTGGCTTGTCCAGGGGTAACAGTCTCGCCCGCGGACTCCTCTGGCCTGTTCTTGGCAGGGGAGCTAGTCGCTTGATGACGAGTTCTCTTGGCCAGCGGCTCATCCACTTGGACTTGGTATGTGTCCTCAGCATTACGGCGCTTGGCAGCTTCACGCTTGGGACGTTGAATGGAAGACTCGAACTGCTTGCTCTCTGCTGCCTGCAATGATCGAATAGCAGCCTCTTCAGCGACCTCTCCCGGTCCAGCAGCGTCAGATGTGGAGGGGACTTCTGGTGACTCTGGCGAGATAGATTCCGCAGGATCGTCCGCAACGGAGCCCGATTCGTCCTCAGTCTCGTCGTCAGGACCTACCTCGTGGCGCACGGTCACTTCTTCGCGGAGGCCGTCTTCTTCAGAGAGTGCGGGCGGCATGGTGGAGTGTTGTGTCGACGGTTGTGTAAGAAGATCGGTGGTGAGCGTCTCTGGCAGGTCGGTCTGCGCGGGTGTCGGATGTGCCGTTTTGAGGAGAACAGCGAAAGACGTGCCGAAAGATCCTAAACAAACAGTGTCGCCAGATCTTAAATTCACTACGAAGCGACGGCCGGGAACGGAGCAGTCCGCTTCAAAGCGAGCAGCCGAGCGCCCTTCAGGCTCTACGACGACGCCGCGCGCGTACGTCTCAAAGACGAGGACCTGATTGCGAGCTTCTGTGATTCGTGTCAGTTACCGAGGACTCGTTTGAAAGTGGAAGCAATGTACCGAGCTTGCCAGCAATGTCGTTCGCGAGGCGATTCGCGTCAGTCTCAGCTCGCAGTTCGATCAAGCCTTGGTCGCGATCGAAGTAGAGCTGGGTGGTGGCAGCGGGGTGCAGGGTGTGCTCGACGGGCTCTGTTCGAGTGCTGTAAGATATTCTCAGGATGATTTCAGTGCTGACGGACATGAAACGACATGGACATGTCAATATTGGTGTGCAGAGGACTCGAAGGATTTGCTTCCAATCTCGAGGTTTTGTGGGAAATGTCGCCAGCCAGGCAGCCACTCTCGCCCCAGTCGCGTTCAGTTCGCGTAAGTCGAGAAGGGGGAAAGAGCGACCTCTTCACATGCACGGGACGAGCCGCCCTCCGCGTGACCCGGCCCGTTCACTCACCATCGCTCATACCTCTCTCCCTTGCATCTGCCACCTGCAGATTACATGTATCCTTGACGCCCAATACAAGTCATGGATCAATGTATCGGATCCATACCCCAATTCGCGTCAAGATGTCCAAAGCTTCTCGATCCGGGTGCATGTTCAATGCGGCCCGTGCAGAGAACAATACTAAGCCAAGACATGCCTCCCTCAAAACCTGCGCAACACTTCTTGATATCCGCAGCGCAATCATACCGTCCAAGACGCGGCGAGTAAGTCTGGCGCACTGCACGGGTCGAGATGAGTTGGCTGACGGGTGCATGTTCCATTACAATGGCCTCTATAGCGATCCTCGCGTGGCGATTGCCGCCTTGGGAAAGAGCAGCCCGGCTTTGTATGCTCTAACTTTCACCTCACTGTTCTCGCCCTCTACCGTCGCATCATTGTATTCTTCACCATTCTGGCCGTCAGCTTGTCGAACAATCGTGCGGCTTCTCTCCGCTGAGATTATTGTACACGGGACGACGCGCTTATGAGCGTACAATCCCAAGAACACAATAGTCGAAGCCGCCAGTATTGTTCCGACGCTACGATTGTCTTCCAGTCTTCCACATTCTACAAGAAGATCGACCGTTCCAGCGCTCCGGCTCCTGTTTCTCTTCTCTTTCACCCACACGAACGCCTGGTCTGAGCTGAACAGAGCAGTCTTTAACAACTCTTCTGTCCTCTCGACCTCATCCAACACCACCCTCAGCAAACTGCAGCGCTTCCATCAACACCCACGACCACGCAAGCAAGCAAGCAAGCAAGCAAGCAAGCAAGCAAGCAAGCAAGCAGTCCGACAAAGCAGCTGCAGACATGGCAGACGCGCAGGCGACAGGCCTGGCATCCGCCGCTCCTTTCGACCCCTACAGCCAGACCTTCGTCCTCATCATGCCGGATGGCGAGACTCAAGCCGCGATTCGTCTCTCCGACGTATTCTTCTTGCAGACCCTCGCCGTCAGCACAGCCATCATCTACGCCATCCAGATCGGCGTCTGCGCCCTGCTGTTGCTGGTCCTTCTCCTCATGACCAAGCCCGACAAGCGACGAAGCGTCGTCTTCATCCTCAACATCGCGTCTCTGGTCTTCCTGCTCCTTCGCGCCATCCTTCTGTGCCAAGCACTCAACGGCCCCCTCTATAACTTCTACAACTGGGTCAACACCTATTACGCACAGGTCGGCGATGCTGCAGATGTCACAAAGGCCTCTGAAGTCTTCAGCTTCCTCTCAATCGCCGCGACTGAGTTGTCGATGCTCTTCCAGACCCAGATCGTCTGCTGTACCATCAAGACCTTCTGGCGCCACCTCATCAGCACAGTATGTATCCTTGTGGCTCTGGTAACGATCAGCGTTCGCTTCGCTGCTATGGTCGTCAACATCAAGTGGGGCATTCTGGACATTGGATCCATAACGCTCGAGCAGCAGAACACCATCGACCGCCTTTCTTCCGGCTTCAACATCTGCACGATGATCAGCATCATCGTTTACAGTTCGATCTTCTGCGCCAAGCTCGGCCATGCCATCTATCAGCGCCGCAAGATGGGCATGAAGCAGTTCGGTCCCATGCAAATAATATTTGTGATGGGGTGCCAGACCTTGTTCATCCCTGGTCAGTCTTTCCCAATCCTTCCACCATGAGCAATCAGCTAACAACGTCTCAGTCATCTTCGGTATCATCTCCTACTGGGTCCTCGTGAACGCCCAGCTCTACAGCTTCATGCCCGTGGTCGTCGCCGTCTTCCTTCCTCTCTCGGGCATGTGGGCCTCCACCAGCACGAACGGCAACAACAACATCGCTGCCCCACAGCAATGGCAACAGCGCAAGAACACAGCAGCTCAGCAATACAGCCAAGGCAGCCGCGACAAGCAACTGCTGGGTACAGCGGGGACTTCCGATACGCTTGTTGCAGATGGCAGGGCGGAGAGCTTCTCCGGCGCTAGTCCCTCGAAGCATGGCCACGTTGCCACGGTCGAGCGCGACAGCATCGACTTGGAGATGGCGAAGATGGGACACCAGGTCAAGATCAATCGTTCCTACAGTGTCAGATCCGACTAGGAGAGGAATGCCAGTGTAGAACGAATACCTCCGACACGGCAAGAAGAGCATGGTCATCCTCCGGCAATCTCAACAACTGAGATGAGAACGGCTTCGAGGGATTTCGTGTAAAGAACATCTGAGTTCGGAGTAGCAGCCGGCAAATCGGGCGAGCAATCATCGCCTCTCTCTCCTTTGTAAGAAGAACAGACACTCTTGGGGCGTATGTCGCAGCGAGGCATCCAGCCGGTCTTTCATTTGCCATTTAATTTTACATCAGAAGCGAGCGGCACAGCATGATTAGGCAAAGACGTTTGCCTTCTTTTTCCTTACTGAGCTCGTCGATCTTCGACATCGACATCGTCGTCGCCGGGCTTGGAATTGGTCGTCGTAGACATATCGGAATCCCTCGATCCATGGCAATAGAAGCTCTTTGCACGGCTTTCTTCTTTTCTCTGCCTCTCTCCTCTCATCTTCCGTCACACCGAATCCAGGGCCCAGGCGTACGAGCGCGCAAAACGAATTCGTGACGGAAAGTACAGCGTCCGTCCAACCAGCCAACGAGCTGCTTAACGCGCCCAAGTTCCCACCCCTCTCCGGCGACCTCGCGCCGATGCTTCCTGCTCCTCGGGGAAAGAAGATATGATTTGCACTTCTTCTTTGAAAGCCAGTATACCGCTTTTCTCGGAGCTGCGCTCTGCCCACCCTCTTCTTTAACCAGGTCCGATCCTCGGCATATCATTATGCTCACTCAGCGTCGAGAGATACTTGTTCAACTGCTGCACCCGCTCCTTGTGAGTCCGAACCCCTTCCCGTTTCAATCTCTCGTCCAGCTATATGGAGTTTCAGAAAATCAGCCCAAAGCCCAAACAGGAAAACTCCTCTCTCTCAGATTTCCTTTTTCTTTTTTTTTTTGGTTGTGTTGTGTGACGAGGGAGGCAAACTCACCCTCTTCTTCCTCCTCTCCTCGAACCGCCTCTGTGCTTCCGTCTTGCCGTATTCTTTCACTTCTTCCGCGTCTCTCGCATCCCTCGTCTCGTCGACTTCCTCCTCATCCGCGAGAGCTTTCTGTAGGTCTCCGTCTCCATCTTCCACCTGTTGCTGCTCCTTCTTCGTCTCTTCGCCAGAATCAGCCCTCACGACGGCTTTCTTCGCCTTCTTCTTCTTCGTCTTTTCTATGCCTCCGGAAGAAGCACCTTTGAGTTTCAGGCCTCCGCCGACCGCGTTGCTGTAGTCGGACGAGGGCATGTTGGATGGATGGGAGTGTGAGGGTGAGGGCGATGGGGTTGCGATGAGCGACGACGGTTTGTGGATTCGAGAGGGCATGTTACGGAAGTGACGACTAGGTGGGACTAGCGTCTATTAGCTAAGCGGAGACACATATACCTTCTTTCCGGTAGCTAGATACCTTGAGAATGACATCTACGACTTACATTGCTAAACCCTGCCAATTTGGTAGCTAAGAACTAACTAGGCCGTTAACCGTAACGACTACTAGTTAGGTAACTTAGGCCTATACTACTTGTCCCTCCGACTCTTACCGACGCGCGAGCAGCCCTCGTACCACTCCGCCCGTACCAATCCGACTGTATAGTCTTACCCGAAGCCTTAGAAGAAGCCCGACAGTTTGTAGCGTTCTTACAAGCTACGATAAGAACGACTTCGTTAGCTATAAGAGCTTAGGTTTCGAGATTCTTAGCCGAATACACCGCTACCGACTTATACCTACCTGTCTAGCTTAATAACCTCCCTCGACGACGCGAAGTATAGGAGCGTTTCGTAGAAACGGTAAGAAGCCTTCTTAGACCTTCTACTCCGATAAGGATAATAGTAAGAGCCGGTCTATCGACTCCTTCCCGAACTAGAGGCACTCCTACTAGAGCCGTACGACCGACTTAGTAGACATAGTCCCCTAGTATATCGCGCCCTATAATAGGTTCCTCGAATCGCTCGTAAACCTCGACGACCCTAACCTCGTAAACGACGATTATACTAGAATAGTAGAACGGTAACCTTTCGGCCGCTACTCTAGAGCGTATCTAGAAGATAATTACGGCCGCTATTACCGTAGTATAGCTATAGCGGTAGACGCCGCTACCTCCTCCGGGTTAGGTACCTAATAATTAGGAGTATTAGCTAGGTAATAGGTTCCGTAATTCGGAGGTTAGTTACTTCTAACCCGACCTACTAGAGTTATACAGGAAAGACGACCCGGTAACTATAGGATTAGACATCTTTTTCTACGATGTCTACTTATTTATCGACTACGTAAAGGATATAGCCTCCTACTACGGTAATAAGAAGGTAAAATTACGACTACCTATACTACTTCGTAGGTCCGCCTAATTGTAGTATACGGGCAGTCTAGACGACCTAGGCAAGTCCGGCCTACGCTATTCCCCTAGCTTAGACACCTAGATTACGACCCTAACGGAGTAGTTCCGCCTACCCTTAAGCGACTCGCTAGACACCCTAAGCCGAGTTTCTTATATATAGAACGACGCTAGGAACTATCGCCTAGTAGATAGGTATGTCGCCGAGGTGTAGCGACATACTTATAATACTAGATTTACGACGTTACTCTAGTAGCTTACGTATACCTATAACGGTATCGACGTCGAGTTACGACAGAGTTTGCCTACGCCTACGGCGACGACGACGCCGGCTACATTTATCCGGAGTCTAAAAGACTAGGAGAGTTCCTAGGTATAGCTAGTACGCCGTTAGAACCGTTCCCGACCGACGGCTAACTAATAACCGACGCTATTCTAGCGTCCTTTAGGTAATTACTATCCTAACCGAGACCGCTTTAACGCTCGAGACCGCGATCGCGATACTCGACCGAAACAGTAGTCCCGGCTATATTAGTATTAATATCCCCGTACTAATAATAACTAGCCGTAGCGATAGGCCGACTGCGACTACGCGGAATCGCTAAAGCTACGCGATAACAAGTTCTAACCTTAATCTTACGATCGACCTCGCTATAGTAGTCCGCGAAACGACCGAAACGATCGACGACCGCCGCCGCCGAAGGCAAACGTATCGCGTAGGTAGCTACTAAGGCCGTTCTTACGTAAGGATACGAATGCGGTAGAGGAGGATACGAACGATAGGGACGACGAGCATTTAGAATACGATAAGGAAGTCTATAATACGAAGGTAGGATATAGACACTATAGCGACGAATCGTAGTCTAAAAACGAGCCGGAGGAATACCTAGAAGCCGGTTTCGTAGAGGCCGACGACGCGGAGTCCGTAGCCGACATTAGCTATATCGCTACTAATCCGGCGAAGCGACAATGTTTAGTATACCGGTAAGAGTTTTTATCGAACAACCGACTGTATACGTATCTACGAAACTAACACCTAAAAGGGTAGAGGCTACGCGATCCTATAAAGCGACGCGAATCTATTATGTAACAGTTCTAGCCTAGTTTTATATCGACGGCCCGATCGTATATATTTGCCCGGACAGTAGTAACCTAACTACCCTAATCGACCGTAACTTACTCTAGAACTACTACCTAGACGTTATACCGTACAATTCCGACTAGCCTATCTAAGTTAGAGGAGTAGGTAACAAGGTTACATAACTTACGTTATAGGCAAATTTTTATCTATATTTTAAGAAGGCGACGCTACCTATCGCCGTATACGTTATTAATCGCTTAGTAGCTAGCTTGTTACTAGGTACCGACGTACTCGAACGACAGAAGATTACGCTATACTTCTCTACGATATAAATGTTATTTAATAGTAGGAACGCCGTGCCTCTAAATGTCCGATAAGTCCCTACGGATTGCCGGGTATACGACTTAGGCGCTACTAAGGAAGTCGACTACGAGACCGTAGCGTCCTTCGGGGCTACGATCTACGGTAGTAATACGACGGCTTAAACCCTCGACGTACTACTAAAGGAATTTCCTCGCTTATTTACTAACGATAGTAAGTTCGCCGACGTACCGGAGGAGGAGTAGATGCCTATTCCTTTAGTAAGCGACTAGCGTACTATAGGAGCTAAGCTAGCTTATAAGGTCTACCTAATAGGCCCTCGCGACCGAGAGTAGATCGATAAGATATACGACAAGCTTTACGACTAGGGCCGTATAGACTAGTCGACAGAGCCGACGCTATTTAGCTTACCTTACTTCGTAGTATAGGACAAGAAGGACCTATAGAGGGGCCGGGCTATAGTCGATATTCGAGGGATTAACCGGATTACAATTAACGACGCATATCTAATACCGCTCTAATCTAATATTACTTCCGTAGTATAAGGATACAAATATATCTCGACGATAGACATAACGGCCTTCTTTTACTAATAGAGAGTAAAGACGGAAGACCGACATAAGCTCGCCGTAGTGTCGTACCGTAGTTAGGAAATCTTTAATATAGCCGTTATAGGATTTAAGAACGCGCTAGCCTACGTCTAGCGACAAATCGAACGTATCTTACGCGAAGCAGACTGTATAGATTTCTTAAAAGCCTTTATCGACGATATCGTAATATATAGCTACACTCTAGACGACTACGTCGCTTACCTTCGAAGCGTGTTTAAGTCGTTAGACGACCGTAGCCTTACGATGTCCGAGAAGAAGACCTTCCTCGGATACCTATCGATTAAGCTCCTAGGCTAATACGTCGATAGGCTCGGAATGTCTACTTCGACGGAAAAGCTAGAGGCTATCGCTAAGCTAAGCTTTCCGACGACGGTAAAAGACTTAGAACACTACCTTAGGCTTACGGGATAGTTACGGAACTACATTCCCTACTACGCTTAACTCGTAGAACCGTTATAACGATAGAAGACCGAGAGCCTTCGGGGGGCGCCTACGGACCGACACTTAAGAGCGTATTATGTCGCAATCTCGCGATTAGAGCCGACCTAAGATCTACTAGAGGCCTTTTAGGCTCTATAGAAGGAATTCGTCAAGCCCTCGATACTAGTATATTTCGACCGGAAGCGACCCTTGTACGTTTATCTCGACGCCTCTAAGAAGAGAGGCTTTAGCGTAATAGTAGCCTATCTCGACAGCGACGCGGTCTCGGAAAACCTACTAAGGAACAAGACACGACCCGTACTATTCCTTTCTAAGACACTCTTATCGGCTAAACGTAAGTATTAGCCGACGGAACTTAAGGTTGCTTACCTAGTCTAGACAATAAAGCGTATCCGCTAGATAGTAGAGGCTAGTATAACGATAGTAGTACTAACCGACTACTCGGCTACGATAGTAATCGCGACCTAGACTTCGCTAACTATAAGCTCGATTAATAAGATAAATAACCGACTAACGAGAGCTTCGTAATACCTGTCCTAGTTCTATAATCTAAAGGTTTTCTATAAACCTAGAAGAGAGTATATCGTCCCCGACGCGCTCTCTCGGCTAACGGCGCCGGGCTAAGTAGTAGACGACGAGAATACTCTTAAGTAGCTAATCGAAGAGGTACCTATAAACAATATTACAATACTAGAGATAGACGACGCTTTTAAGAAACATCTCTTAACCGTATATCGAAAAGACAAGCACCTTAGTAAGATTAACCTAATACTCGACTACGCCGAACTAGGCTCTATAACGTTTTCTTACGACGACGACGGTCTTATTTAGTTAGACGACGCTAAGGGCAGACGCCTATATATTCTAAAGGCGGTAGAGGGAGATATTTTCTAAGTAACGTACGACGACTAATTTTATATAGGCTTCTATAGACTTTACGCCCGTATACGAACGTAGTACTTTATCTACAAATTAGCTAAGCGCTTACGACGCTACCTCGAGCATTACTACGAATATAGAACGCTATAGACGACGAGACACGCGCCGTACGGCGAATTAAGACCGATTACCGCGCTACCGGTACTGTTTTATACGATTACGATCGACTTTATCGTTAGTCTACTAGCTAGTAGCGGGAACAATAGCGTTCTTACCGCGACCGACAAATTAACTAAGAAGAATTTACTAGTTCCGGGCTATAACGGATTCTTAGCTAAGGCGTAGGTATACCGACTGCTTAACGAGCTGTTCCGATACGATTAGGGCCTACCTTCGGTTATTATCTCGGATCGCGACCCTAAGTTCACGGCCGCGATATAGAAGGCTATCTTCTTCCGACTAAATATTAAGTTACTAATGTCGACAGTATACTACCCTTAGACCGACAGTTAGTCGGAGCGGACAAACTAGACTATCGAGATCGCCTTATAGTATTATATAGTATAATACCCCGACGGGGCGCTAGAGTAGGAATACGTTCTACCGTAGCTACAGTTTACTCTAAATAACTCGGTAAACGCGAGTACCGACTAATCGCCTAACGTAATACTACTAGGATTCAATCCGAGGGAACTAGCCGATCTAACCGTTCGCTAACTAAGAGACGACCGGGTAGCCGACGTAGAGATTAAGCGTAAGGAGGCAGCCGACTCGATAGCGTACGCCTAAGTAGTAATAAAGTAGCGCTACGACTCGAAGTACTAACCTTAGAAGCTAGCGGTTAGCGACTTAGTCTATCTCCGACTAAAGAATTATAACGTACCCGGAGTTAAGAACCGAAAGCTCTCTCCCTTACAAGTAGGTCCGTTTAGGATCGTACGACTTATAGAAACGGGTTTAGCGTACGAGATCGACCTACCTAAGAACTAGAAGATTTACCCGGTAATCTCGATAGCTAAATTGGAACCGCACTCTTATACGGACGACCCGTACCGTCGACTTACGCGAAAGCCTACGCGAGTACGTATCGACGAGGACGACGACGCTTTACTAATACTACGCCTACTACTAGATCGTAGGATACGACTAGTCGGTAGAAACCGACGCGAGGTAGAGGAATTCCTAGTACGATAGTATAGATTAGGACTAGAGTACGACGAATAGGTTAGAGCGGAGGAGTTACCGACTAAGATAGTCAATTCCTATAACCGCTAGAAATAACCGCGACCGAGTATATAAAGGGGCTTATTTATATATATTAATTAGAGACAGAGTTAAAGGTTATCTTAGATAGCGATAGGTTCTTTACTACGACATTAACTACCGACACCTATACCGAGATTATAAGTTATAAGTAATATTCCTTATACTAGCGCTATATCGCGCGAACTAGAATCCGACTAGAAGAAGCGCGCGCTAACCCTAGAAGTTACTAAAGCGCCGATAATAAAGCGCTAAAAACTCGACGCCGAACAGATAAGTTTCGGCGACAGGCTAGTTAGCGGGCTAGGGAAGTAGCCGACAAGGATGTAGCGAGACTACTTCGCTAGCGATATCGACCCCGACACTCTTAACTCCGACGACGATACCCTTCGAGTACCGTAGAAGAAGAGGAATAACGACAGCGATTACGACGACGAATCGTCGGACATAGGCGGATTACCGACACTTACCTACGAAATAATTAAGTCCTAGAAGGCTAAGAAGTACGAGTCCGACGCGAAGCGTACCGATAAGCGCTAAGGATACGATATAATAAAACAGGTCCTAACTAATTTCTACGTATAGTCGACTACGCTAAGCGGCGTCGACGCTCCTTTAATACTAAATAGCGACAGTATAGTACGCCCGGGCGCTAAGGCGGTATTTAAAGGCCTACGTACCGTAGATCCCTTCGAATGTAACCGACTATTATAGGACATCCTTCGACTATAGTAAGACGTATAGAAGGATAGCGCGAGGCGCTCGCTAATTATAGCGTAGAGGAAGGCGACAACTCGCTACGGCTAGGAATAGGAGTTCGTCTATAACGAGCTAGCTAAGGCTATAGGTAAGAAACTAACGACACTTACTAAGGACGACCGGATCGAGCGACAGAATAATCGTATTAAGCGGCTTGAAACCGACCTAGCTCTAGCCTAGTTAGCGACGTAGGGCGTCCGAGATTAGCTAGCGTCCGCCCTTCGTAAGTAGAAGGACGACCGTAAAGCCTAGTAGAAAGAGAAGGCCTAGAGCGATAGCCTAATCGCTACCTTACGGAAGTCGGGTATAGAGAGAGAAAACCGACTAAAGAGGGAGGCCTTCGTATTACCGCCCGACGTAGTCTAGTCGTAGACGAAGATTAGCTCTTATAGTTCGAGTATATAGACTAACATTTCCTCGTACCTAATACTCCGTTACGACCGAGAGATCCTTCGGCGAGGCCGACGCGCTCGGGTATAAGAGGCTTACAAGTAAGCCCTTTATATCTACGCGGACGACATTACGACAGCTAATATAGAGTACTACGAGAGGTACGCCGCTATCTAGGAGCTCCTCTTCGGACCGCTAGCGAAGTTTATTAACGGTATTACGACGAGTACCTAGAGTAATAAGACCGAAGCGGCTGACTAGAACGACGCTTAAACTGCGGCGTAAATACCGACAGAATAAGCTATAAGGGTATAGCTATTACTTTAAAGCCGGGTAGGCTATTACGGAAGTAACGACTAGGTAGGACTAGCGTCTATTAGCTAAGCGGAGACATATATACCTTCTTTCCGGTAGCTAGATACCTTAAGAATAACATCTACGACTTATATTGCCAAACCCTACTAGGGCAGGTGTGGAGGGACTTTAGGGATGCCTGAGGCAGCAAGATCATGGGGATTCACTTCTAGGGCGAGGCGGGGCGGGACGAGGCGGAGCGGGGCGGGGCGTTCATGTGATAGGATAGGAGCTTGGATTGCCTGGCTAGCACTATGACATTGATGCAAAGCACAACAACAACAAACGCCGGCACACTTGCACCACACGAGACATTTGAAACCCCCACATCTCGATTTCCCGTCGTCGCTATTGATGAAATTGTTCCCCTACAGATTCACCACCGTCCTACAATACGGCACGACAGTCACATTCCCCACCAATCCATACCCCTGCTCTTTCGGTTCCGGTCCCAACCACAACGTCCCACTACTCTTCACTTCCATCCAGATGGTCCTCAGAACATTAGAAAGCGTAGTAGCCACCACCACGTCCACCGTGTTCTCTCCTCCTTCGACCAGGAATTCCCCGATATCAGCCTTGGCATCCGTCGGATCGAGAGGAGGGAGACGGTGTCCGTTGACCCAAGCGCGTATGGTGTTGGAGATGGCTCCGAATTCGAGCATGGCGCCGGAGGAGGAAGTAGAATTCGTGGATGGCCAGGGGAACGTGGTGCTGTAGAAGCCTCGACCGGAGACGTTACGGAGGGAATCGGAAATGGTGTTCCAGGGTTGAAGAGCGGTGAGATGATAAGTCGAATTGGAGAGGGCTGGTGTTGTCTGGTCTGCTTCGAGATCGGAGGGAGGAGACCAGGATTCGACGGTCAGGGTCCAGCTCGTGAGTGGTGTGGGAGCTGCTGGGATCGGAAGTGTCACTGCCGTGCCGTTCGGAAGGAGGACAGGCTGCGTAGCGTTTCCGGCTTTGAGGACCACCTGGCTACTGCCAGATCGGATAGCGCTGTAGATTTCCTCTGGAAAGGAGATTGCACGCGGAGATGCTTTCTCGGAATGGTTGAACTCGATGATTGTGGTTTGGTTTCCGGCCAACGAGAGGGAGATTGTCGTTGTTGAGGCACTCTGCTGGTATGCAAGAAGAGGCTTTACTTCACCGGTCCAGGCGTCATACTCGTATGGAGCTCCAGTAGTTTCGAATGTGATCGAACCAGTACCTGCTCCTTCACCAAGCTCGCTGTCCCAGGCATCATTGTACACAAACACGTAGGTCATGTCGCCCGCTTCACGCCAGTAAGTGTAGAAAGTCCTGGCAGACGACGTTCGAGTGCGAGGTGTAATTCCGAGAGCCTGAAGAGAAGTAGCCAGATTGTCGTAAGGCACCACGTGAACATTGTCAAGGCCGGCAATGCTTGCCAGCGCCGATCGAACATACTCCGTCCCAGAAGAAACATTATATCCTGTAAGATTCTGCGGGATACCACCGGAGAAGATAATCGGTAGTCCAGCATTGGCATAGTCCACGACATACTGGACCCCAGAGACCGTAAGCGTATCGTTCGCGCGCAGGACGAGCGCCTTGAAAGCCTGTCGGTTTGGCGCAAAGATTCCGTCCTGTACAACAGCTTCCGGTAGACCGAAATTGTCGGGACTCAGGTATTCGTAACTATACCCAGCATCCTGTAGATCGTTGGGAAGATAGACCGAATCCACACTAAAAAATTGATCCCTCTTAAGCCAGAAGGCCAGATCAATCTTCGGAATACCGGATTGCGCAAAATACTGGATTCGAGCAGTCCAGTTCATATAATCGTCGTAGTACTCCCAAGTCGGCTGCCGTGGTCCGTGCATATTGGAGAAGCTGTAGGAGAACGTAGTGTAGCCTGGCCACGAGGTGTTCGGGTAGCTGCCGGTGTACGGGTACCCATGGTAGATGAAGTTGTTGACAGAGCCCGCAATGCTTCGCTTGACGTCCCAGATCAGCTCCGGCATGGTTTGTTCGTAGACCTCTCGCCTCTGGGCTCCCAGCTCGGAGGATATGATTCTCTTTCCAGCGACTACACAGCACATATCAGCTTGGTCACGCTTCGTGGGGAGCAAGGATAGGAAACTCACGATTCGCAGGTCCAGTAAACTGCCTGTACGCATCAATAACATGATTGAACCCCAAACTCTCACACTCCGGTGCATTCACCGTAGGAATATTCGCCAGCATATCCATGGGCAGATTGTAACCCACCTGAGCGGAAAACTGAGATTGGAGAGAATCATGCGACCAATTCCTTAGAGTCGCCAAGTAAATTTTGTTCAGCTCAGTGAGAGTTTGCCAGTAGTCATTCACATGACTTTGACCGAGGTCAGACTCATCCGTATAGTAGCGATCCGGGGACGCGAGAGGCCCGTTGGCCTCGGTGTTGTAGCTGTATACTACCGGTAGGTATTTTCTGAGGCTGTATCCACGATTGGATTCAAATGTCTTGAGCAACTGCGGTGTCCACCAGAGGAGAGTGCCAGCGCCGATTTCCATTGAGTCTTCCCATGCGTAATTCCCAACGTCTTTGAAGAGTTGTCTTGTCTCGTCGTCCAGCAGGTATTTATCCCAGAAATCAGTAACGACCTTCGCGCCCGCAGCTGAGAAATGATCTACAACTCTAGACCCGTTCTGTACGAAACTTTCGACCGGAGATTGAGGTACAGTGGTGCTTAGATTCAGCGGAGATGCCTGCTCCAAATACGACGAATGGTTCTGGTAGAATGCAAAGATCTGGTATTCCAGGCCTTCTGCTCGGGGGAGCGTCAGGTTCAAGCGACCGTCAGAAGTGATCATGTCTGTCACGTCTTCGAGAGAGGAGGCAGAGAGCGTGTTCCGGGTGCCGTCGTAGTACACAGGTCCTAGCCAAGCGGGCGCCGCAGAGTAGTTGGCAACAGTGGTGTTCAACACCAGGGCTGTAGAAGCCGCTACCTGATGTTCACGATACCAGTCAGTCAAACCAAAGACACGACAAATGCTCCGATAGATGGGCATACAAACTCTCCGCTCCCCCATCCAGGCAAAACATCATCGAAAGATCCCCCAATCGGCACAGAAACATTCCACGGCCACAAGTCCCACATGATACCTTCATCATCGGGATCTGCAGGTACCCCGGCACCTTGATTAGGTCCAAGTGCGAAATCCATAATCATGCCCAGACTCTTCGTAGCTCTTAAGGCGACGCTCGTCAAACTCCTCCAAGCTTCAGTGCCCCAGCCATATTTCGTCCAGTCCACGGGCACGGGGCCTGCTTCTGTAACAACGCTTGGGAAATCGCCGTACAAGTAGTATCCCAGGAGCTCTAGACCTCCCATGCCAATGACTTTTGCTTTGGCGAAGTCTTGAGCAACGACATCGAGGTCAACGGAGGCATCGGGAATCCTTTGGGGGTCGCAACTGTCAGAATGCTTCGGGCAGAGCCATCGATTGGTATATCTCTCACCAGTATCTGAACCGCGGGCGTACATAAGCCGATGGGTTCTCAAAGGTGCCATAGTCGATGTCTGCTTCGACTTGATCATTCGCATTCCAGCCAAAGGTAGTGCAAGCACAGAGTGCTAGCAGTGAGGATCTCAGAACTACTTTGGGAAGCATGACAAGCAACTCCTGACAAAGAAACCCCTACCTTCCGCCATGGCGGCCGCATTCAAGATTTTATGTCTACAAGCTTCTTCAGTTGCTGGCGCACATTGCCGATGTGCAGGAAACCGATTTCCCGAAGGATGCCCATTTCCATAGGAGAGAGAACGCGGGCCTCGGAACAGGCGAAAGATGGTCGGGCGAAGAGGTCCTTCGAAGCAGTCGCTTCGGCTTGCTCGGCACAATGTTGAACCGCCAGCTCCATTTCCATGACACTAGGCATGAGTTTTGCAACTGCCGCAGAGCGAAGAGAGGAGAGAGTTGCACTTGTTGTCAGTTTCGAAGTCTTGTTCCGACAGTCCTCGCTAGCAAAGAGGAGAGGGTGTCGTTCATGTGCATGTGACGGTGACCTCGCTTTCACACCGCCTAGGGTCAACTGCAGGTTCTCAGGATGCCTCGCAACGCTCACGTTCGTCCTCTGTCCACATAGACCACTGACATGTTGTGCCGCGAGGCTTGGCGGTCGTAGTCTGCAGCAGCCTTCGGGCACTGGGCCTACTGCGAGGTCGACGTGGAACGGTGGAAGAGGCTTTCTGCCTCGAAAAGTTAGCTCTTGACTCACGACCGAGTCCCTCTCATCATCACTGTCTGGAGGCCGGCGTTTGGGGCCGCATGATGGACAGGTGGACCAATCAGCTCGAAGATCTGCTTCTGGCGGTTCATGGAGGTGCAAGACGACATTCACGATGAGAAGGTGTAATAATGCCGGGGGGATCCCTCCAGCTTCCCCACCCTAGACTTCCTGTCCTACCATGGCATCCAACAATGTCGGAGAGGGTTGCCGATGTGCCGGTACCTGGACGTGGCGTGCAGGAGACGGAACACTGGTCTCGGCCAGTCGAGTGTGTGCCAATGAACCCTCCGTAGGCCAGATTGGGCTGGACGAGCTTGAGTTTAGACCAAATGAGCGGCGCTTGCATGGTCCGAAGCAATGCCACGGGATGCCACAGGATGCCTCTCTGGGGCGGTGTCTTGGGCGTTGTACAGTGTGACGCGGTGAAACGGGGCCGTGTTGAGATGGTGTGAGGAGAAGGGTATGGAGAGGAATTGCATCGTTGGGCGGAGTAATTAGAGTGGTTCCCGACCAGGCGCAGGGATGTTTATTGCCTCTCCTGCCGGATGCGTATCTAGCGCGGGTGATGGACAACGCCGTTGGCCGGACGGCCCGCACGGGTAGTGGCGACAGCGGGTGCAAAACCTGCCGCATTCCTCCCGAGTCGGCGCGCTCCATTGCGTGACTCACTGCGAAGGATGGGGTCGTCGCGTTGTGCAGCAAGTCGAGAGAGAGGGCGGCTCGACAGAAAGGAGGTGAAGGTATATGTGCATGTACATGTAGATGCGGTTGAATTACCGCTGGAAGGTTGTTCCCGTGGTGCCTGGATCCTGGAAGAAAGACAGGACAGGGCTGTTTCAAGATGCTTAGCGCGCCCCGTCAAAGTTACTTGGCCAGGGGTAAAGGCCAATGGCGCGGAGGGAGGAGCTGCAGCCGAAGACATCAAAAGGCGCTTCCAACTCCACCGCGCCTCTTCTCATTCTCCCTCCCTTCTCCATCTCCATTCCACGCCATCCTTCCTTAGCCACCGCACAGCATCACAGTCGCTACTTCGCTGCTTTCATCGCTCTCACTGCACTTCACTTCCCGCGACAGCAACCACCAACAACAACAACACCAGACAAGACACTCTTAATCAAGCATATCAACCCCAACTCACACCGCAAACATGCGCTCCACCTTGGTCGTCCTCGCCGCCGCCGGCTCGGTCCTCGCTGCCGCCGACAGTGCGCAGAACTTCGACCGCGACACCTCTCCACAGGGCTACGTCGTCTCGCAAATCTCCGTAAGCATGGACCCGACAGCATAGCATCTGTTCGCATCTGGAAGGTCATTGGCTTCTTGCCGAGTATCCTTGTCGAGACCGAAGCAACAGCCAGTCGCTCAGCAGCAAATGGGCTACCTCGTCCGTCGTCATGACCTTCCAATGCCATCAGATGCCGTTTACATGTGATAGTTGGACTTGTGCTGATTCTCTCTTACAGGACGGACAAATTCAGGCACCTACAGCCCCAGCCTACTCTGCTCCAGCCTCTTCTTCCGCCGCAGCAGTCAGCTCCGCCGCTCCAGTCGCCTCCAGCGCTGCCTCTGCCCCAGCCTACTCTGCTCCGGCATCTAGCTCCGCCGCTCCAGTTGCGTCCAGCGCTGCTTCGGCCCCAGCCTACTCTGCTCCAGCTTCTAGCTCCGCCGCTCCAGTTGCGTCCAGCGCCGCTTCGGCCCCAGCTGCCAGCTCTTCCGCCCCGGCTGTCACATCCGCTGCTCCAGTGGCCTCGTCTGCTGCTCCAGTGGCCAGCAGCGCCGCCGCTCCAAGTGCTCCAGCTTCGGTCGCCCCAATTGCCGGCGTCAACTCGACTGCCCCATACCCAACCTCTGCTGCTGCTGGCAACGCCACCACCCTGACCACCTCCAAGAGCGTCGCCGCCTCTTCCACCGCCGCCAGCTCTGCTGGTGCAGGCAGCGCCTCGACCACCTCCGCCGCCCCAGTCTCGGCCACTGGCGCCGCTTCCGCCATGCAGGTCTCCACCGGCATGGCCGGCGCCCTCCTCGCCGGTCTCTTCGCCTTCCTCATCTAAACAACTGGTGCGGCCTCTCGCTCCAGGTCCAGCTTGCCTGCTTTGCTGCTTGCGACGGAGCTTCTGTGTTGAATTCGAGTACATGGGATTGGGTGGCGAACATTTGAAATTAGGGGAAAAAACCTTGCCTTTGAGATGGCCGGTAATGCATATGCTTCATAGAACGTGACCGGGACGACAGACAGAAGAGTCCCGCGGCGTTCCATAGATACGATGAATTAAAACTTACTACGATCATGATGCTTGCCCGGCACCGTCGCTCTTCCATGAACAACCACAACACTCTTAGATGGACGAGGATGAGGATGTAGATAAGCGGACGTAGTGTGAAGTCCGAATAGAGAATCCCGTCGGCTCCTCCGATGCCGTGGCGAACGATGTTGACAGACTGCGTTTGTGGTGGTGGTGGTGGTGGTGGTGGTGGAAGTCGCGAGTGTGGCAATGTGGGTGGGTGGTGTAGAGTAAGTCGGTCGTGCCTTCCTTCCTTCCCTCCTTCCTTCCTCCTTCCTTCCTCTTTCATTCATTCCCTCCTACCCCTGAGGTATCATACCACTTCATTGAGGGTGGTTCTTCACCACGACATGTCTCAGACCCCGTTCCGAGTAGACACTAGACGCAATGTTAATGATCAAGAATTCGTTTTTTCCTTGATTACTCCACGAGTGCCTACCGCCACTTCCGTAGAACGAGAGTCGCGAAAGGCTCGCTTGGATTTTTCGCAGCAAGGTCTGCAAGACGCATCGTCGTGACAACCTCGTGCGACAAGGAGGCATGCCGTTGAATGCTGGATTCGAGGATCATCCGACACATCTGCATAGCAAATCTCCTCATGATCGCCATGCTCGCGGTGATATGTCGCGAGCGTCATCCGTCACGCCTCTGTTGTGCAGGACTTAGCGCAGGAGTCATTCGACACGCTCGCGCGGGTGGCTTTTCGTCGACTCGGCCGTTCTACAGAGTCCATTCTACAGACCTGCTCGTGGCTTGATCGCTTCATCGAGGTCATCCGATATGTCCAAGGAAGCAGTATTCGTAGCAGGGGAGACCGCGGGTGATGGACCGTCCTTCAACATTGGAGCATACGAGGCTTCGGGCCAGGTCCCTTCTGCTTCCTCTTTCTTCTTCACGATACCGCAGTTTCTTTCCACAGGCACGGTCTCTGTCACGCGCGTCCATCCAAGCCATCCCTCGATTGTGTGAGACTGAATCGAAGCCGTAGATGTGCATCGCCCACAACTATCAATCACTCGTCTAAGGCCTCCTATCGTTTTAAAACAGTACAGCCGATAAGTTGTATTAGAGTGCGGTAATCTGGCTTTAGGTGAATCGCGATGACCGGCGTGAAGATTCGTTCCCGAGCGATGAGCAGCTCGTAGATATTGAGCACCGGTGTGGTTGGTGAGAGTACCACGAGTGAGATGTCTCGTGAACATGAGCTGCAGTCGAAGGCCCAAGTAGCCCGTTGATGCCCCTTCAGCGTTGCCGGTATGTCGTGGAAGATTGGTGAACAGCGCGCAGCTGGTCAGCTGCAGTCTAGGTCAGCGTGTCAGTATGTAGCTTCGACTCTGGAGGCGCCAAGGAACTGTGGTCGCTGAATGCGTTGGTGTCGATTGCATTCTGCTGGGCTCTTGCGCAACTCTTTCAGAATGTATTGGGCAGTGGGCAGAGCCCACAGACCGGTCTCGTCATGAAACCGAATGCGTTTGACCACAAGGCGTTACCACGCATCTCTTGGCCGTCGAAAGATCAATGCGATGGCCAGGTCGTACAGGAATCGTCCCGGTGAGTTTATTGCCACCGCGATGCTGGAATACACGAACGCTGTCATATCATCCATTCCAACCAAAAGGCGGCGCAGGTAGCCAGCCTGCTGTCGAAGCCCAACAACGACTCCAGTGATATTGTGGCACGGCCTCGTCCGCCTCATCAATCTGTGTGTAGCGCAGAGAAGAAAAATTTTCTTCCTCGCTTATAGAAGTACGCAATCCGAAGGTGTTGTGACGGGCGGATACAGCACCCTGCAGCTCCAGAAATGTCCTGCTCGATCAAGCGACTTGGTCCACATAGACTTGACTGCCACTGCAGCAGCAGAGTGCACGATCCAGAACGACAACCACCACCCCTGGACCGACTTCGCTACCTAAGATCTCCACCCTCTTCGTCAGTGGATAGCGCGGATGGCCGTTGTGTGCTCCAAGCCCAGATCCGAACTTGTGCGTGCTAGTATGCGGCGCTGTGGAGTCAGATCGTCCTACTGTTAGGTGCGGCAGGGTCTCGAGTCGGAGGTGGCGAGACGCGCGTGGGAAACGCTTCCAGGGATTGATGTCGAGCTGCTGCGTGGCGACCTCACGGATCAGGGAGATTGTTCACTTCTTCCCTGTCGAGTACTTCGCAAAAGCCCCCCAGACTCCAATCGGAGAGTCGAGACTTGCAAGAGGAAGGGCTCTGTCAGAAGCGCGCTCTTACGGCCGGATTCTTTTTCATCCAAATCTCCTTGGTGAAGGAAGGCGCGATGCCGTGAAACCCGGTGGTCCATTGGGAGACTTCCTCTACTCCGGCACATTTTCGCTGCTCACAGCAAGCGCCTGTGCCGAACAGCTCGAGGTCGCAAGAGCCTGAAAATATCGCGGTCTCGTGTCACGTAGCATGGGAAGACGTCAAAACAAGCGCGCGCGCGCGCTTTCGACCGTCAACGGTATTATCTTGGCTCAGAATCATAAGCCTCCACGGTCTCCCACCTCGATCAGCCAAGCGTGTAGGCGAGAGCGTGGGCTGCGATCACCGAGACCGTGACAGAGATTCGCTTCATTGAAGTGAATGGTCAGGTCAGCATCAGGTCATGATCCTTTGCGATGTTCGCATCATGGTGATATGCATCCCGCGGGCGCATCTTCATCGCTGCAGTGTGACCTCTTGCACGGCTGTGGACGGCGTGTGAGGGCGAGGGAGGGAGCCAGGAGCAGCACTGCGCGCGGTGTTGGTGGAGGAGGTGTTGGTGGATGCGGATGCACTGGACTTGCCTAATCGGCGAGCGGGCCGAGGCGCGCTCCTGAAACAGAATCCTGCGAACCAATCAGAGCATCGGAAAGAAAACGTGCTCTCGCTTCACCATAGCATTCGCTTCTTGACGATTGTCGATTCTTACCTGCCCTGCCCTCCGGAGCATCTCATCATCCATCAATTCTCTTCTTCCATCGCCTACGGCGCCGCATGCCAAAAGCGTGTTGGCCGCGCCACCCGGATCACCGGCACACGAGGCGGAAAGGCGAGTGTCCATCATTGGAGGCAGCGAAGGAGCTCGCGAGGCATCATGCTTGTTGCAGCGAAGCAACGACATGGGAACCAGCCGAGGCGCGGCGTGCTGTCACCGCCCCGTCTGTCTGGACGTGTTTCGGTTGTCTGGACAGGACAGCGTAGGCAGGCAGTGTGCAGGGAGATGGATCCGCGCAAGCAGACTAGAAGACTTCTCGAATGCCGTCCCGAGTCTTGGCCAGAGGGTACTACCACACACACTACTGTACTACTGTGTACTGTACGGTACACGCCGGGGGTGGTCCGGAAGCTTAGCTTACCTGAGGTAGGGACCTACTAACTTCTAAGCACTCACCCAATCCAATGATGGGTGAGGAAGCAAGATCGAACCCACCAACAATCTCTTCTTCCCTGCGCGCTGCTGGAAAAGCGACGTCGTCCATCGCACCCGCACACGTGTCGCCGTGAGGCACATCTTACCTACCTTACCTACTACTAATTCATGAGGTGTACCGAGTACATACTAAGCTGTCGGAGCGAGCGCTACGCTACAGCTACAGGCATCTGTCCGGCATCCTTCCACACCTCTCATGCACCCGACCAGGGTTGATTCGCACACGCCTGCCCGAGACAACTGGATCCCTCGCCATAAGGCCAGAGAGCACTCGCGCTCGCGCTCGCGCTCCCTTGCACCCCAGTGTGCAGCGTCTCTCCCACTAGCACTGCTCCCGCTGCTGCCCGCCGCCCGCCCACTCTTAATAATAATAACCGATTCCGCACTGCTGCGCTGCCACCCTGGCCTGACGTACCCGGAGCGTCCTCATCTTTAAAGGCAGATCGCCTTCGCATTTCTTCGCCCTCGCTTCTCCTCGACAAGCTCATCCACCCCAGGCCCGTCTCTTGACTCTCGCCCATCTCCATCCCTCGCCATGGCTGATGCTTCCATGCGAGACTATGGCCTGGCTGCACCTCACGGGCCCAACTTCGGCGGCCATGTCGCAACCGCAGATGTCGGAGACATGAACCCCAACGAGGAGTCCGTCTTCAAGTCGCTGCTGCAGCCCGACGACATGTACGACGACAACGGCACCTACTGGGCCGACATGCCCATCCTGAAGCGCATCAACTTCATCCGTAAGGTTGACAACGCCGAGGCCAAGCAGGAGCTTAACTTTATCGGCAACATGATCAAGGCCGACCCTCTCAGCCCTGTGAGCTTCTACTTCCGGAATATGGTTATCCCGGGTATGGGTCTTCTCCTCGAAGGGTGAGTTTCCCATACATCTCGCTGTGAGGCAACGCATGAAGAAGCAACTCATTGACATTCTGATAGATACGTCCTGTTCTCCATCGGTAACGTAAAGCCGCTCTTCGAATCCGCATTCCCGGCATGTTGGAAGAGCAACAAGGTCTGCAACAAGACCTGGATCCAAGCTGTCGACTACCTCGAAATCTGTGGTATCATTGTTGGTCAAATCGTCGTCGGTCTGCTGGGTGACTGGCTGGGTCGTCGATGGGGTCTGATTCAAGATGCCGCCATCATGTTCCTCGGTCTTGTCATGCTTACTGCCTCGTGGGGCACCACACTCAGTAAGTTTCAACCTTCCCGACCTGCCTCTCTGCGAAATACTCATTCATCGCGACAGACGGCTGGGTCATCTGCTACGTGTGGTCTCTGTTCTTCTACGGTATCGGTGTCGGCGGAGAGTAAGTTCATCACTTGACCCTGCATTCAGTCTTCACGATCTGACTCGTAATCATCTAGATACCCCATGACCGCCACCTCGGGAATGGAAAACGCAGTCGGAGCCGGCAAGGTCTCGACCCGTGAAGATCGTTTACACCGTGGCCGAAAGGTCACCTCTGCCTTCTTGATGCAGGGTTGGGGACAGTTCTTCAATCAGGTCATCCTGATTCTCCTGCTCCTCATCTTCCACGGAGGAACCTCGTCGCCGCCATACAACAAGACCCTTGTACAATGGACCTACCGTGTCTCCTTCGCCATCCCCGCCGTCGGAACCCTGTGGCTCGTCTACTACCGTACCTACAAGATGCGCTCTGCCTCGAAGCAGCTCCAAGCCGCCAAGAAGAAGCAGAAGGTTACCGGATACGATGTCCAGTCTCTCAAGATGACCTTCAGCCATTTCGGCGGTCGTGTCATCGCCACTGCTGGAGCCTGGTATGCCAACGACATCTTCTTCTACGGTAACAAGCTCTTCCAAGCCGAATTCATTTCCACGATCACTGGCGGCAACAACAGCTCTGTCATGGTCACCTGGCTGTGGAATCTCCTGAACATCGGTGTCTCGCTTGTCGGATACTACCTCGCGTCTTTCCTGATCGACCACAAGCTCTACGGACGAAAGTGGATGCAGATTGTCGGTCTGTTCGCCGTCTTCCTCTGCTTCGTCATCCCGGCCTTCAACTACGAATACTACGCCCAAGGCGCCGGTGTCAAGAAGTTCATGGCCATGTACTTCTTGTCTTCTTTCTTCAACCAATTCGGACCCAACTCTGTCACCTTCTTGGTCGCCGCCGAGGTCTTCCCCACTCCCGTCCGTGCGTCTGCACACGGTTTCTCCGCCGCCTGGGGTAAGCTCGGTGCCCTGACCGCCGCTGTCCTCTACAACTACATCGACATCGAAACGCGCTTCCTCGTCGTGCCGTGGTTCGGTCTGGCCGGTGCGGTCCTCACCTTCCTCTTCCTCCCGGATACCACCGGTCTGGATCTCAAGGAACAGGAACGTCGCTGGGCCTTCATCCGCGCCGGACGCGAGAAGGAATACCACGGCATCGCCATCCACCCGCAGCACCTGTCGCTCTGGGAACGTCTCATGGGCGTCAGCAAGCAGTACGACCCGGAGTTGGACTACAAGCAGCGCGTCGAGGAGATGCGCGCGGACTGGGAACAGGCCATGGCGCGTCGCGCCGAGGCCGAAAAGGGTGTCGACGAGGAGATGGAGGATGACTGGAGCGATGAGGTTTCCACCTTCTTCGAGCGCACGCGCGGCGGCAAGAAGGGTGGTGTGGATGCCGCTTTCAAGGCCGAGACGAACGGGTGGAATGGGCCTGATTCGATCGAGGAGGAGAAGGAGAAGACACATGCTTCGTAGTAGTCGTGAAAAGTTTTCTTTCTTCTTCCTTTTTGGGATAGCGGGTGTTGGGTTGGGGATGTATATGCATGTGGGATGGAGTTTCTTGTTGAGACGACCGACAGAAGGATTGAGAGGATAGAGAGAGAATGTTATTATAGTGACGGCCGCCCATGGGGGAGATACACTTTGGACAGCATAGGCGCTTCCATGCCGTATATATTGGGATACAGAGGCATACATTCGACTCGACACGACACAAAGTCCCAGACTTGATCAACACGCTCTCTCTCACCGTTCCCTCTGCACCATCCATCTATATGTATGTATCCCTCTCAAAAAAGAATCGTTCCTTCGTACACAAAATCAATCTTCGTCCCAAGCTCTCTTCACTTCAAACTTCAATGATGAACCACGCCCCCTCCCTTCCCCTTCTCCCAACCCCGTATACTCTCCTCAATATTCATCCAATAGCGCAACCTCACCGCCTCCCTGCGCGCCCGCTCCCAATCCCCCTCGGCAAACGCAACCTCCAAAACCCCCACACTCGCCTGAATCCGCCGCTCATTCTCCGCCCTCAACCCCTCCAATTCCGCCTCCTCTGCCACCTCCTCCACGGCCTCCCGCGCCTCCATGACTTCCATCAACAGCGCCCCGCCTTCCAATTTCGCCCCGTCGTCTTCCACGTCGATGCCCCGCTGCGCCAAGAGGTATTGCGCCCGTCGCAGGGGGCTCTGCAGCGTGCGGTAGGCTTCGTTTATTGCGGCGGAGAGGGTTTCCGCGCGGGCTTTTTGGGCTGTCGGCACGAGGTCTGGGTGGGTTTTGGACTGGAGTTGGAGGAATTCTTGGCGCAGGAGGCGGAGGTTCGGCGTGAAGGGGGTGGCGGGCGGGGGGCCGGAGGGGAAGGTTTGTGGGAAGAAGGTGTAGTGGGTTTGTTGTTGTTGGGTTTCGTCGTCGCGTTGTTTTTGTTGTTGTTGGGTTGTTGGTTGTTGTTCGAGGCGAGACGGGGAGGTTTGGATGCTTCGTCGTCGGCAGTTGGCGCAGATCCAGGGAGCGGCGGTGTGGGAGAGGGGCGTGTCGCGGGAGAGAGTGCCGGTCGCGCGAGCGACTGTTCGTATTGAGGAAGGGCGCATGGTAAGTGGGGGAGTTGTTGGTGGTACTGGGTGTGAAAGCAGAGACGGGAACTTTTCGCCTTCGAGATTCGAGATTCACTCTCGCAGGAAGCCTGGGCCACCTTTGACATCATTGACACGTGACAGTCATCTGCCATTCAGGTGCTTCAGGATAGTACTATCTGCATCTTCGAATCACTTGCTTCACCGTGCTGCAATCATTGCAGACTGCTCTATGAGGCTGCAAGTCTACTGCGTGGCTCCATTGGCCATCTCCTCCGTCGTCAAGAGCTTCTCCGGCCCGAACGACATGGGCAACAGTTGCTCCAGCGTCATGACGACCGATTTCCCGTCCTTGTCATACATGAGGATGGGCGTATTCAGCTATCAAGCAAGGTCTTAGCTCAAGAACTGCTATGCTATGCCCAATCCTCAGGTCCTCACCTCGCAGAACTCCCGGATGAACTGCCTACACATTCCGCAGGGACTTGCCGGAGGGCTGATGTCTGTCGCAACAGCTATGGCTCTGAAGTCTCCCTTCTGCGCTCCCTGGATCGGCATTAACATGGTAGCAGACTCAAGTGAACATCGGCATAACGCACCTGGCAGACGGCGGTGGCGATGGTCACTCGCTCCGCACAGGTTCCGACCGGATAGGCGGCATTCTCAACGTTGGCTCCCGTCACTACTGTGCCATTCGTGAGCAGGACGGAACATCCTACTCGGAAATGCGAATATGGGCCTGGGAGATGTCGTTAAAGGGCTGATAGCATGCCGTTTGTTTTGAGTGCTTACAGTATGCCCTGGATTTGGCCTCGGTACATGAGTCGGAGAGTGTTTGGACCTCTGAGGATGAGAGGCCGTGGATCAAGGCGGTATCATGACGAGCGTGTCCTTTGGTGGACATGTTGAAGGAAGGGAAGGAGAGAGTTTGAAGCTCGGAGCAGCGACGCGGGAGATGGGTTGGCCTCAGGCGCAGTTCTCAGCACGAACCCATGTGATCTACGTAGATGTATCGGGAAAATCCACCCAACACGAATCGACACAACCACCAACAGCTATCGACGTCAAGTCCATGTCCATGTCCATACCACGCTGACGTGTATCAACGCATCCAGGATCGGGGATCCCATCTCGTCCATCTGTCGCATGCCACAGGGAATGGATCATTATTGGAGACTCACACAGCGAAATCCGGAGAGCCAGAAGTGGCAGGTGCACGCGTTGGCAACATCCATCTGATGATCTCTTCATCGAGGCCCGGCAGCACCAAAAGGGAAATATAACAGCGTGGCCCGCCATGTCGTACTCACCCGCTGTCGGCGCACCCTCCGGATGGCATTTACATACGAACGAATCCGTGCATGAGTATTCAAGTCTTAGTAACGCGAAACATCTTGCTTATCAGTGATTGACACTTCTCCGTGGAAAGCGCACGAATGATACGTGTGATAAGCATGTTCCGCATAAAAGCAAGATGATGCTCAGCAGAGCCGCGTTCCACCTGCACGGCATGGCATGGCTGCCGACGCCATGTGTTGGACTCGACATCCAGATCCTGTTGCTGCTGATTCCTGCAACGACCGACTGCTGACAAGATGGCCACCATGAACGGCCGCGAACCCGATTCCTTCTCACCCTATCGAGCCGACGGCAAGCTCCTAGGATTCGTCTGTATAGTTACCGGGGCGACGCAACCGGTTGGGAGAGCCATTGTGGCCGAATTGGCAGCTCATGGAGCCGCATGCGTCTATGCCTGCTCTCCAACCCCCAAAGACGACTACACCAGCTTGGAGCAAGAAGTCAAGAAGCAGCATCCCGACTCCAACACCAAAATCATCGGATATCCCTTCAAACTTGCCAACGAAGAAGACACCCTCACTCTCATCGACGACATTCTGAACGCATGGGGAAGGTACACGACCCTTAAAGACTATCACAACATCGCTTCCAATGCTGATCAAGAGACAGACTAGACATCTGGGTCACATCCTCCGGCTTCATCGGCCCCTCCTCCATCTCCCAGACAACCCCAGCCGACGTCTACAAGACCTTCGAAGCCATCGCCCTCGCCCCCTTCTTCGCCCTCAAATACGCTCCCCCGGCCATGTCCAAGACCTCTCCCCGGAAACCAAACTACGCCAACGCCGCGCCGAAGCCCCAACCCTACGGCAGCATCATCGTCATCTCAAGCATCGCTTCTCAAATCGGAGGCTGCTGGGGCCCCGCATTCACCATGTCCTCTCACGCCGCACTGGGAGTTGTAAGAGCCGGGGTCGCGACGCTCAAGGGCACGGGAGTGAGGGTCAACTGTATCAGTGCCGGACAGATCGATAACGGCGTCGATCTCCAGTCGCTGGACGAACAGAGCCATCAGCTGCCGCCGAGTAGCTTGCAGAGCAAAGAGGTGCAGAAGCAGCAGATTGGATTGGAACGAGCGGGTCTGCCGAACGAGGTCGCGAGGACGGCGGGTTTCCTCGCTTCCGGCTTCTCCAGCTACATCACGGGCACCAACATTGTCGTCGATGGCGGGAGCTCGGCCATGAATCCCTTGACGGTGCCCATGGTGTAAGTAGCTTGACTGCACGTTACGCACATACACATGCATACATACGCGGATGAATGAATGAGTAAATGAGTTAGATCAAAAGGTTTTTTTTTCTTTTAGAATGTACACATTTCTCATTTCAAGAGCGTCCAAATAATCTGCATCGTCATCATCCGGTGGTTCTGATGCCATGCCATGCCATGCCATGCCATTGCCTTTGCCTGTCCGCTCATCGAACCTGTCAATTGAGCCATGGCGCCAAACTTTGAGCAAATACAGCCAGCAATAATCTCCACCCGTGCTCATTGCCACACGTGATGTTATCGTATCAATTCTTCATTAAAGTATAGCCTTGCCGCCTGAAGACACCGAAAAGCTCGTTGCTCGAAGACCATAGCTGTGAAAGCAGCGAGCGGTACTTCTTCCATAGAGCTGAGCGTTTGTCTCTGTCTGTCGTGAAGCAGCATGTGTGCCAAGCCCGTGATCGAACGCCAGAACTGTAAAAGCAGCGGCTGTTCTTCTGCGGAGTGGAACACACTTGCCTGTTCGTGCATGGCGGGAGTAGAGAGAGTAGAGAGAGAGGGAGGGGTCTACTTCTTGTTGCGGTTCTTGACCTCGAGCCAGGACATGAATTGCTCGCTACGCCGAGTCGGCTTGGGAGCGCGCGAGGTGCGACGGGGCTGCGTGCCATCATGCTCATCATCAGCTTCGTCGTCGTCGGTGCCCTCGTCAACTTCGTTGGCGCGCTGAGCGCCACCAGCCGCGGCGGCGTTGTTCATGGACGCCTGCCTGCTGCTCGTCTCTGCACGACGGCCCGTGAGGGGCTTCTTGGCGCGCTTTGGCTGAGATGGCTGGTCTGCTTCGTCTTCTGGCTCGGCGTCGGCGTCGGCGTCATCGTCGCGCTTACGCTTGCCGCTGGGTGGCATGGACGGCATGGCGAGCGGCTGCTGGCCTCGGTCGTTATTGCTCGTGCGGATGTGGTTGAAGTTGGTCGGGTAACCCGGCGTGGAATCCGCCTGAACCATGCCGGGAAAGTCGGCTTGCCGGGGGATCTCGGCTTGCTTGCTGGCGCGAGTGCGTCTCGATGGCATGTCGTTGGCGTCGACGGTATAGCCCGTGTTGTTCTGGTCTTGAGCTTCAGCTTGATGGTTGGAGCGAGCGCGCTTAGCTGAGCCGTCGCGAATCTGGTTGCTCTCATCGTTGACGTCGGGCTCCTTGCGGATACGGAGGCGCTGGGCTGGGCTGTCGTTTGCTTCGGCAGCGGCTGCCTTCTGCTTGCGCTGCCCGGCGCTCAGAGCTCTCATCTGCCTGATCGACTCCTGGGCAGTCTCGTCGAGAGTCTGCACGGTGCGCTCGGACTCCGAGGAAGGTGTGTACGGGGCGCGAGTAGACTGAGAAAGGCCACCTTTCGCGCCACCAGAGGTGAGACTGGTGGTGAGACCGGCGGTCAGAGAGCGCAGGCGGCTGACTGTGGCTCGGTCCAGGCCTTCGTCGTTCTCAATGCGGTCGAACAGAGCATCTACGAGCTCTGCGGTGGTCAGATTCTCTGCTGCCGAATTTCGTGATAGTGCTTCGCCGCCTTCCAGAGCCTCGACTCTCTTCGTGAGGCGCCAAAGCTGAGTGCTAGTTGCCTCGTTGTCAGGACGGGAAGCCTGAGTCTTGCTGTGCTCCCTGGCCCAATATTCAGCCTGACTACTAGAGGCCTGATGCAGCCGCTTCATGTCGGCGATGGCGAGGGCTCTCTTGGCGTCTGATGCCACAAGCCCGTCGACTTTCTTCTTGAGCTCGTCGAGCTCGGCATTGCCCTCGGCTCTGGGGAGCTTCTGGGTCAGATCATAGATCTTCTTGAGAGCGTCCTGGGTGGCCCTCTTGTGCTCTTCGTAAGGCTTCATCACCTGCTCGAGATGCTGAACCTTGGATGGCAAAGAATTCTCAACCGCGTGCATGCGCTCCTCGAGAGAGTTGTAGGCTAGTCACGAGTCAGCTATGTTCCTTGCGAGACGTGGGTTGGATCATTACCGCTGCCGATGTCTTCGAGAGACTTGCCGTATTCGCTCTTGGCGATTTCAAGCTCAGTTCGGGCAGTGGTCTCGCTGTTGCTGGCGTTGGAAGCGGTCTTGGCGTTGGCGGCGTTGGGAGTGGCCCTGGTGTTGGCGGCGTTGGAAGCAGTCTTCTTTCTGTTGGCGCTGGAAGACATCTCTGATAATCCTTGATGGATATGGTAAGTTCGAGGTTGATGTTGTCGTGTTGTCCTGTTGCAGCGTTTGGTTTCGACGAATGCGAGGGCGAAGTGAAATTGGAAGCGCTTGAAAGCGATGAGTACGATGTTGCAGTCTAATGGGAGCGTAGAAGGTTGCTGTGTGCGGAAATGGTGTTCAGTCGAAAGTCGAAAGTGTCGAAGTGTCGGTTGCTTGGTTGTTGGTTGTTGTTGTTGGAAGAAGGAAGAAAGAGACGAGAGGGGAAGTATTAAATCCCCTTTCCGCTGCCTACCGGAGACAATAGCCTCGTCTATAGAGTATTGTGCTTCAGGGAAGAACAATAGTGACAATTGGTAGTATGACCCACCCGCGCCTTATTGATCTTATTGATGTCGCAGCTATCAATTGTTCTCGGAGTGAGGTGGTTCTTTAGTCGTAGACGGAGCTCCAGCTTCCTTGGCAGCTATGCCCGTTTGGGTCGACGTATGCACCCCGCATGGAGGGTGCACGCACCACGACATGGCAGAGGGTGCAGCAGAGTACAATAGGATCAATACAATATCATCGTCATATCATTTCATGGTCTACTATTGTTACAATTCGAAGCTATGGCGCTCGACTTCCAATGTCGGCGGTCAACCCCTCCCCAAAATTGACCCCTTCGTATACACCATCATGGTCGCACCCAGAACCTCAATTGTTCGCAGTCCTGAACAATCTATTCCTACTTGCCCAGTTCCGCCACCTCTTCAATGTTGTAGGCTGTATCAAAAAGATTCGCAAGCGTGCTGCGTGCTGGCATCTGATCGTCGAGCCCGATCAACGACTTGTAGTCAGCATCCAGCCATGCCCTCGTCATCTGTCACCAGGCAGCGCATTTAGCATGATTCTTGAGCTTGGGAACCCATGAAGCGCAGAATGTGTGCTCTTCCACTAATTTTTCAAAGCCCCATAAGAGCGTTCGTGGCAGAACGCTGGCGCTGAATCGAAGTACTCTGCAGAGTGGACACAGCACTTCTTAGCCGGCATTTCGTCTGACGTGCACGGCCCGGCAGGAGGCCTGGCCCGTTTGCAAGAGTAATTCAAGCAAGGCCACTTCTTTCACCTCAAAGAGCATTGAGCACAGCTTGAACTCCAACACTGTGTGCATCTTCTCGTCTGAGCACATATGGCCTCAAGTCTGCCTTCTCGACGCCCTGAAGCCCGCCCGCGCCATTGCCGAAATTCCTGAGTCGATCTCGAAGTGCCTCTGGTCCAATAACGAAGAGATTGGCGATCTCGGTCAGCACCTCCAGGCTGGGGTCAAAGGACGTTGGCAATTCCCACGAACGGAGGAGTTCAATGTATTTCGTAATGTCTTTCGACACAACCAAGGCACCTGTAAGGGAGACCTGGTATGACTTGAAGTGTTGAAGAAGAAGGCTCCGCAGGCCAATAGCAAGCTCCATGGAGAAAGAGTCTTGCACACGACCAGAGAGCGCTGTCTTCGCCCGAGAGTGGAGGCGGCCAAGGAAGTTATAGATGGATTGGCAGGTTGATGTTTGCAATTGGTCAAGCTGTAGCGTTGCATCGTCTTTGGGCTTGAAGTCGGTCTTCCTTTGGCTCGACAGAAGTCGGCCGGTCCAGGCAAGTGCAGAATCAATAGTCTTTTGGAGCACAGTATCAATCTTGGATTCCATTCGATCGGTGAAGTTACTAGCCGTCTTCTGGAGATCTCTGCGAATCGTCAAATTGGTGGCCGCTAGCGGCAGTAGTAATACTTGTGTGGTGGTGAGCATGAGATGGAGGACGCTCACTGCGGTGCGTAGATCTGTGATATAGCTGAGATCCGGTTCAGCCTTCGTGCTCGCTTCCGCGGCTGCAGCAGAGTCGATGGCGGCGTCCAGGGAAGTCTCAAGATACGTTTCTCCCATGTGCGAAATGAGCAGATGGAGTAGTTCTCGGACCTCTTTGGGCGTTTCGTTACCTCCACCTGCCAACTCGAGTCCTCGGCCCACGCCTTCCGCAAGCCATTTCAGCATGCGTTTGGTGAAAGGCAGACTCAGTTGGCCGTTCTCATCCGTGACGTCTATCTCGCCGGCAGTCGGATTCTCCTTGGCATGCAGGCCGGCAATGCGAAGAAGCATAGCCTTCTGGCCTGCCTGCAAGTCGGCGCTATCCAGACGTTCCATGTAAGCATCCCGGGCGCTGCTGATGAATTCTTTGCTTCTTGCAGAAATTGCTCCGAGATACGAGTTTGATTGCACATGGACCCTCCGCTTGCGAGAATGGTACAGGGTGAACTTGAAGAGAAGACCCTCAAAAAGCTCTCCCAAGTTCCGCTTCTCCCGCTCAATGTAACTTGTTCCAGTGAAGTATGGTACGAATAGTTCGTCAAGCTGCTGATCCAGTACGGCAGCAGTCACAGAAGAAGCTGGCTCGGGATATTCGGTCAGACCGTGAGATTTGAGGTCCTCTACCAGAGTCGCAATGTAAGATCTTGAAGCCTGCAACGAACGTAGAAATGCAAGAGACGAGACGCTATCCGCCTTGTTCAGTACCATTTCCAGGCGTTGCTGTATCGACTGCTGGAACACTCGTTGCAGGAAACGAGCGAGTACCTCTTCGTAATAGGGAAACGCGCGCTTTATGATGAAGCTCTCCTCTTGGACGACCAACTTGACTTCGTCGATGAGGCTCTGCAGACTGGACTCGACGCCCGGTGGTTCCGTGTCGGGATCCGCGAGGCGGTCCCAGGTCTCGTTGTCTATGAGCAACTCGTCCGTCACAAGCTGCGATCTGTCGATGAAGAACTGGTGCTGGTTGACAAAGAGTGAAATGACCGAGTTGCCCTCACCAAAGTCTTGCAACGCTACTGCGCACTCGCGCATACCGTCAAAGTTCTGTCGGCGGTAGAATTCGTCGAATGATTTCAAGAGATCCTTCTCAAGCATTTCCAAGAATTTCTCGATAATCTCTCGGGGCTGTTTGCCACCTTTCGTCCGTCTCATGCTCCCGTTCGGCGTGTTTCCCTCGCTCGTGTTGCCATTGACTCCGTTCGGGAAATGCACGCCATTGGTCTTTGGTGTGTCCGCAGTGCTGTCCAGGCGTTGCGACATCTTGAGCAGCTGTCGCGCTATATGAGCACAGCGGACTTTGCCCTCGCCGCCACCCATCTTGCGCACGTCGTCCAAGCTCGAAAGATCGCCACGTTCGCTGACCTCAAGCCAGCATTGGAGAATGAATTTGGCATCCTGTGCACGTTGCCTTTGCCGGTCCAACTCCTCCAGTCGCTCACCGATGCGCATGGCAGCGTTCCCGCCATCATCGCCATCGCTGTCCCCATCCAACGTGCGCTCTAAGCGATTGAAGTTGGCGATTGCCCGTTCCAACTCCTGTTCTCTCGACTTGATGTTGCCATTGTGCTGGCCCTCTGCGCGGCGCACGCCCGCACTCAGCTCATCTTCGCGCTCTTGAAGGTCCTCGCTGAGATTCTTGAGCCGGTTGAGGGCGTGTTCGAAGGTTCGAATGAGCGGCTTGGGGTCGAATGCTTGACTGGCTTGCGCATTGGTTTGGCTGCCCGAAGTTGGCGCCGACCGTCTTGCGGCGGGGACGGCGGAGTCGGATAGCGATTCTACAAAGTCTTTGACGATGAAGTCCTTGCTGGTGAAGGTGTCGAGATTGCAGGTATGGGGAGGGCGAAGGGAGTGAAGAGTGGATGGCCTGGAGTGGGCGGAGAGCAAGGAGTTGGTGTCAGGGCTGCCCACGCGCGCCATGGTCGGTGATGCTGTGACTCTCACCTCACCAGCCGAGTTTCATGGCCGGTATCGAGTGTGAGACGAAGGGCGTCAGTTGAAGCGCGTTCGGCCAGGATCGATGGCGGTGTTGGAGATGGGTCGCTGGAGCTCTGATATTGGTGCCTGAGGCTTGACGTCCAAGCTTCCATACCAACCACGCCAACTAAACAAGCACAGCATCTTCAGCGGATACTTGTGCCACCTTATTCTATCTGCTTCACTACATGTCATGTGTATCTGCTTCATTATATCGGGCAATTACCTCATGCACGGGGTCTGCGGTTTGCAGTGCACACTACCTTCGATGTATCTCGTCTGGAGAGGCGCGTCATGATATGCATAAGGTACTACTGACCCCACGATAACATGACTCCCGATCACATGACCTCCACTGCAAGCTTGTGTGAGAGCTTTGACTGACAAAGAAGGTTCATGCCCGGCTATCTACATGAGGTTTTGAGGTGTTTTTATATCCCCTCTACTTGGCTGCTAAGACCAGAGTTTTTTACACTTAGGCATAACACTACTTTAGCAAGTGTAGTGTAATTCCTTAGCATGTAGGCTAAGGATCTCATATCCTCCCCTACTTGGACTTTAGTACCTACTAAAGCCTTAGTAGAGCCTCAATTGTCTGTAGATTCGTAGCCTCCCTCCACATGCTAGTATATAGTTGTCCCTATAAGCCTCAGCCTTG